TATTCCCCAGAAGCATTAAATCAGCATAATTCCGTGATTTCGCCAAGGGCAAAAGGATTGCTTCTTTGTTTTTACCTTTTCTTTTCGGGGGGGATTCTCAATGTCAGATAGAGCGGAGCAAAAGTAATTTACAATATCGATGCGACATGGCCGCAGCCTTGAATGACTTCCATTTCCTTGGCATTTTCCTCCAGCTTTTTCCCCTGATTTTGTACCTTTTTCGCTTTTCCTTTCTTGTATTATTTAACAGATGCTGCCGCTGCCAATGAGGCGGAGATGGAGGCAAGGCGCCATCGACGTTCTCATTACTTAAAAGCGAGATGCCAAAAATGTTGATTGAACGCAGGGCCCACGCGGCGTATGCGCAATAATTTGCAACTGAAATTTCGCAACTGCTTGTGGCGGCAGCATGAGGAAATGCGGTTAAAAGTCAATAAAATCAAATAAGGAGAACATTTAATTCGATTCGGGGTCGAATTTCCACTGAAGTGATCGAATTAAGTCGTTGGCAATCGTTGAGCGTTGAATTCAATTGCAGCAATTCCATTAAAAGCATTTCGATATTGATTGTTCAATTCGCATGGGAGACCATTAAATATAATGCATAATCATACTGATAGGCTTAAGAAGAATTTAAAGGCCATTTTTGTGATTAAACCGAAAAATACCTCTGCCAAGGTCTGGCGATAATTACGACCGTAAACCAAATGAAGAGTGTTTTTTATGGGACATTTACGAGAGCTAACGAGGAAAATTATAAACGATGAAATGGGCGAAAGGTATCCATAAAAAAAAAATTGTTTGCCAATGAGTAATAATCATATTTATGAATTTTAAAAAAAATATGAAGTATAAAGTTTGATTAATAAATATTTATGTTAAAATATAAATTTATCGTAATTGATTTTTATGTGTGGTCTTTTTTTTTAAATTGAATTGACTTAATTGAGCGAATAATCGAAACAATCGAATAATTGATTAATTGATCGACTTACTCATATGGATGTGCTAAGCTCGATAGACTCGGCCATAAATCGATTTCATCGATTATGGCTTCCATTACCAAAATTAAATCGCCTGGCCCTCAACTTCCAGTCGAAGCTCAAGACGTGCATTTCGCTCACATGCTGAATATTTATCGAATAATGAATAAGGTACACGCATACGGACACAGATACCAACAGATTCCATTAACCGTATTACGTAAAAGTTGCAAATAAAAAAGTACGGAATTTATCGAACTGCCAAAAAGGGGGAAAGCGGGATATGTGTAATTCGTATATGGAGGAAGCTGAAGGGATACTTTGGATGCTTTACTGGCAAATTTACGGTTGTGCTCAACTGACTGCGCCAGGTGGATTCCGGACTCTGGATTCCGGATGCTGGATTTTCCGAGTCGGCTCAGTGGCCGCCGCCATTCATGGCCAATAAAAAGTGACGCATAAAAATATGAATTTTATGTCTGCGTATTTAAGGCAACAATAAGCAACGTGTTGTGGCTGTGAATGAAAAGAATGAAAGTAAAGGAAAGTAAAGCTCAAATCCCTGGCCCGGGCAATCAAAACAAAATAAAAAACGAGAAAAGCGAGAGCAACAAATGCGCTCAATGAAGCTGAAAAGCAAGAAAAGCGGTGAAAACCGGGCCCACTCGAATTGGAAAATCAAATGGAAACAGAAAAACTTGAGCTCAAGCAGGTATACTTGTATATATATATATATATGTATCTGTCTGCTGCCTCTGTGTTTCTGGCAGCTGCTGAACATGAAAATGAGTTTTCTTCTTCGACTGCTTTTTATGCCAGTCAAGCCAAATAAAAATAATAATAAAATCAGCGCAATAAGCAAGCAATGAAAGCGGCGAAAGCGAGACCGAGCATCGATTTATACACAGATGAGCAATCATAAATATTAATGTTAAATACAGCAGAGCCTGGCATTCGGGGAAATCGGGAAAAATCGGGGAAAAGGAAAAGGAGGGAAAAGCCCCTACTGACCATTGCCTAATGGAATGGCAATCGGAATGAGCATTGATAACTAAAAGTTAAGTTGTGTTCTTCTCGCTCTCCGAAAAGTGGCAAACATTTTTTGTTTTATTTTTTTTTGTTGGCCCATCTTTATGCTAATGTCGGCGACTTTCCCTGACAGGGGCTGCCTCATAAAGCAGGCGGTGAGCATAAATCTTCGGCTCGAGGAAGGACGACCCCTATGAGCTTAAAAAAAAAGAAAAAAAAAAAGGGATCTCCATTCCATCGGGCGACATCGAGGCGCGCTGCCTCTGATTTATTTGCCAACGTGTGTACCACACTGCGTATGCTTATTCCCTGCGACTACCTCCCTTTCCCTTTCCCTCTCCCTCTCCACTTCCATTTCCCTTTCCCCTTTGCCTTTTATTTTCGTTCTCCTCCAGAGACAGCTATCAATGACAGCGGCTTGATTTTGCATTTAAAAGTGAATTATATATCCGCCGATTCTCCGACAGCCGCAAAAAATATGCGGGGCATGTGGAGAACTGTGCAAATATCTTGCCACATAAGCGACAATTTATTTGCATATTTTCATGGCACCGACAGTTTGAAGAGTGAGTTGTCCTGGCTGTTGTTTACATTAACCCTCCAGCGAAAAAGGGGGTTGAAACTAACACACAACTATGGGTAAATAACAAATTGGTTGGTGATAAGTGTAAAAACTTACAAGACAACACGATGCACAGTGGAATTGGTATTTGGGTGGCAAACAAAAGTTATTTATAAACATTGTCTTTTAAATGTTTGAGGTTTTGAACATTTGGAGTATTTTATACTTGTATTTAGCTGATAATCAAACTAATTCAATTAGGCTCCCCTGTTTGGTAGTGGAAAGTTTCGTTATTTCGTAAAGCTGCTGGTTGCCAATTGTTTTATTTGACAAATGACTTTAACCCCTTTGAATTTTCTTTTTTCTTTGATACTTTTCAATACCATTTGCAATTTGCTATCGACATAATAATGAACAATGGCTGGAAAATCCGCAATAAACCCGCTCGTTTGGTAAACCGTTTATGGCGATATATATCTACAATTTGAGTCCACTTACAACATAAATTCATGTTGCGCTCTGTTGACCCATTTCAAATTTTTATCGCGTTAATATCTGGCATGTTTGAATGTCACATTGATCCCGTTGTGTGTGAGTTGTTTGGTGTGTTTGTACTTTACTCCCCCTTTGACTAATATCAACACCAAAGTTGCCTTTCCCGCGCTGTTTGTGTTTAATTATGTATATCTGTGTAGGGCACACACACACACACACACACTGTTACATGTGCGAAACGCACACAGATACAGTCTGTGTTTGTACGAGTTTACATGGGTGCCATGTGCTTTTGTACAAGGCGCTTACATTTTGCGTTCCCTACAATAGTTGTCCTTGTGTATATTTGTATGGATATTCCTGTCTCCTTAAGCCTGCTCAACATTTTCCAAATAATATGCTAACTTTTGTATTGTCACGTGCGTGTGCGTGTGTATCTGTGTGTGTGTTAGCTATTGTTTGTCCTTTGGCGCTGACTTCCGTTTCCGGCCGATAAACAAATGGCGCCAGCCAACGATTAATTATTCTGATTTCTAGTCTTAAGGTCCACCTACAAATAACCATAACAATAACAACAACAGCTGGACACGTGTCCTGGCAAATCATAAATAATCCAACTGACAAAGTAAAGATTGATGGGATCTATAGATAGCCATAAAGTCGGAAATAACATCAAGTACCGATTCACAACGAACTTATTGAATTTAAATACTTTTTATGCGAGTTCCTAAGCTAAAAATGCAAATCATCTAATTCACTAAGAAATATTGACTTAAAGTTTAAATAAAATAGCAATAGACCAGAATCCAAATATCATCCAATAAAGCTTATTTAACGCTGTAAAAACTTTCCATATTTTAGTTTAATACACACTCTGCAATTACTTGATTCACTCGCAAGCCATTCATCAATTGTGTTTACTTAAAATGTCAGCCAGACAAACACTTGATGTTTGTTTCTAGTTTATCTGCGTTTTGATAAATTGTTTGATAAGCTTAATAATGCAGTGTGTGTAATGTATGCTCAATCGATTCCATAGATCCCGACAAATATCTCAATAGCTTTTCAAAGGAGTCTGTGTATCCTTTTGTGGCATTTCTTTGGCAGCCTATCAATGAACCAATTTTCACACAATTGCATGTTTGTGTGGGTGTGTGGGGGAAAAACCACAACGAAGCACTTTTTGGCACGTTAATGTGTTGGAGGTGCTCACCCCAACACACACACAGACGCACACGAGCCGTAATTAATGATTGAACGCACACCTACGCACAAGGGTCTCCCCCAAAATGTATGCTACGTTTCTTGTCTATACGCACAAAATGTGTTTCTCATTATTTTTACGTACTCCACACACACACACGCACACACAAAAAAGCAACGCACGTGCGTATAAATTATGTTCTTGGCTTCGTAATGTGGGTGAGGGGGGGTTTTTGTGAGGGGTTGAGTGGTTGGGTATTTGGGGGGTGGGGGGTTGGGTTTTTGAGGGTGGGTGGTGCCCATTGGCTGACGCCAAGTATCGCATTAAAAATCAATTCCCGAATCTTTGCACGTACACAAGAAGAAAATTGTCGGCTCCAAAATTGAGTTCAAATGAGCTCATTAAGACAGCAAATCGTATAAGTGTTTAATGCTTAACTACATTTTAATGTATTAAATCCATTTCTAATAGTTTATAATAGTATGTGGCGAGTGTAACTCTGAAATATCTTATTAGGCTTTCGGCCTCATTAAAAAAATGAAAAATATAATAATTGTAGTTGCAGTAAAGTATGATATTGCTCTAATAGTTAACTTATTTTACAGCATTTAATTTAAAAGTATAACATAAAAGATGTTTTCGGTGCAAGCTGATGTTGCTGTTATAATTTTATATTTGATTTTAATGACTGTTCTAATCGCTTGCCTTTCAACATTTTCATTTTCAGCACTCGGCAGGAAAATGGAATGACCAGAGTTCGCTTAGTTGGCCCCCCAGAAAATGCTGGCTCAGCCAGCGGCAACAACTCAATCAGCAACATCAGTGGCAGCGACATCTGCAACATCAGCGGCAGGAGCAACAGCAACATCAGCAGCTAGGAATGGCCAGCGACGTCGCGTGGCAGCAGCAACAGAAGGCTGCAACAGCAACAGCAACACCAACAGCAACGGCAATAGCAATAGCAACATTGGCAACAGCAGCAACACCGGCAACATCAGCAGCAACAGCAGCAACACCAACCGATTAAGTCAAATGCATTCCAACGAAGAGCCGCCCATGACGGTGATCGTCGATGGAGGCGGTGGTGGCAGCAATGTATCCGCTTCCAGTGCAACTGCTGGTGGCCATCGGCGGGGCAGCCAAAGGTTGCGGAAAACCAGTTCCTCCAGTGCCAATGTCAAGTCTTCAGCGAATCCTGCGACAGTGGCTGGGAGCAGCAGTGGTCACAGGTCATCGCATCGCCAGACATCGAATGCCTCGGGCTCGGAAAGAGATGGCAACAGCAGGCGTCGTTATCAGGGAAAGGATCGACATGATCGTCACGATCGCCATGACCGCCAGGATCGCCAGGATCGCCATGATCGCCAGGATCGCCATGATCGCCATGATCGCCATGACCGCCATGATCGCCAGGAGCGTCGCGAGCGGCAGGAGCAGCAGGTGTCACGTCGGCGTGCAGGACGTCGCCACAGTGGAGCCTCTTCGATGAGCGATGCTGCCAATGCCGCCGCTGGAAGATCGAGGGGCGAAAGAGGGGGAGCGGTCAGCTCCTCGACCGCCTCCAGTTGCAATGGCAGCTGCAGCTCCGACGACGGCGACTCCTCGCACACCTCCTCCTCCAGTTCGTCCAGCTCGTCCGGCGAACCGAATCTGCCCTATCCGGGATTCCCCGAGATCTCCATGAAGGCGCTGACGCAGTACACCCGGCCACGCAACTGGTGCCTGATGCTCATCACCAATCCATATCCTTTGCACAAACAAAAACCGAGTGGGAGTGTTGCGGGGTGTGGGGCGGGCCTAATTGCCATTGTCCTTCGCTGGCATTTTACCCCTGGGTCTGTGCTGGGGTGTCCTTGTCACACATTTCACAGGACGTGCGTTGTGAGCCTATTGATTTTTCTCTTCTTTTTTTCTCTCTCCATTTTTGTTGTATTTTTGTATCTTTAATGGGCATAAGGACACTCAATTTGGTGCAGGTTAAATGCATTTCGGTGGGGGGATCGATGCCCATGTGCCAATTTGTAATCAATGTATATTATGATCTCTTCTTTAAGTGACCTTGATCGGCTTTCTTTTGATTAGGGATAATATATTCTATCTGAATGTATCAAAGTTTTCAACCAATTTAAAGCATTTTATTTTGAATGTTGTTCTGTAACATTCTATAAAGCTTCAACAAAAATTTAAAAAAAACGTTGAAAGTATTTTTAAAACACTTTTACTATATATTAAAAGCTCTTCCAAAAATCCAAACAATTTTTTGCTTATTCGACTAAAATATAGTCTTTAAACAACGGTGGTCCTAAGCAAAAAAAATTGAAGTTATAAATATTTGAAGCTGATGTTTAAACTAGAAAACAGTATCCCATGTTCGATGTAGTACAAATGTTTTTTTTTTAGCTGCCTGTTGCAATATTCATGCCACAATGTCAGCAGTTGCGAAAGGTACTGCGTGTGTGCGCGAGTTCGCTGGACATAAATAATAAATATCTGAATGGGCATCATCATTGGGAGACGGAACCAGTGGATATATGTGTCCCCCAGTCCCAGTTGCCGGATCCTTCCGCTGCCGTCTTGTTTTCATATTTGCCGCATCCCCATCCATTTTCTGGGGGATAATGTGCGCCAATCAGTGGGATGTGGCCTGTTGGATACGGGATACGGAATACGGGATATGGCGGAGGACAGGGGAAGAGGATGACAACCCTGGTGATTCAATGTTGTTTATCTGGGAGTGCTCTTCCTGCTTCTCCTCCTCCTCCTCCTCCTTCTCCATTTTCTCCAGCTCCACAAAGTGGCACATGTGCATGAAAAATCGCTTTGCATACTTCGCGGCGCGCACTTCACATTTCACTTGGAGCGAAATTAAAATTGACTGACGTTGATATTTATTTATGCCCGTGCTGCGTTCGTTGGGCTGAGTAAATTATGATAATTGAGTTTAGAACGTCAAGTCCCGGTTCTCCGGTGTCATTCGTGGGTGTGGAGTGGTTTTATTTTTAGCCCCAAAGCCACGCTGATGGCTGCGATTACCCACTTGATATGCCACATCCCCAGGCGCTCCTCCTCCTATCCACTCCCTTTGGAAAAGTCCCTTTCTTTCCGCCACAAGTACGTAATCGCTCTCCCGATACTTGCCACTTAATTGTTGGCCATAAATTTTGATTTGCCCCATTGTTCGCGCTTTTCAGCCATCGTGAGCGCCATTGTATTGTTTTCTATATCTTGCTGACATTTTATGGATTTTATTGTCAAAGTTTACGATGCGATGCCTCCCCCAGCGACAATTATTATATCGAGGGTGTGGTTGAGTTGAGCTGTAAGCCAAAAGTGATTTTGTGGCTGAGTTGCGGTGCAACTTTGCCCAGCTTGCATTGCAATCGGTTGGCGAGAGAAGCAATCAAAACTTGGCTTTGGCTAAACTAATTTAAGTTCGACTTCCTTGTGCTAACCCCACATCCTCCGAAGCCACTGCCACTTCCGTTTCCGCTTCCGTTTCCCCTTCCCCTTCCACTTCCGCTTCCGCTGGCGACGCTCGTCTCGACCGTGTCTTTGGTGACCCAGACGTGCCTTCGGCTGCAACTGAGGTCAGCGGTGCCATTTGCCAAAAGTTAAGGCCGCCGCAGCGTCGCCAGCTGGCCCTGCGTATCAATATCGGATGGCACACGCTCCTTTCCTGTTTTCCCTCGATAAATATCCTGCTGTGGAGTGAGTCACCCCAAAGAGTATAATCAAATGGCACACAGCGAAAACTAATCACTTAGAGTCTCAGTCCCATCAATATCAAATCCGAAAATATATGGCATTAGCCTTGCTTAATGCCAATGAATTGAACTCAAACACAATTCATAGTTAAATCACCTAATCCTTAGAGCAGATAGCAGACGTCAAGGTCACAATTATTTCGTTATAGAGTGGATTAAATAGCTCAATAGATTTTTTTTCTCTGTGCAATGACATTGGTCTTTTGCGGCAGCCGTTCGTCTTTGCAAGTTTTCAAACCAAATTAGCGATGCAACTTTTATCACTTTTATCTCATATAAAGACGATGTATTCCGGGGCAGTTTCCAGCAAAGTTGTCTCCTTCATTTTATGGCGCTTTTAGCGTGAAATGTGCGCGGTGGCACGTGCAACATATGCAGCTCAAGAGTGGCAAGTCGAGTGTTGGGTTGTTTTCGGGGATCAGGAGGTTACCATCACCAGCTGGCTGCATCCTTGTGCGGTCGCCATTAGAGCCCCACATGCACGGCTATTCGGACACGGCATTCAGGCATCATTAGCATGAAGTGGGAGTGAGGCAGGACTCGCTCCTTGGATAATATGAAACCGCTGGCACGGCCATAACTAATTATGACAGAGGGCCAAGGGCTGGTGGTGTTGATACCCATCCCTCCTGGCCATTGTCCATTAGCCTCGCTGACCGCCGCCGAGTACGTGCCTTGTATTCATTACCCAAATGCCTGGAAAAAGGACTAGTAAGGACACGGCTGATGGACGGACAACAGGTCGCCGTGTTCCTCTGTGGGAATTGCTAATTTCCGCCGACGGGTAATCCTCAAAAACGAGACAATCAAATAATCACAAAGTACTTTGTGCTTTTTTGAGATGGGAATTTTGTCAGAATTTTATATCAGCATTGTGGTATTTCTGCAACGAAATACCACAAAGCTTATTCAGTTAGCAAAGCATCTTCAAGTTTATACATTTCGTTAGCAACTACCCAAATATTCCTAAAAAACTTTTTCGTTTTACATACATATCTCCACGCAGATGAGTCGTCGATACTTTCAATGGCTTTCTGATGTCATAGAACCAATTAAATTGATCGCTTCCATTGAGAAAAACTTGTTCCTTGTCGAAGCCAATTTATCTCAAGTTTTTCACTTTTACTTTTTGGCATTTTCTTTTTTTAAATGTTTGTTTTTCATGTTTCGTTTGCCTCATTCTCATTCTCGCTTTCGTTATTCGTTATTTGCCATTCAGCATTCGCCCCCAGCCCCGCCCCAATTTGGCATGTTCAGTCATCTTATTCGGCTTTTGCTTTCGGGGCTCTCGCTTTTGTTTGTGGCTCTTTTAATTTGTTGCGATTTCTGCACGCTTGCATGCGTCCCCATTCGCCATTTCCCCGACCCCTCCCCTTACCATCCCGCCCAACCCCGACCCCGACCCGTCACGCCCCTTTAATAGCACCGCCCCCTTTCCGCTGGCCGACTTTACGCTCGACTTAATTTGTTTACTGTTGGTTTGGGGGCCATCGCCATCGCTTTTGCCAAATCAAAAATAATGCGCGCGTACCCGCGGTCCCGACCTTACCGCCCACTTATACCGCCCACACTCACCTGAATAGGTATGAATATCGTCAAGTCGGGAAACGACCGATATTGTATATCGATAGAAGTCGTATAGTTAGTTTTGATTGAGGAAACTTAGGCTCAAAACGTTTTCTCTATTCCTATTTTTGAAGTACATATTTTAAAGGAACATAGAAATAAAGTAAACTAAATAGTAAATATAAGAAAGTAAAATTGATCTTTAAAAATGGTACTGGAATTTTTGCGTTATTTCAATGCCTTGTTTTTTCAAAAATATATGCTTCAAAGAAAGTAAAAACGTAAAATATGGTACAAAAATTCAACCTGATACAATATTTATATATCGTCATATATTTTTTGACATCCCTATACACCTGCCTCTTTGGGGGCAGCTGAATGAAATGAATGCGCCAGGGTCGATTTTGCTGCTACTGCTGTCGCATATTTGTGCTGCTGCAGTATTTATCCAGGCGGAGAGTGGGCGTGGTTCACCGCCCACAGCCCACGCCCACCAGCCACCAGCCACCGCCCCTTTTGTGCCGTCTGGCGGCCTGTTCACATTTGTTTTTATGACACGGCCGCGCGGACCCAAGCGAACCGAACTGAATCCAAAACTGACCCGATTCTCTGACCCTCAACCTGCATACATATGCTCCAATCTCCTTTCGCCTCCTAATGAATTGCCCTTTTTTTTTTTTTTTGCGGCAGCTCTTCGTTCCTTTTGCCAACACCACCGCCATTCCGACGATATTTTCCGTTTTTCTGGCCAGACCATTGTGCGCCACGTTTTATCTTTAATTGTGCGTTAATAGCGTAAACATTTTTGCCATTTTGCGCGTGTGCTCTCGATTCTTAATTGCTCCGTCGAAAGAATGAGTCCTTGGCGCTCATTTGGCCATGCATTAAGCCAGCTCGAAATTTTCCCCTTGCCAACTTGGCCTTGCGCGAGTGTTTGTGTTTTCCAGTTTTTGCGTCTTTTTTTTCCCGTATTTTTTTCGCCTGAGGCCCGAAAACCAAAGTGCAGCAGTGAGGCTTTTAGGCGACAAGTGGCGAAAAGGACGAGTGGATCGCAGTGACTGTACGGGCCTGGGGAGAAAAGTCTAGAGCCAGTGGAGCAGTCGATTGAGTCCCATTTGATGTTGGACCCAACACAGAAATTGGACCGCTAAAAGCCCTTACTTGAAATCGCATATTTCCAAAGCCTCAAGGTATATTACTTTTGGTCCACATTTTCGGTGTTTCTTTGTTTTATTTGCTCTTTATCCCTTTAAAAGAATTTTATATCTTGGACAATATTTTGTCAGTTCTAAAAATCTCTTTATAACTTTTCCACATCCAGTAGATTGAGGCAACACGGCGTATACGTGTCTTACCTATAAAATCCCAGACAACACTTCGTATGAGTGATTAAATTTCGAAAAACTGTGCAGACATTACTTGTTTGTCTTTTAGCTCCTAAACTTGGCTCATTCAAATGTAAATTGTTTTCTCATCAAATTCTTCTTTGTGAGACGGGCCACACTGCGTATGAGTAATAAACTTTAAGACCTCCTGTTTTGGCTCTGTATTATCCAGTTGAATTTGCATTTCTCAACTGCTTAAGTAAGGAGCACACAACGTATCAGTGATAAATTTTAAGAAGACAAGCCAACGTAAAATATAAAACTAGAATTTTACAATGTAACATTCAGCTGGGGTCCAGCATGTCCTTGTTTGGGCAAACGCATTTAGATCGAGTGTTATGAGCTGACTGCCAACTGTCATCAATTTGCTGCATTTGGCTGGCTGAAGAGCTGTAGAGCTATAGAACTGCAGAGCTGCCGAGTTGCCGAGCTGGAGACTGGGAATCCACAAGCCAAGAGCCCCAAGCCTCCAACCCCAAAAACCAAAACCGAGAGCATACCAAACGAGACCGACAAGCGGCAACCGCAGGGGAGGGAGGGAAGGGGGATGGGTGGTAAATGTGGGTGGTTGGCAGCCAAGTTGACAAGCACTTGAGTGCGCATTAGAGGCAACTGCAAGTTGTTATCCACCACGCCCCCTTTCGCCCGCTTCTTTCGCTCGACTTGTTTCGCCTTCAATCAGCGCAGAAAAGTAGGCAACGACTATACGACTCCCCCGCCTGATTTTCCCCTTGGCGCCTCTTCCTTGTTTGCCTTTTCCGTTTGGTTTTTGTGCCCTTAACTCAGATATGGACTCGACTCCATTTGGCGGCCTTCACATGGTTCGAGCGCGTCTCCATCCTGGTCATCCTGCTCAACTGCATCACCCTCGGAATGTATCAACCCTGCGTGGACGACGCCTGTGTCACGAACCGCTGCAAGATCCTTCAGGTGAGTAATCACAGCCCAAAAACACATCAACACTTATACTTTTAAAAACCACCAGAATACAAAATACATAAATGAATCATCAGGACTGTATAAATGTTTAAAAATTTCACTGAAATATATTTAAACATATTATCAAACTGAATGTGAAATATGTATATGTAAATTTAAGTTTTATTTAACGCCTTGGGATTCTTCGTTTCACTTACATTTACGTTTTAACATATATACTGTCTCCGTAAAATATTTATAATTGACATAATTATGGATCCATCCCAGGGGCTTAAGGGTAATTTGATAGAGAAAATGATGTGAAAAATGAAGGCCAGGACTGGCATTGTTGGGCTCCCTCTTTCTTTGCTGAATATCCTTGCTCCCCAGGTGGGCCTGTCAGCATCGGTGTCACATTAAATGCCATTTATTTAAGCAATTTTTTGGCTCACTTCCTGGCTGCCACACTGATGACACCCAACGAGGCACTTCGGCTCATTAGGCAGCACCACCGCAGACTTCTCTTTTTTTCTTGTTTTCTTGTTTTGGTGGTGTTGAGTGTTCAGTGGGGCAATTACAGAGCATAGAGAAAATGCCGAGCTCAACGTGCGAAAATGTTTGTAAATGATATGTAAGTCGAGGGACATTTTTGGCCGCAGCCAAGTGTAAAGTAACACGACAGCCGGGGCCAGGACCCCCCGAAAAGCAGTGGGACCCAGACCAAGACCAGCGACAGGATATTCGCAAGGACAAGGAGTTTGGGAAGAACTGGAGGTGGAAGAAGCGACAGGACGGACCAGACAAGACAAGACAAGAGAAGGCATCGCCAAATTGGCACACAGCACAAAGTCAAAATGACAACGACAGCCGCAGTCGCAGTCAGTGACATAAGTGGGCGTTACCACCGCCCCCGTCTTCCGACCATCCCCATCACCATCCCCATCCCCATTCCATCCCATCCCATCCCTTAAAGAACCCAAATTACTTGACACAAGACGTTGCACGGGGCACAAGAAAAAGATGACGACTACGACGACGAGGATGATGATAATGATGATGATGATGTCGCCAAGGCAAACTCATTTCGATGTGCATGTGTGTGACGCCTGATGTGTCCTTGCCATCAACCCATCCCCCACCCCCCCTTAAAGAGGGCTTGCTAATTTTAATTTGATCAACTCTCGTTAGTTCTTTGGGTTTAGGTCATTAATCGAATGGGATTTAAGGTGCGGCTGAGACTCTGCAGGGAATATCCTTTAAAATTAGCGCAAATTAAGGTAGAAGATGGAATACAATTTTTTTTTTAAGAGATCAAAGGAAATGAGCATTATAAAGATTAGAAGAAACAAGGCTTAACACGAGGTAATGTAGAGCTAAAAGCTTTATTAAGAATCGTCATTGATTTAAAAAAAATAAACAATCAAGTGAATTATTTTTAAAAGTATTATATTACTAAGCTTGTAGTGACTTAAGTCGTTCTTTAAAACTATTCCACTTCAATACATATATTGAGAATCCAAAAGTTCAAAAAGTCAACCCTTTTTACTAAAACCCCAAAATCTTTTCCAGATCTTCGACGACATTATCTTCGCCTTCTTTGCCCTGGAGATGACCATCAAGATGGTGGCCATGGGCATGTGCGGCAAAAACACCTACCTGGCGGACTCGTGGAATCGCCTGGACTTCTTTATTGTCCTGGCGGGTCTGCTGGAGTATGTGATGCATGTGGAGAACCTCAATCTGACTGCCATCCGAACGATTCGTGTGCTGCGTCCCCTGCGGGCCATCAATCGAATACCCAGTAAGTCGATTATATGGTAATATACCCCCTCTCCACTCTGATTACACTCTGATTTTTAGGCATGCGGATACTGGTGATGCTCCTGCTGGACACTCTGCCCATGCTGGGCAATGTCCTGCTGCTCTGCTTCTTTGTGTTCTTCATCTTCGGGATCATTGGAGTGCAGTTGTGGGAGGGAATCCTGCACCAGCGCTGCAGCCTGGACACACCCACCGGCACAATCTATCCCCTCACGTAAGTAGCCTATCCAGTCGGAGGAATATCCTGACTATCAAACAAATAAGAATGCCAGGTCGTATGGGAAATATATGGGCCTCTGTCTGCCGGCGCCTCCGGGTCTCATACATAATCGTACATACCTAGGCACATATATCATATACATATTCCTAGGCATATATGTATGCTGTACATATATCTATATATATATATATCAAATTTAATCGTTTCGTGTATTCCGATTCGAATTTTTTTTGTTGCTTTAAGTGTTTTGGTTTTGCGTTTTTCTTTCCTTTTCCGCGTCATTTCAAAATCGGGCCCAGTCTTTGAGCCGAGTTTTTCACGACTGCCTGGCTGCTGCTTTCTCAATCCTCCCGCTGTTGGCTTTTTTTTTGGTTCCATGGCTTAGCTTTTGGTTTTTTGTTTAGCCTTAGCCACAAGACACAAGCATATACCACACAAACAACGCCATAAACGCCATAAACGCCATAAACGCCTCAACCAAAAAAACAACAGCCAAAAAACAGTTGAGATCCCGCTGTAGCTGCTGCATCAGTCACCCAGCAATTTGCATACGAAATCTAAAGGGCTGCCAGCACCACCACTGTCTTTTTGATGAAGTCCGTTCTGCCCAGCGACCTGCCCCTCGTTGCTCCTCCGCATCCTTGAGTTTTTCGGTTGGCCCGTTTGTGGCGCCCAAAAACAGCCGTCTTGTGGTTGTGACGGCAGGAAGAAGCCAAAAAGAGACCGCACAGTGGGTTTTCAGGGACATACAACCTACTGAAGAACGCTTTAATCAAAAACAAGAATTAGATTTATATATATTGAGAGGGAAGTACGTTTTTGTAAAGGGAAATTCTCCAATTTGATAATATGTATTCAAGTAAAATACAATTTCATAACATGATTTATTGAAATAATGATAATGACTGAGTTATTAAAATTTTCAAATATTTTTTAGGCCAATTTACAAGTGATTTTAGATAGCTTTGAAATGTCCTATTAATCTATTGGTTGATAATTTAAGGGATGCTAGACAAAGGAGTCGTTAGCTTATCAGGGCAATTTGTTAAAGTTACTTAAGAATATTTTAAAAGGGAATAACTGAGCCTGAATTTTCACTAGACTTATCGATTCATTTTTGAGAGTTTTGGTGCCAATGTGCTCTCTCGTTGGCAGCTGACAAAAGATTTTAAACTTGGCCAAAACAATCATTTATCATTGGCATTGTGTTTGCGTCTGTGTTTGTGCCACGGCGGCTTTATAACGTCACATGCAGAACAGAAAGGACACGCGTGCTCTCTCACCCTCACACACACACACACACAGACACACACACCGAAACAAATGGAAGGAATCACCCACACATAGACAGCGCAGCCCTTTAAAGTAGGCAATGGAATTTTTTTGGGCCGCTGCGCGCCTTTCTCGGCAAACTTCATTTTTCGGTGGCTTTGTTTTCCTCGGTTTCCTTCTTTGTTGTTTGCTTTTGCATGCCCAGCTGTATAAATTGTTTGTTTATATATGTTGTTCGCAAAATGAATTTGTTTTTGCCGCTGACTTTTGCTTTCCATAATTATTCCACGTAGTTATGTGCAACTGGCAATTGCATTGTCTAGCATTTTTTCAAATATTTTTGATTGATTTTGCAATTCTGTTTGACAGACTTATGTTACAGACCATTTGAGTGCAGGTTTTTAGCCTATTTCGTTTTGTTGGCGGTACATTTTTGGAAGCTTTTTGTCTGGGCAGCTACCTTTTTGAGTTGGAATTTTTTTTGATTTTGGCTTGGGCTTTTTTTATAAACAATCTTATTTCGCACAGGCAGCAATTGTACCATACAATCAACATTTCTGTGATATTGTGAGCCCTCGAAGTCATGCTGTATATACACCCACACCCACACCCATACACACACCCACACCCTCACACGCACACTCACAAACACAGACAAGCCTGTGAGAATGGCAAACAGAGTATAGATATATATATGCATATATGTTCTTTTCCACTTTTTCGTTTCTTCGATTTGTATTTAATTGTGAATTCAATTAGTAAATATTGTTAATGAAACCAACACAAAACAAAAGAGAACAAATTATATCCGAATTGGCAGCCAAGCAATTCAAAAATCCAAAATCTGACATCCACTTATCTCTTTACGTTTTCGAGTTTTAAGTTATTTTCCTAGAAGCAAAAAAAAAAACAAAAATAAATATCAAAAACCAACAAAAGCAGATAATATGAAACAAAAACAAAAATCATACCGGGAACAAATTTTTTGTTTACAGGCTACCTGAAGTGTACAGAGTTCGAGTCCGTGTTAACTCGTAAGATAAAATGATTTATTTCCCTCCTTAACTTAACCCCCACACTGACACACTCCCACACGAACACACACTATTACACTACTACACCGTCCAACACACCAACAGAAGATCCCAAGAACCCAAGTGAACACAAAAACAGATTCTAATAGCCGTCTACTAGCTAGTCTACAACTAGATTCTGTCTATAAATACTGATATCAATGTAACTCTCCACAACTGCCTCTAAATATCTCTATAGCTATCTCTGTCTTCGCCAGCGCAAGCCTGCCAATTCCTTAGTCCTTTCTTTCAACTCCTTTCTTTTCCCAGAGCCCAATTTGTGGGCTCACACTCAATTTTGTATCCCTCTTTTGCTGAAGCTCGTTATCTAAATGTGTTTAATACCTAACTACCTCAAGCGCTATGGTCACTTGGTCCTGATTTTTAACAAAGAAGCCACGGAAATCTCCAGACAATATAATTCACTGTCTAAAAGTATGCTACGATATATTTGAAAACCAGTAATCCGTGGAATGAATACCGAAGGACCACGTAATATATTTCCTAGCATATCTTTTTGACTTCTTCGACTTATAATATCTCCAGTGATTTCTTTACGTATTTTACTAGTCATAAAAATAACAGTGACCATGGCGTTTTAGATGGGCTGACAGAGGAATAAAAACTCCACTGCCCAAAGACCTATTTCCCTCTTTGTCACACACACAGTACTCTACTTAGCCATCACGATCCACCACACGTTCGATAGTCGCCACACACCCTATTAGTAGATGTATATCTATATACTTGTATTAGTAAATACTTGGCCATACGATAATACGAAATACGATTTGTTTTAATTCTAACGTCTAACAAGCTAACTCTTTATCTGTCTCTTTCTCTTTGTATAAGTAATATTTGAAGATATATGAATATATATACATATATATAAACGAAATACCAAGCTATACTAAATATAAATTAAACTATACTAAACTATACTAGACAATCACTCAGCATCCTGCTCTTGTTTACCCCCACCCGAAAACACCATATATATTCACTCTGTTATCCAGCCTACACAACTGTACCAAAAGCAAAAGCCCCTAGTTAACCCGTCTGAAGCCACATTTTATTTGCCACCTAGTTTTAACCCTTCTCCCATTTATATTTTTAGCCAAAACCCCTTGATGTACGCTCCTTTTTTGTGTCTAGAGTTGTTGATGTGTCACTACTTGAACCTGATCTCAACTGCTAACTAAACCACACACACACTTATGTGTTTATATATAGAATCGGGGTCAAAGAGCAGTTCCCCCTCTTCCTCTTCCCCTTAGCCGTTTTGTTTGTGTTGCATTTGCCAAATTTTTGGTTTCGTTTTGCAATTTTCTGCTTTTGTTTTCATCATTGTTTGGGGTTCTACACACAAATATATATGACATGTTTTGGGAACCCTCTCCCCGAAAAGGAGAAGCAACAAAAGCACACAAACAAGCGAAATAACAAGCATACCAATTAGCAACAACATATATACATGCCAGAAACGTGTACCATTTCTCCTTTCATTCGGTTAAAGTCCTGGGCGAGAGGGATATAAGATCCTATTTTATTTCAATTTCGCCGAAATGAAAACTGTCTGTCGGTTCGATAGTTGCGATCATATTTCACTTTAATTAAGCTGATAGTTGCTTGTTTGCTTATACCTAATTAACTTGAGGGGATATCTCAGATTCTGATGCACCTTTAAGCCAATAAAAAAAAATAAATAAATATAAGCTGAAAGGCACTCCAGACTATTTATATTTACTTATAACATTAACAACTTGTTTCATAAATAATCTATATGAATTTAAACCTTAATACTTATTAGATAGAGCTGGGTAACTTTTAGTCGGCATTCTCGAAATGTACGATTTTCTATTTTTTTGAATTTTTGTTTGTTTATTCACCAAGTTAAACAACATTTTGGGGTCCACAAATACACACTCCAAAAACTCACAGACACACACACACACACTCAAAATACAGTACAGAGGAGCACAGTGCAGTATAGTACTTAGTAGAGTAGAGCGGAACACACACACACACTCAGAGCGGCACACAAGAAACGCACACAGGCACACTTTCCCCGCACTCACACACACACTCACGCTGTCTGAGTGCGCCTATGTATGTGTATCTCTTGTAAGCTGAACTCTTTTTACAGGAAAAATCATCAGTTTCTATTGCAAAGGTATTTAAAGCTGCCCCTGCTTCATTCGCCCCCCTTTCGCTACCTCGCGCTATCCCCCTCTCTCTCACACACACACACAAACACACATGGAAATCAAGTACAAAAATTACACACACACATACATGAACAACTCCATAAAGTTTAGCATACACTGAAGCGTGCGAATTGTTGCGAACTGTACAAAGAAATGGAAGGAAAAAGTAAGAAACAGGAAAAGCGAGCTGGGAATATTTCAAAATTCACTTGCAATGCCGCTTGCCCCTCGTCCTCAAAATGTCATTGCCGTGCTTGCACGTGCATATTAAACACATTTTATTGTCACACGCACACGACAACACTCAGGAACACACACACAGGCACAGAAAAAAAAAGAAAACACACGCTCTACGGTTGACACTTGGTTGAGGAAGACATTTTTTGAAGTCGCGAGTTTCCGGCGCGTCGGCCATTTTGTGGCAACATTGCGCGTTTAATTTAAATTGCTTTGGCGTTTTCATTTCCTTTTTTTACGAGTGTGTAGTCTTCATTGCTGCCCCTTCTACGTTTTATCTCTCTCTTTTTTTTTTGTTCCCTCCTGTGCTCCACCTCTTTGCTTGTGTGCTTCTTGCTTTTTAGTTGGCGCTTTGTGGCTCGCTTATGTCTCACTCTCTCACTTCCGGTACAGTTGTGTCCTTCTGTAATCGTGCTCAGTGTGACCAGTTTCTACTATGATTCACCCCTTTCTCGCTTCTCGCTCTGTGACTAGCTAGATCGCTCTGTGTAAGAGAACTACTTCTCACTTCTCGCTCTTTCAGCTCGCTATTCGCTCTAACTTCTCGCTCTCGCTTAAAGCTGTTGCTAATCGCTCTCGCTAACCGCTATCGCTGTCTTTCACGCTCGCTTACCTTATATCTGTCTCTCTCTTGCATTGGTCAACCGTGTCTCACTCTGTTCAGTTCTGTTTAGCTCTTTTGATTTGCCTCACGTATATTCGAATTGGCATTGTCTATCTCACTCTAATTAGTTGAATGTTCTCGCGAATCAACGACGAGACTCAGCACCAACCAAAATTGATTTATCGATATCATTTACTTGCTTTATTTTAAACACATCTGTCTACGTAAATCTCGATGTATATGTTTACGATACGCATTGAACATACAGATTACTTATATGGAACTACGATTACGGATTACGATTATTAATTGTTCTCTTTGTGCTCTCTCTTTATCTCTCTCTCTCACTCTCACTCCTTCCTTCTCTCTCTCTATGTCTCAATTTCTATCTCTTTCTCTCTGGTGTGAACTTCTCTTTCGTACACTTTGTTTCTTTGTGTGCTGGATGTTCTTCCGATCTAATCTGACAATCGCATCCCATAACTCTCCTAATTATCTGTACACATCGCACCCCTAGCCTGTCGCAGTACTACGAGTTCTCCAAGGATCAGGACTACATCTGCTCCACGCCCAACGATTCGGGAATGCATCTCTGCGGGAACTTCCCGCCGTATCGCATCGGTTCGCTGGTCTGCAATGGTAAGTCCCCTCATCCCTACATACGTATACCCATTCCCGTCCCCATCCCCATATTCAAACCCATCCCCAGTCAACGTCAATTACATTAACTTTAAAGCTAAATGAAGTGCAAATTGCGCTGTAATCAAATTTGATGGCATTTTTAATTGCCCTCTCGCTGTCGCTTAATGACAGCCAGAGCCACCGAAGCAATCACAATTACAAACAATACACTTTCCGCCCCATCTTCCCATCCCGCAATCCGCAATCCGCAGGGGAGGCCAAGCTGTCCGACTTCAATGAGCCGACGAACACGTCCTGCGTCAATTGGAACCAGTACTACACCACCTGCAAGCAGAGCGGCGAGAATCCCTTTCAGGGCACGATTTCGTTCGACAACATCGGGATGGCCTGGGTGGCCATATTTTTGGTGAGTAGTATCCCTACCCTGAAAAATAACTAAGATAAGAATTTATTATATTATCATTATAGTTTTATTTAATTCAGTTTAGACAGTTTTAGACCGTGTTCACGTTGAGTTTCAAAGGCATTGGATTAGAGATATATTCGGCAAGCCGAAGTTTATATATTCTTGCGGCTGTTACAAAGATTGAATATTCTGTATTTCGACTTCCTTGCTTAAAGCAAAGAAAATTTGTGAAAGAAAAGTTAAGGGCTAAGAATTGCAGGTTTTTGGTCAATTTGCTGCAAAGTCATTTTTCAAAATTTCGGGTTTGATCATAAAAATGACAAAAAATCGAGCAAAAAAAAAACAAGATTTAAACACAGATTTTTAGAGAATTAATCCACAATCATTTATAAGTCTTTTAAATCTAATGTCTTTAAGAACAGTTATGGGCTGAGTAGTGGAGGTTTTTCTTTTCTGCAAGGCGATTTAAAATATAATAACATAATAAAATTTATAATTACCCTCTGCAAGGGTATATAAAGACATTAAAATAAATCACTTTCAAATTTTTATTGATATAGGTCCACTAGACAATTTTAAATAGAATATTCAATTCAAAACTACAACCAGTATAATATTTTGATGTGTAAGCAATTAGTGTTCAACTTTGCTCGACAAATAGCAACAGGCGAAAAGCAGCGATAGAAACAACAAAATGTTGTATGCTAATTCGGTGTCAACTGCTGCCGCGAGGAAAACTCCCAGCTCTGCTTTCCCTAAACTAACAAAACAATCGCCACCAATTTGCATCCCCTTCCGAACGGGGACAGGGTGATTGGGATAGGGATAGTAATAGGAATAGGAATAGGAACAGTGATAGTGATACGGATGGTGATGCCGAAACTGATGCCAAAACCGATGGCTGTTCCCCCCCAGCTCTTGCCACTTTAAGTGCACTCGTCCTCCGGGGCGGGCCTTAATTGATATGCCAATTACACGGCGCACACCGCAAGCCAATCTATTGATATGCAGGTCAAATGATGTAATTAAGCCCAAATCAAGTGCACATTAAGCTATGAAACCAATAGCGCCCTATACACGGTGGTTTTCAGCAGGCAGGGGGTCTATATTTAATGGCCTCGGGGAGTTAAATTTGTATTGATTTTCGCAACGTTTTGGTTGAAACGGCTTTGAATACGAATGCTTTAATTAGTGATAAATTTCCCATTATGGCAAATCCAGTTTAACCGATCGCTTATTTATAACCATGTATGGTTTCACATAATTTCAACATTGGCATGAGCATTCTAAGTCTCTTGTAAAATCTTTTGACCTTCAACACAGAAGACGCCAGTGACAAGTCAATATATTTTAAGTTTAATAAAGACAATTGCAACACTGACTTATGAAAATAATGTAAAAAGAAAATATTGTAAAATATAGTTCAGTTTTCTACGTTTTTATTTATTATTTATTATTATTGACTTAGCTTTTGATTAAGTTGTTAGTAACTCTATTTTTTTTGTTTCCCAATTGTTAATCGAAAAGCAGACACCTTTTGATAGGTTTAAGATTGATCAGGTAGAGGCCACTGAATTTTTCGTGTTTCATCGCTTAAAGCCGCACATTACGCATACGTGATGTGGTCCGTGGCCAAAAGGCTATCCTAATTGCTCTGCCCACAACCCTTTTCCTTTTCCCGGTTTCGCTTTTCCCTTTTGGCCAACAATGGCGGGGCGTGAACAATAAAACACCAGCCATCTGCCTCAACTTTATACCTCGTATTATTTATTTTTCCTTTTTGCATATACTCGTCCATTTATATTTCTGCAGAGAGCGCACGCTAATTACGGTGAAATATTTGTTGGATTTGCAGGTCATCTCGCTGGAGGGCTGGACGGACATAATGTATTACGTGCAGGATGCGCACAGCTTTTGGGATTGGATATACTTTGTGCTGCTGATTGTGGTGAGTGTTTTTCGGCGGGGTGTTCTGAGGGATTTCAGTGGGTTAGCGGGTCAGGGGTCAGAGGACACGGTGTCTGGCGGCCTCTCGCTTTGATCACGAATTGAATATTTAATTTGTAGACGGCTTAAAGGGACTCCAACTAATTGAGCAAAAGTTGAGGGAGGGAAGGGGGTCTGGTTTTTAAGGGCTTACGGTTACCAACGATCGTTGGCCGAAAGTATGCTAAAGCAATTTGGCAATGCAAATAAGTAAATTACTTTTAAACTATGACCACACACGCGCAGCAGTTGATTCTGTGTTCAGGTGGGCGACCAAACAAAGGGGCAAAGTTTGTCTACGAAAAATGCCATGAATTTCATGAAGCTGGCAACATGTTGCAACGCCGACAGCAGACAGCAGACACTCTGAACCTTTCCTTTGCCGCTTGCCTTTCCCTCTCTTTCCCATTTTCCATTTCCATTTGCCACTTTCACATTTTCCCACTTTCACATTTTCCCACCCAGCGACTGTCCACTTTTGCCAGTGCCATCTTGGAGTGGACTCCAGTCTGTTGTGCTGTCATTTGCATGGCAGGATTTGTGCTCAGGTGTCCTTGGACTAATTAAAAGCCTTTATGGCTCACAGACACTCACACACACCAACACACACACACACACGCGAGTGGACGCAGACACAGATACAGACACACATGGGCAAATTTCATTATTTATGTTTGAAGTTTGCTCAACCTTTCTCTCTCTCTCTATCTCACACTAGCACTGTCTATATCCCTATCTCCGTCTTTGTCGCTGTTCATTTCGTGTGCAAAATGATTTTCCTCTTGCTGGCTACAACTTTTGGTATGCAAATAGTTTCCCAAACCCCCTCCCCCCCATCCAGAACTCACTCCAACTCATCTCCCTCCATTTGCCATTGGTCGTTCGCCGTGGAAGGAAATTGCTTATTTATGTTTTATGCATTTTCTGCCAAACTCACGAGTTCCAAATTAGAAGCGCTTTCTTTGTTTTTGAAATATGTTTTCAATTTAAAGTTTGCCAACATTTCGATTTTCAGTCCTCGAAATGAGAAGTACTCTTTACGAGTTGTGGATATTAGGACTTGTTCAAATGCAACTAGTGCCAGAATCTTATTTCAGAAGGATAGTTATTTGTCCCTCCCACATTCAACATCCAGCATCTTAAATTGTAAAGTTTCCACTTGGAAATCAGATTTTAAAAAGGGGCAGAACGTGAAATTTCGAGTGTAAACACTTCTTAAAACATCTAAAGTCGACCTCAATTTCACCAATTGAATTTAGTTTAATGATTCAACTTATTAAAGTAGAAAATTGGCATTTAAAACTTCTATCATTGGATGTCCTGGCAAGTAAAGAGCTGATTTTATTGCTGATGAGAACTTAAAGCGATAGTTTGAAACTTCGTTTGCAAGGTCTAGCTAAGTTTTTCAATAATTCGTAAGCAAGCTTCAGCGAATTAAGCCATACAGTCGGTGGAATCTGAAGTTTTGCGATTTTAAGACTTGAGATCCGCCTTGTAATACCCCCGTTGACCGCCAGGTGGCGTCTGCCGATCCCCCAGCTAATTGAATTTAAGTGGCTGGCTGAAAAGGTCCTCCCCGAGGACTTATCAGAACCCTGTGTTTGCTGTGTGTTTTTGCGGGAGAGCATAAACAAAGGCATGGGAAAACTTTCAGCTTGCATTTGTCGTTGTCGCTGGCAGCAATGAAAACGAAAACTTTTAAACGGAAATGCGAAAAGTTTTTCCAGCAACTATAAAAGCGCCACCTGCTGGCGCGAATTCACCTTTTTTCCCTTTTTTTCACGGATACCATTTTGGATATCCTTTTATTGCATATTTCGTGGGCCACTCTTTACTTTAATATGTGTTTAAACTGAGTTATTTTTATCGATTACAGATTGGTTCGTTCTTCATGATCAACCTCTGCCTGGTCGTCATCGCCACACAATTCTCGGAGACGAAGAAACGTGAAATGGAGCGAATGCGACAGGAACGGGCCCGGTACACCTCCACCTCGACCTTGGCCAGCAGCACAAACAACTCGGAGCCGGCCACCTGCTATGCGGAGATCGTCAAATATATCGCCCATCTGTGGCGACGCTTCAAGAGACGAATGTTAAAGAAGTACAGATTATATAAGTATGCTGCTTGTACCTTTTGATTTCATTCAATTATGTCTTTCGTTCGTTATTTTAGTTTCCAGCTTCCGTTCCCTGCCCATGTCTCTCTCTCTCTCTCTATCTCTCTGTCTCCGACTCTATCAGTCTGACTCTCTCTGTTTGATTTTATCGACCCCTCGACCGCGAAGCAAAAAGAAAAGCTATAGAAAGCTGTAGGCTTTAGTCACTTGAAACTTGATTGATTACTAACCCATTAAAGCGAGTAATTAGCGCACTAATCTCTCTCGGCAAAAAGCTTAACTCACACTGACAGGGGAACTCGAGCAGCGAACAAGGACTTTGCCCCAATCACCTGCGATTACCTCAAAAATTTCAAAGATTACTTAATTCTCATTTTGGTTTCGAATTGAAATAGACACCTCTATTTCATAAAGAGATTTCAGTTTAAGTCCAATTTCTTATATTCCTTTGTTATTCATTTTTGTTTTTACTCTCCGTTTATTATTTTAAATAATCTTATTTACTATAGATATATATTATTTTTTGATCCCTTATCAATTTAAACTCTACTTATTATTAAAGTTCGGTTATTTATATGTATTACTCTATCTGCTTGTTCGTTTTGTTCTATATTTTACAAAAACTTTTTTGAGATTGCAAACATTTATTTAAATTTCGATCAAGTAGCTTAGTTTTTTGTTTAAGCATATGTTCGAGTTTTCGCAACTTGGCTATAGCATATAGTATATGGAGTAGTGCACTTAATTTACCAGCGAGATTAGTGACCAGGGCATGAATGTGAATAGCTGAAAGTTTTAAGCTAGAGCAGTTAATTGCCAATGAGTATTTAAACCCCCTCATACACACATACAAGTATTAGGTAGTCCCCTAAAAAAGGCTTTACATTTTTTAAAAATATTTATAATAAACAAAGTACAAAGTCACTTCGAATGCAGAAAATGAGAAAATCAATTAAATCAAAAGGTTTCAAAATATGTCCCACAAAAAAAAGTTTAAGCTCAAGGTTTCAACATAAAATTTTTTTGATTTTGGTAAGGACCATTTGAATTTAAAGAATGGAGTAACGTATTTTGCATAAGTTATACACTGTGTTAAATATAAACCTCTGCAAATCTTTGTTCTTTCTGAAAGAGAAATCAATCTTAATAATGTAGTATGCCGACCCAGACTAATCAGCTAATCAAGAGCTCCTTTTTGGTGACCCATCTCTGCAACCACAACCTCACCCATCCACGTGCCTCACACAATGTTGCTGCCACACAATGATGCCACATTTAGAACAGAGTACAGAATACCGAGCTAAGCGAATGGCACTGAATCCGCAGATGGGACTCGTGTTAATTTGGATCATTTGCATTTTTGTACTGTCGTTGTCCTTAGTTCATTTGATTGAATTATGTAATTGCGATTGTTGTCTGTCTAATGGCTAAGCACACGCACACACACACGCGACATTGGCACTGACACTAATGAGAGTGCACGTACAAATGAATACCCCACCTGAAACGCCCCACACCACACCCCTCCCCCCACCCACCTTTTTAGTCGATGCACGTGCAACGAAACCACCCACATCTCCGTGCCACCTGACCCACCCAATTTGACCCCAAAAACAGAGAACACGATGTTTTGTGTACAGACATGAGTGTGTGAACCCCGCGAACTGTCAGTTAAACTTGTCGCTAATCGAATTGTTATTCCACCCACTCTGCCGCTCTGCCACCTCCACCACTGAACCACCGAAACCTCCAAAAACCCACTCGGTGGCACCACAGGTACCAGCGACAGCAGCGCAAGGAGGGCCTGCTGCCCAATGCCGACAATTTGACCTTCTCGCCGTCGCGGATCAAGTGCCATCATCCCAAGTGCCCCAAGTACAGTAATCGCAAGCCGTCCAGCATTCAGGATCAGATGATTACCGTCATGGTGCCGCTTAATTCGGCCAGCAACAACAACAATAATAATAACAACAACAGCACCAGCAGCAACCACAATGGCAGTGGCAACAGCAATAACAATAACGCAGCCAGTTGCACCACAGTGGCCCTGGTCAATGGGATAAATGGCAGCGCCGCCAGTGTAACGATGTCTTCGGCCCACCACCAGCAACATCAGTTGCTGCAACAGCAGCAGCAACAGCAGCAACATCAGCAGCAGCAGCAGCAGCAACAACACTCCTCCTCCGACAACACAGAACAATCGCTGGGCGCAGATGGGTTACCAAGAAGTTCCTCACTTAAAAAGTCCACCGCCCATCATCAATTGAAGCCCGAGGGCAGTGCCGCCGAGCAAAAGACCATATTGCTCAAGTTCCCGCAGCAAATGATTGATTCCGAACAGCTAATTGTGAGTATACCAACATTCATGCCGATCAGCCTAATCCACAAAAAAAGAACACCCAAATCGATTCGAAAACGAAAACAGTAAAGATAAACAGCCAAAGAAACAGAATATTTGTATATATATTTCCAAATTCCGAACCCAAAAAAATAGCCAGCTTACAAAAACAGACAGCATTTAAAACAGCAGCCACAAATGAAAATAATAATAATAATAATAATCTCTCATATTTGTTATAAACCTCGCTAATTCGCATAGCTGCAGTTGGGAAATTTAGGAAAGGTACTGAACAATAAATAAGTAAAATAATATGTATAAATTGCCAGCATAATTTATGAAAGAGCGCAGCACAACTTCGGTGGAACCGAAGTCTGAATGTCCTACAAAAACAAAAAAAAAATATGTAAACATGCTAACTATGACCTCTGACAAGGGCATTCAGCCTGCAAACAATAATCACCAATTATGCAAAACACATAAAAACCAATGGATAAAGAAAAAATACTTACAAATTGTAGATATAAACGATATGTTTGCATATTAAGTGCAGTTGGAATAGCTTTTTTTTTTGTTTTTGTGTTTATAAACACAGCGAATTGATTGTCCCATTGATAAGTCTGTAGCCCATTGTTCCAGCCCATTGTCCCGCCGAAATGCCCATTAATTATTTATATCATTTCGTTTTGTTTGCGTATGTAAATGACGTTTGAAAGCAGAGACAATACCCCGACCTGTGTATATGTGCATACGTCCCCCAATAAGCCCGTAATAAATGTTAGGCGTGTCGTAAAAATGGGTAAAGATTAAAGTGTCCATGTATTAGAAGATATTGGAATTTTACTAAAACAAAGAGAAACAAAGTTACGGTAAATTTTATAAACTAAATACCTTTTAAATAAAAAATAAACAAATTTTCCTTACCTTTTAAATAAAAAATAAACAAATTTTCCTTAAGTATACCAGAAGGTGAGAAAGCTTCTGAGAACCCTTCTAATGTATATCAGGTCTTGTAAATTCAATAAGAGGTGTTTCTATAGCTCCAGACCCTTGTAAGAAGCCCTGTATAATATATAGCTCTGAGATCCCCCAGCCCTTCTTGTTATGGTATCGTTACTGGAGTTTGCTTGTAGTTAGTCATAGACCCAGTTAAGCGTTCGCTTCCATTTCATTCCCTAAAAATACCCGACAACCCCCCTCAGTTAATGTAACCCTTTTAATACCATCTTTGTTCTAACACTGCACCTTCGCAGAGCCATCCATGCACCTCTGGATTCCTTAGTCCGCCCACCTCAGTCAGCCGCCGACCATCGGTGATGTTCAACGAGTATGTCCTACTGCACACGCCCCCCGCCTTAAATGCGGATCCGGCTGCGGCGGGCACCACCTCCACTGTCCCCACTACAGTGGCCACCGTTGCAGGAACGGCGGCAGCGGCTGCCGCAGCAGCGGTGGCGGTGAATGCTGGCGGCAGCAATAACAGTTCCGGACTCAATAACCACCAGAACGGTGCCAGTGGTGGCGCAAGTGGAGGAGCTGGTGCAGGTGCCGGTGGTACCACTGAAAAAGGCAACATCTTTTCCACGGAGAAGATGACGCAGGCTGGCGATGGCAGCATCTGGCAGGTAAGTTACCAACTAAAAATTAAATTTATAGTTTGGCGATCGCGTAAGTTAAAATTGGCGCCCGCGGGTGGACTCACCTTTTCAAAGTCGCTGCTTGGGCGCCAATCAGCACATTTTCCAATGACTTAAATTTTGCTTACATTGTTTGAGAATTGAATTAATACGTGAAGTCAAACCTGCAGAAAGCCCAATCACGATTTGCCATTCTTCTTACAGGTAAATTTACCACAGACCATCGGCACAATTGCTAATCCCTATGCCGATTGCTCTGAGCTCGGTATACACGATGCGATGACTTGTCAAGAGCTCTTAGCATTCTCTGTGGCCTTCTCAGCGGCTTTGCCGACGGGCCAGAGTACCCTAGAGTCCTTCTACACATCGCTGGCCCGCTGCGATCCTCACACCGCCGAAGCGTTGCGGGCGCACCACAAACCACGCTCCCTGGTAGCAGCTCAAAGCCAAACGCCTCCAGGCTCTGAAGGAGCTACTGTGATGGTTGCCTCAACGGCCGGCGATCCCGGCCAGACACTCGAACCGACAACTGTGTCGGCTGTGGTGGGTCCCATCGGCACCCAGACGGCGAACCACCGCCGCAAAGAGCACCACCAGCAGTCACATGGATCGCACCACCATCATAATAACAACAATACCACCAGTCACAGCCGGAATTATCGCTCACGGCAGGGACAGGGTAATTCGCGAGCGCGAGAATCCCGCACTCCCACCGGCAACTATATGGAGGACTATGCCTGCTGCTACGATCTCTACCAGAACGCCCTGTCGCCACTGGACGAACGGCCCAGGCAGAGATCGTCGACGACTCGCTGCCTGATCGCCGTCTACCGCTGCCTGTCGCGCGTCTGCAGTTGGGCTCGTCGCTACATCCGGCGATTGGTGGAGCAAAAGTACTTCCAGCAGGGCATCCTGTTGGCCATCCTGATAAACACCCTGTCCATGGGAATTGAGTACCACAACCAGCCGCCGGAACTGACCGCCATTGTGGAGACGAGCAACGTCGTCTTTTCGGTCATCTTTGCAGTTGAAATGCTGCTGAAAGTGGTTGCCGAGGGTCCGTTTCGTTATATAGCCAATGGGTTTAATGTGTTTGATGGCATCATTGTGATCCTCAGGTGAGTGAAGGGGGCTTGCTGTGTAGTATTTTATAAAGAAACCCAATAATCCATTTAAATATCACCTCGAAATCAGTGCCATTGAGATCTGTCAGACGTTCATGGGTAATGGAACGGGCGGCGGTGGCTCCGGCCTGTCCGTGCTGCGAACCTTCCGATTGCTCCGAATCCTCAAGCTGGTCCGCTTTATGCCCAACCTGCGACGCCAGCTATTTGTGATGCTGCGCACCATGGACAACGTGGCCGTCTTCTTTTCGCTGCTCGTTTTATTCATCTTCATCTTCAGGTGAGTTCGATTGCCGATTATCCACCACAACTCACAGACACACACACGAGCACACAACAACCCAGTTATAAACAAACACCCACACTAACACACACAGACAAACTTACATACAAATGAAAAGAAGACACCAACACAAACACACACAGACACACAAAAATGCGGAGATAACAAAAGTAATGATGAAAAAGAAAGAAAATTCAACATAATCTACAATCGATAGCGAACCAGTTATCGAACGCGACCCCACAAACAATAAATTAATGTAATGAAAAAGAGTGATTAACCCAAAGAACCCGAGCCACAGAAACAGAAACAGTTCAGTTTCGTTAGCCCATAGCAGTCGTCTTATGTCTAACAGTTCCTAGCGCCTCACTAGCTGCTTTTCACATAGATGAACGTCCTTTAACAAACCCATCCAGCCCACCCAAACCCCCGCCCAGCCATTTACCCATCATTAAAGAAAATCCATATCTCCAGTTCTACCAATTGTCCACATCAGAACCTTTCAGAACCAGTTATTTTTCAGGGAGAAAAGGTCTAAAGTTGGTAAATTGATTTTATTGATAACTAAAGGTTTTCATGACTAAAACCCTATTAAAAATAAACTTAAATATATCCAAGGTTTTTAAGTCGACATCATAAAACGAAGCAGTATAACAGTTTAAAATTTTCCCAAATAATCTCTAATTAAAGATATATCAAATCAATGAATAAATCAAATCAATAAAGAACTGAAGTATTGACTTGTTTGTTTCTATTTAAATTACAGTTCACTTCGTAGTTAGGACTTCAGTATTACACTTGTGAAATTTTTCGATAACTGCCAAACCGTTTAGCATTTAATGGAAATTTCTTTTCCTGCCTTTCTCATCCCACTTCCCTAGTTCGCAGGTTCCCTAAGGCCCCTACCCTTGTCCACCCCATAATCATACAAAGACTTACACGTATATCTTGAACCCCTGCCTCTCCAAGCCCCACCCTCATTTATGTGCTTTTTCAACACGATCATTTCTACTGCGTACCACTTGAGTATTGCCTCTATGAGTAAGGATCTGCTTTAATGTCTCCAAGCGATCTATTAACGATTTCTCTCTCTCTCACCACTTTTTCTTAAGTTCTATCTCTTGGTATCTTTCTCACTTACTGTCTCTGAGTAACATTTGAAAATTATGGAAGAATCGTAGTTAGATGACGTTACGATTTGTGTAACTTTTTAAGCAATCGATCTCGTATCCGTACCAGCAAGAACTGTACCCGTATCACTGATATATATCTCTGTCTCTCTCGCTATATCTTTCCCGATCCTTTTTTACCCTCTTTATGTCTCTCTATCCAATCCCATAAGTGCCGTTAGTTGTCGTACACTTTGAGTCCTCGCTCGTTCACTTTGCATTACTCTTACACACTCTCAAACACCTTCTAACATCTCACTAACACGGACAAAATTTCTCCCTCTTTCTAATCTCTGAAATTCTCTGTTTCTATTACTCGCTCGGCTCACCTCGATTTGAGTTCAACTTCAAGCACCGACCAGGTCGTCGCTGCCTTTCTTGATCAACTTTTTTGGAATCTGTCTTTTACTCTACTTTCTTCAAACCTTCAAAAAACTCTTTTTCATCACATCACGATCAAGCTCTTTTCAACACTATCGCTGTCTCTCTCTTTTTCTCTATGACACGCAATCATTTAAAGCTCATTTGGTTTAACACACTACAACTACAGCAAAAACAGCCACAGAAACAATTAGTTAGCTTAGTTAGTTAGCCAAAAACGCTTTATTCCATTTCAAATTAACTAAGTGTGTATCCTAGCTTCTTTTAGCGTTAACCAACACTGCAACACACATACACACTCTTACACACAGAAAGCTCGGCTTGGTTTTGATGCATTTGCCAGAAGACTTGAAAATGCAGGCTTTAAAGCTTTGCTGCTCGAAGCTTTTTACACGGACACGGCACACGCACACTCACGCCAAAGTATACACTCGACAAAATAAAAGTATTTGGAAAAATTAAAAAAAATACTTAAAAAGATCGTACGCTTACTTATTGTGTAGTTGCAGTCGCTGCAGTTTGATACATACCTATATATACCCGTACTCTCTCTCTATCTATATATATATATATGATAACTCGTAATTGATTTACTCGTATAATTATGAATATCCAGTATTTACACACATATCGACAACAAGAACACACACATTAGCTAGCTTAGTTGCTAAAGTAAACGTAATCCAGTTTGTGTAGTTAGAATAGCAAAAACACAACAGCCACACGAAACATCCGACCAGACTCTATATAACATCACATACTATATATTAACAAGCGAATAATGAACCAAACGAACTGTAAATGAAGCTGAACATGAACAAGAAGCCAGCGTCGCCACCGATAAACCAACTCGATAAATGCCCTGAATAAACTCAAAAGAGAAAACTAAAATAAAGCAGAATACTGAAAACAGACGATCAAAACACATAAAAAAGAAACAAAAAAAAACAAGCCCAAGGACCAAATTTTTTCCCATTAATCGCAAGGCTTAAGCTTCTCCTTAGTTCCCTTTAAAGCGAACTGTACCTTTGTTTCGTTTCTATTCTGTTCCGTGGTCCGATTTCAGTCGTTTAGGCGGGCCTTTAAAGCTCCCTTTCTAACCTTCTCTCTTTTTCCGAGAGTTTTAATTTCTTAGCTTTCGTTTGCCTCTCAAATCACTTACAATAACACTTAATAGCTCCGCCTAGCTCCCTTGATCTCGCTCTGTCTCTCTCTTTTGTCTCTCTCTATCATTCACCCACACTCTGTCTCTTTCCTTCTTAACTATCTCTCTCTCTCTCTATATATATATTTTGTCTCTCTCTCCCTTTCTCTTTCTCTCTTTGTCACACTCCACACAAATTAAAAATGAAACTAAAAACAAACCAATAATAACCGAATAAAATGAAAACCGAAAATATAAAATTTACCTAAAAAACTGTATGCTAAACACAACCCAAAAAAATACCCCAAAAAAACCAAAAACACAAAAATATATAAGAATATATATTTAAAAATATAATCGAAAACGAAAAACAATCAAACAAAATATATATATATATATATATCATATTATATATCAACAAAACCAAACCATCACTTTAGTATACTCGGCATGAATCTGTTCGGATGTAAATTCTGCGAGAAAGTTAACGGAGAGATGATTTGCGATCGTAAGAATTTCGACAGCCTGCTCTGGGCGCTCGTCACAGTGTTCCAGGTAGACCCATTGCTATCAGTCTTATACCATACGTAAACCTTTATGTATATATCAATACTACTACTACTACTATTCCTAATCCTAATGTTACGCCATAATCTGCTACTGATATGATAACGATAACCTAACTGTTCATAAAACCGAATAAGAAAAAAAAGCGAAAACCCAAAGAAACCCATTACGAATCCCCCAAAGAAATACGTTTTGATACGTTGAGCATTTTGCTTTCTTTCGTTTTCACCTTTCTTTCGACTTCGACTTTGATTACTCTTTCCGTTTCTGTTTTAATTTTCATTTCCGTTTCCGTTCCGATTCGATTAACCGTTTGTTTTCCGCCTTAACCGATAACTGTTGTGACGTTCTATCACTCTCTCACTCTCGCTCTGTGTCTCTGTCTGTCTGTCTAATCATGTGTTTTTTTTTTGTGCGTGGGTGCGAGTGATTTGGATATCGATTTTCGGCTTGATCACTCGCACACAAAAATCTTATAATTTATATGATTTCTTATTGATGCATTTCGATTGCCAGGCATCGAGATCGACTAGCTAGCTAGCCATGTTGCTCGCTCGCACTAATTTGTGGTGTGCCCTTTGATTAAGTGTGGTATTCAGTTTAAGACCTGATTTGATCTTTAGTTTCTTCGATTTCGATACCAATTTCGATTACAATTACGATTCTTGATTTGGCATGCATGCGTTGACCGTTGCGATTACAGTTAGCTAACCATTAGTGTTAATGTTAGAATTACCGTTGCCGTTACAATTACCGTTACGAGTTCCATAGCAAGCAGCGCGCATCCGCATGTCGTTCGGAGTATTCGTACATATGGAAATGTCCATAAGCCAATATGTCCGTAAGATCCTTGTATGTGTGTTTGTATTTGTGTGATGTACATTGATGCACCAGGTAAGCATTTCCGTTCGAGTTTGTTGCGCTTTTCGCATGCGATAATAACCGAGTAGAAATGAGTTTGCATCCAGCATCTCGAACACTTCGCATACACCTATCGAAAACACACACACATTATTTGACACCTCTGTCTCTATCTCGCTCTCAATCTCTTTCTCTCTCTGTCTCGCTCGTGCTTTTCTTTGTGTACTATAAATATTTATGCTTCAATTTTTGTCACACTCTTTGCTCAATGTCCTATGTTTAAGTATAAATACCTATCTCTAGACAATATGCTATTCTAGACTCTAAGTTGTATAGAACTCCACCCAAAAACCCTCTGAAAGGAGAACTCTCTCTGTCTCTGTCTCTCCCACTATCTCGCACACAGACACAGCCACACATACACAAGCATAACCAACCAATCTCCCACTGTAATCTATAATCAAAGTCCCCCCTTTTACTCAGACTCCTTTTAGGAACACATACCTCATATACGTACCGTACATGCAAAACACATACAGATTCTTCTGTAATCCGTAGAGTTTTTCGATCAGTTCAAGTTGCCATTCCAAAGGACCCCGAAACCAACTGTAAGATAATAGCACACAATTATAGGAGGTATATGTAAATATGCAAGCATTGAGGCCAGATCGAGAACTAACCACCAACCACTGTGTATATAGACAGACAGAACTCACCAAAAACAGGGTAGAAAAGAACAGAAGAATCCAGGCCGGCAGAAGAACAGAATCTGACTCAGATGAGAAAGCTCTTTTCTCTGCCTCTTTATGATTTTCTTCCAAGAATCACAAGTTACCCCCAATAATCACCCAATCCACAATTGTATGTACAGGGACCACTAGATGAACCTACTACTCGTTTATATCCTTAGACATAAGAATCGCAACTATATAATATATATATATGAACCCAGCTCTCTCTATATCTATGAACCAGTTTATATAGCCATTAATGAACTATGATAACAGACACACATCTATGACTCTATAAATAAATACAAATGTATACGGTATATATAAAACATATATATAAACCTGCAGCATACTCGGCATGTATCTGTTTGGCGGTAAGTTTTGTAAATTTTTGGACGAATCCGGACTCGAACGCGAGTGCACGTGTCCCGAAATAATCAGCCGGCATCCGCAATGCGAGTGCGATCGCAAACACTTCAACAACATTTTGTGGGCCACAGTCACAGTATTCCAAGTAAGAACAATAATACAGCAATAAACTACCTACCACCAACTTACCCACAGCCCTAGTCCCCCGAATCCCTCCACCATCCAAGCTGTACCTCCCATCACCCCCAAAATAAAAGAAACCCATTTTGAACAACAGCCACAACAATATACCCATCAATACCAGTCTGAAATTATTGTGATTAAGACAAAGTATTTACGTATAGCCACAAAAGTTCCTAGTTTCTGCTCTCCTTTGACCTCTTTGTTTGACTTAATTTACATAATCCTGCTCCTAGTCTTTATCTAAGTACTCACCAGTTGGTTATATCCTTGAGTTCTCTCTTAATCAGCTTTGTTTCCGAATTTATTTTCGATTTCGTTTCGGTTCTGATGCCAGCAAATGTAGTCGTAGAGTTCTCTTCACCCACAAAACACCAGCAATCACTAAGACACGACCATTGGGTAAAATACTAAGATCATGAAGTCCCTGTATATATTTTGAATAAAAGGACGATCATCAAGACTTTGCGATCAATATTTGTGAATGTGCTTTCTCTTTGGATTATTTCCTGTCCTGTAAAAAAATACAAGATTTCTTTAAAAAAAAGTTCGGTTTTGTTCGGTTTGTAAATTTTGAAGGGATGTCAAGGTTATTGTTTGTCAGATAATTTAAAAATCCTTATGGTACACAAAATAAAAGACAATCTGCAAAAATATATCTTAAAATAAAATTCTTGATTGCTAACTGAAAATAATGAAAATCTGTAATCTTTTTTATCAAAAGATAACTAAACGAAACTGTAGTTAACAAAAAAAATGATTTTTGATTTGAATCAATAAAGTTATCGACAGAATTGACATCTCTAATATTGCCGATTTCCGCGGCAACTGTACAAAAGAAACCGAATGTCCTTGGGAAGGACTCACACTCGGTTCTCTCACATCAATCTTGTTCTCTCTCTTTTTATCTTCTGTCTCTCTCTCTCTTTTTTCCTTTTCCCCCTCTCTCGCTCACACAATCATATGACATAAACCAAGCAAAACCTATAACCGCTGATGTTCCGAGTTTTGTTGCATGATTTTTGGGATCTTCACCTTAATTTGCCCTCAGCTTTTGGCTTTCGGCTTTATAATTGAATGCCAGACCTGAATCAACTTTTGATTGCGACCTCCCACGACTTTTCAAAACCCAATGAATCAATGAATCATCTACAGCCACACTCATACAAACTGTATATATTTGATTTAAGTTTTTTGTTTGTTCGTTGGTTTGTTTGTTTGTTTGTTTGTTGGTTCGTTGGCTTGTTCAAACAGAAACGAAAGTTTTTATTTCTCAATTTGCTGCTGCTGCTTTCCCTCGATCTTTGCCTTTTCTATATCTCTTTCTTTCGATCCAATTTAATATTTGTTGCTAAGCAAGCTGTACAAAAAGCGTTGTTCATACATATATTTTTAAAGTTGCTTATGCGCAATACAAATGTACAGCCACAAAAGTTTAGAAAAAAAAAACAAAATTAAATTAATTCGTCTCCTATATAAACCGCATTCGTATTGTATAGCAATAAAAAAAAAAACGAAATAGAAAATTCCATTGGCACTTTGTGTACAAAGCAAAAACAGAATGGAACCAATTGCTCCATTAAATTTTTAAACTTTTTACAAATTTTTATATGCAAGAGTTTTGTGCGCCTTTTTGCTCTTTGATTTAGACCGAGAGCCTTCGCTGCTTCTCTTAAATTTATTTGCTTTTGGCTTTGCTTATAGCGTGCTTATATTTTAATTTCAACTTGGTTTTAATTTAGTTTTACCTTTTGTTCATTAAGTATACCACACCACGAATTATTGTTTAAAAAATAATCAGTTTGAGCAGCTTTTTAATCAGCTGTCCACGGATGTTTTGAGTCAAGCCGCCGCCACTGCTTGATCTCTCCCAAGTCCCCATCTATATCTATCCTCCGACTTTCTCACTTTTCAAAGCTATACCTTAATCCGGGTGTTTCTGAAATATATTTAATATTTAAATAGCTTGCCTCCAAATATAGTTTTTGGCATTCTAAAAAACTCCATAAACACTCTGGATAATGGTTTCTTTTCTTGGCTTTTGCCTCTTGATTGCATTTTTTTTATTTATTTTCTTTAACCTCAAGGAGTAAAGTGAAATACTTTTCTGGGGTCTATCCCATTAATCTCCTATTAACCGATGATATTTTTAAGTTTTTCGATTATTTTTTGTATGCGCCTGAGTTACCAAAAATCAAAATGAACAAACTGCTAGTGTTCGTTGCTCACCCAACATACGTACATATGAGTATTCCAGTCTGACACGATGTGTACTCATATGTATCTGTATGCAAATAAAAAGATAACACCATTTGCCGTTTTGCTCTCGCTCTATTTCTGTCTGTCTTTTGTCTGACCTTTGACATTTTTTCCATTCGTTTTTCATTCGTATTTCGTAACTAATTACTGCCTTACTTACTTACTTACTTTCTTTGCCACCCACCACAACGACAAAATTACAAAATTTGTTTATTGGTATTTCGTTCTTTTTCTTTCGCTTCTTACGATATATATTCCGATATGTGTATCACGACATATATATCCATGCGTATGTATGTTAAATCTGCACCACGTTTGCCGCCCGCCACTGCAACTGCCACCGATCAACAACTACAACTCTACAACTCCAACTCCAATCAAACTCCAACAACAATCAACAACAACTACAACTTCAACAATCACCAAAACAAAAAAAAAACGAAAACCAATGTTTTTAGATACTGACGCAAGAGGATTGGAACGTCGTCCTGTTCAACGGAATGGAAAAGACAAGTCATTGGGCCGCATTGTACTTTGTGGCCCTAATGACGTTCGGCAATTATGTGCTGTTTAATTTATTGGTGGCCATTTTGGTTGAGGGATTCAGTTCAGAGGTAGAGTTTTGCCAACATCATTCCCCTGTCCCAAACTTGAAACTTGAAAAATAAGAAAACCCTAGCATTTTCGAAACGATCTTTGGATTCTCCTCGATTGGCTATTTGATACAAAATATATTTTCACAAATATTCGCATGCGATGCTTCAAATTTTGAGACATTCTAAGCAATTTCTAATTAATTCAATACCTTTAATTACACCAGGGAATGTATCAGAAATAATTTAATATTAGTTTATTGTAGTTTAAAAAAATTATATAATTAATATTAAATTATTATAAATTATATAGATTTGAACACAGCTTTAAAGAGAATTTAGAAGTTTGGCTCTTTAAATCGAACTTCTGTAAGAAAACTTATGGGCTAAGAAAAAGACGAAAATCGACCCAAAAATAAAAACTAAACTGAAAACACAGTTTATTAGAAAATTAAACCACGATCATTTATAAGTATGTCACATTGAAATCGGATGTTATGGGCTTAAAAGTGTAGTTTTTTGGCACTTTTCTGCAAAGCCATTTTTCGAAAATTTGGAAAGGGGTTTTATCATTGCAAATGACGAAAAATCGACCAAAAAATAAAAAATAAACTGAGAACACAGTTTTTTAGAGAATCAAAATACGATCATTTAAAAGTAAGCCATTTGAAAATCGGATGTCTGTAAGAAAAGTTATGAGCATAGAAGTGCATTTTTTTGACACTTTTCTGCAAACCCATTTTCCGAAAATTTGGAAAGGGGTAACACCATTAAAAATGACGAAAAATCGGCCAAAAAAAAAAATTAATGTGGGGATGCTGAATTTTATATAATTAAACCACGATCATTTTGAGGTATGCCACTTTGAAATCGTATGTCTGTAAGAAAAGTTATGAGCATAGAAGTGCAGTTTTTTGACACTTTTCTGCAAACCCATTTTCCGAAAATTTGGAAAGGGGTAACACCATTAAAAATGACGAAAAATCGGCCAAAAAAAAAAAATTTATGTGGGGATGCTGAATTTTATAGAATTAAACCACGATCATTTTGAGGTATGCCACTTTGAAATCGGATGTCTGTAAGAAAAGTTATGGGTTTAGAAGTGCAGATTTTGGTCACTTTTCTGCAAAGCCATTTTTCGAGAATTTCGAAAGGGGTTTTATCATTGAAAATGACGAAAAATCGAGCAAAAAATAAAAAAAAAAACTGAGAACACAGTTTTTTAGAGAATCAAAACACGGTCATTTAAATGTAAGCCACTTTCAAATAGGATGCCTGTACAAAAAGTTATGAGCTTGGAAGTGCAGGTTTTTGGTCATTTTTCTGTAAAGCAATTTTTCGGAAATTAGGAAAATCATAAAAATGACAAAAAATCGACCCAAAAAAAAGCTAGATTTGAATACAGATTTTTTGAAAATTAATCCAAAATCAATTAGAAGTTTGCATTTTTGAAATCGGACGAATGTAAGAAAATTTATGGGCTAAGAAGTGCAGGTTTCTGCAAAGCCATTTTTCGGGAATTAGAAAATGACAAAAAATCGACCCAAACCAAAAAAAACTAAGATTTGAACACAGATTTTTAGAGAATTAAACCACAATAATTTGGAAGTTTTCCTTTTTGAAATCGGATGTCTGTAAGCAAATAGCATAGGGATAGCTATGGTCATAATATGAAGCATCGCGTGCGTCGCGACTCCAATCCCGCCGGCCTGTGCCCCAAATCCCCGCCCCTTTCCACCGGATGTGACCGGGAGTGGCAGCGAGCAAGTGGGTCCGGAAGCGACTGACCCGCCGACCCGACGAGCTCGAACACCCAATGCCACCATCACCACCACCACCACCACCACCCCGCAATCCACGCCGGTTGACGAGAAAGTCTAATTTTGAAATTTTGATTCCCTCAGCGAAATGAACGTCGCGAGCGCGAACAGCGCGAGTTGGTTAAGAAACTGCGCGAGGAAACGCTGGCCGAGAACTACAGCGATGGTATGTACGATGAGTCGCGGAGCGAGGCGGACTCCTCGACCACCAACGATAGTTACTACGAGGTGCGCAACCGCTGGCGATCGGCGGAGGATGTGCGCAAGGTAAGTGAGAGCTCGAGAGGATCGAGGATCGGGGATCGTGATCTTGACCAGGTGTGATTGAGAGTGCAAACAAAAAAAATATGATGGAGTGTGTGATAGTTGGGTTAGCATGCTGCATGCGCGAGTGTGTGTCTGTGTGTGACTGTGCTTGAGAGTGGCCCGAGTTGAATCCACGGTTCGTAATCCCCCATCCCCAGCTGCAGGACTCCGCGGAGCTGATCATCGAGGCCAAGAGCAACATGCACCGCCAGCGCCTGCTGCAGCCCACCCACGACTACCAGATCAACGAGCTGCCCGCCTCGTCTGCCGCTCCGTCCGCTGGTGGCACCTCCGGCGCCTCTGCGACGGGCGAGCGGGAAAGGGACAGGGACAGGGACAGGGATAGAGAGCGGGACAGGGAGGCGGGTGGCGGCGGCAAGGAGGAGGGAGGGGCGCAGCATGCCAAGCCGCGCGGCGGCCTCAAAAAGGTAAGAGCACCACATGGAGCAATCCGCGCAGACAGACATGAACACTTGACACCACCTGCACCCCGTCGCACACAGACATACTCGATCAAGGAGCGGCGCAGCGAGGCGCCACGCCTCTCCAAGATCCGTCTCGCCCGGGATCCGCCCATCATCACGACAACGGCGGCCACGCCGCAGGACTCGCCCAGCACCACCTTGGAGCCGGGCATGAGCTTCCGCCAGTGGGGCGACATGGAGGTGAGTGCCCAATACAATATAGTTGTATCTATGTGATCAAGCGGTGAAAATCAATGAACCCATTACCAAATCCCATCCCCAGCCACCCAGTCCGCCCTCCCCCTCGCTGTTGCGACCGCCGAACATCTTCACCGGCGGACAGCGGAGTCTGGACGAGGGCATCCCCTCCATCGATCTCATCCCGCCCTCGCCGGTGCTGGCCCACAAGCCCCTGAACATCCTGAATGCCAGCCAGTTGGGCATGGGCGTGGGTGTCGGCAGCACTGCCGGCAGCTCGGCCAGCATGCACAGCGTGATCATCGACGACATCTCGAAGAGCTCCAGCTCGACGGCGGCGGCCACGCCCATTTATGTGCCCACCATCTCGTCTTCGGCGGAGGCGCAGAGTCAGAGTCAGAGTCACAGTCTCAACGATGTGAGTGTGGGTTCAGGACCGGGCGTTGAGATGCCTGTGGCGGGATTGGGAAGGAGTACCAACACGGGGGCCTCGACCAGTGGCAGTTCCTCCAGCGAACGCCTGCCACTGGCCCCGCCCCCTCAGCAGGGCAGTTTCAAGCAGCGACTGAGGCGTGGCAGCTCCAAGAAGCGCCGCTCTTCCGCTCTGGCCCTAACCAGCGAGGACAATCCGGCGCGAAGAGCCCAAGAGGAGGAGGAGGAGCAGCAGCAGCAGCAGCTGAACAATGGCGGCGACAATAGCTTCTTGCTGCGGGGAGGCAGCACTGTGGCCAGCGGCTCCTCCTCGGGCGCCAAGGAGACGAATCGCCTGAGTCCACAGAACTCGATCAGGAGGCTCTCGAACACACTGAGCATAGGCAGCGGACCCGTGGGCAGTCGCCGGGCCTCGGCCTGCATATTCAACTCGCAGGTGTACCAGAACCTGAACCAGCCGCCCAAGCCCAAACTGCGACCGGGACCGGGACAACGCCGGATGAGCTCCATCGAACTGGCATTCAGCAAGACCTCGCATCTGAATCTGCACAATCTGGAGGCCAACCGGAAGTCGCTCTCGTACACCAACTCGAAGATGGACCTGGACAAGTGGAACAAGTCGTACGGCAATCTGAACGAGCCGGACAACATGCTGCAGCAGTATATGGAGGCGCGGGACAAGCGCAAGAACTCCATCAGCCACTATAATCTGAAGAAGCGGCTCGAGGAGAAGGAGCTGCAGCAGCTGCAGCAGCTCCACCAGCAGCAGCTGCTCCAGCAACGGCAGGACTCCTTCTCCTCGACCACCCAGCACCAGCAGCAGCACCGCTTGTCCAAGGACCACCAGCAGCAGCTGGCGATGCAGCCACATTCCATGGTGCCAGGCGGCGGGGAGCGCTACTCCAAGCTCAAGATGCTCATCGAGCAGCTCACGCCCAAGCACTTCACCACCGAGCGCGAGGACTACTCGCTCTACATATTCCCCGAGGATAACAGGTGCGCATATTCTTCCCATATTCAAATGGAAAGCAATTTTGTATAATAAAAGAATTTAAAATTTCCATTGCTTTAAACAATGTACAAAGGTACAGAAACTATTGAAGAGTAATAAATCATCAATAGCTTGACCCCAAATTGCTAGTATTCAAGTATCCATGATTGTGAACTCACAACGTTCCTTTAAAACTAGGTAGCTCTTAAGTTACTTAATTATTCCACTCCACAAGTCAGCTTTTTTTTGATTGACTTGAACTCATTCTCATTTGTACGTTCTTAACCGAGAGGAAAATACAATTTCCAACTTTGTTTTACGTATTTGCATTCTGACACCCTTCGTGTTGCAGGTTCCGGCAAATCTGTACGTGGTTTGTCAACCAAAAGTGGTTCGACAACGTGGTCCTGCTATTTATCGCGCTCAACTGCATCACCCTGGCCATGGAAAGACCAAACATCCCTCCAAGCAGCACCGAAAGATTGTTCCTGGCAACAGCCAACTACGTGTTCACCGTCGTCTTCAGCGTCGAAATGTTCATCAAGGTGGGAGGCAGTGATATGAGTTATGTGAAATACTTTATTTAATCGATTTGAATGCGATTTAATTACAGGTGGTGGCCACGGGAATGTTTTACGGCCACGACGCCTACTTCACGTCCGGCTGGAATATCATGGACGGATCTTTGGTTACCATTTCCATAATTGATTTGTTAATGTCCCTGATTAGCGAATCGAGTCCGAGGATATTTGGGATTTTAAGGGTAAGTACGGGCTCGCGGCCCTTGGACACTTTGCTATCCGAAAGCAGCAGCAGTAGCCAGCAGTCCTCAGTCGACCAGAAAACCAAGAAAACCAGAAAAACAAGCCAATCTCAAGCGATTAACAACAGGCAGACCATCAACCAGAACAGCTACTACCAAGAACCACGCCCAGAACCGACCACGCCCATTTAATTGGCTGCTGGGCTGCGCACTCGGATCAGAAAAGCTATCGCGAAATCGCTATTTAATCTAAGGCTAAAGCCAAAGCTAAAGCTACAGCTCGAAAACCCCAATCAAAACTCGCTCGCTAAATCGCCTCGAACACATAGCTCTGTCTCTGTTTCTCTGCTGATTGGCCATCTCTGTCTCTTTATGTGCTCTTCTTTTTCTTGCGCACACCCACACACTCTCACACACACCCACACACACACACATGATCCAAAATTCTTCAACGAAACATTTTCTGAAATCTTTTCAATTTTGATTTGATCTACTATTTACACACATATCGTGTCTATCTCTATAACTCATGTATATAATATACTTATATATATTGTATATCTCTCTGAAAACTTCAGGTAAATTGCCGCTGCTATATGCGTTAATCAGCAAAAAAAAATCCAATTTGTTTTCACCATTTATTATGTGTGTGTAGACCCCCTCCCAAAAATATAACTTATATAAAAGTACCCCCCAGAAAAAACCAAAGAAAAACTAAAATTGAAGTAATCTGTTGACTCGCCTTCATTGCGTTTTGTATTGTAAATAGTTGATTGTTTCCCTATTCCTATCGAAAACCTCCAAACGATAGGGCTATGACACTTGAAATGAAAAGGCTGTTAAGGATATTTCAGAGGCACAAGAATGTATCTTTAAATGTGGTTTTTGTATGAAATTTATTATACAATTTCTATTCAAAAAAAACACAAATTCTTTTCAAAACTTTCGTTCTCTATTCATTGTAAAAGTTCATGTGGTCAGTAGAATTGTTAGTTAGTGTCATACCCCTATAAAAATGAAGCCAAATTTGAGCTGCCCCATTCCATTTTAATCGAACCCCAAAACATCTCCATCTAGCTATAAATGCAATCGCCTCATCTTGTTGTAATTTTACCAATAACCCCTATAAATAACGTTCCATCGCCATGCTTTGTTGTTCAAGCAATGTTGTTATTTTTCTATTATTTCAAGACTTTATTAGCCCTGTTTTATGAAATCCAGTTTGATTCTGGTTTAACTATTTATTTTTTGTAAACCCATTAGTTACTACACACCAGAGTGGCTTTTTACTTTTTCAAAAGTTTTTTTTTAAGAACAATACCATACTATTAATACCATAAAGGTCAAATTTATGGGTGGTATTTAAAATTTTAAATAATTTTTTTTTAAATAATATAGTTTATATGCCAATTTGTATGATATTGTTATATATTCGCTTCAAAAAGTGAATTGTTCATTTCATATGGCATTAATTAGAGGTCGAATTTAACATTTTTAAATGCCTTCAAGCTGTCAATAATGAAAATGAATACCTTTTTTGTTAGCTCTTTAAACATTTTAGTTTTTTTAAAAGCAGTAGTCATTACTGGTGTGTTTTGTTGAGATTTTCAGTTTGTTTGCTCCATCCAGAGTATATCGCAATGGTTTTTACTCATGCTTTTAATACAGGCGGCACCTGTGGCGCCGCCTGGCGACCGCTGGCCGAAGTGGCCAAAGCAAGCAAGCAAGTGGTGCCTCCCGGGGCGCCACCGATAAAGCAGTGTAGCCGATGCACCAACCACAATCACTCTTCTCTTCTCGTCCTTTTCCTTCTGTTCTGTTCTCTCCCAAAAAACTATGCTATCCTGCAGGTGTTTCGACTACTCCGATCCTTGCGGCCGCTGCGGGTGATCAACCGAGCCCCGGGTCTGAAACTAGTCGTGCAAACGCTCTTATCGTCCCTGCGTCCCATCGGCAACATCGTCCTGATCTGCTGCACCTTCTTCATCATCTTCGGCATCCTGGGCGTTCAGCTGTTCAAGGGCACCTTCTACTACTGCGAGGGCGAGAACATCAAGGGCGTGCGGAATGCGGACGAGTGTCGCAGGATACCGGGGAATGTGTGGACCAACCGCAAGTACAACTTCGATGATCTGGGCAAGGCCCTCATGTCCTTGTTCGTCCTGAGTTCCCGCGACGGCTGGGTGAACATTATGTACACCGGGCTGGACGCCGTCGGGGTGGACCAACAGCCCATCGTGAACTACAACGAGTGGCGGCTGCTGTACTTCATAGCCTTCATCCTGCTGGTGGGCTTCTTCGTGCTCAACATGTTCGTGGGCGTGGTGGTGGAGAACTTCCATCGATGTCGCGAGGAGCAGGAGAAGGAGGAGAAGATCCGGCGGGCGGCGAAGCGGGCCCTGCAGATGGAGAAGAAGCGGCGGAGGATGCACGAGCCACCGTACTACACCAACTATTCGCCCACCAGGATGTTCGTGCACAACGTGGTGACCTCGAAGTACTTCGATCTGGCCATTGCCGCGGTGATTGGCCTGAATGTGGTCACCATGGCCATGGAGTACTACAAGATGCCCAATCCGCTGAAGTACGCCCTGAAGATCTTCAACTACTTCTTTACGGCGGTGTTTATACTGGAGGCGAACATGAAACTGGTGGCACTGGGCTGGAAACTGTACTTGAAGGACCGCTGGAATCAGCTGGACGTGGGCATAGTCCTGCTCTCCATAGTGGGCATTGTGCTGGAGGAGCTGGAGACGAACATAATACCCATCAATCCGACGATCATTCGCGTAATGAGGGTGCTCCGCATAGCCAGAGTGCTGAAGCTCCTCAAAATGGCCAAGGGCATCCGCGCCCTGCTGGACACCGTGATGCAGGCCCTGCCCCAAGTGGGCAACCTGGGCCTCCTGTTCTTCCTGCTGTTCTTCATCTTCGCGGCACTGGGCGTGGAGCTGTTCGGGCGACTCGAGTGCTCCGACGAGATACCCTGCCAGGGATTGGGCGAGCACGCGCACTTCGCCAACTTTGGCATGGCTTTCCTCACATTGTTTCGCGTAGCGACTGGCGATAATTGGAACGGCATCATGAAGGACACGCTGAGGGATAATTGCGATGACGCGGCCGATTGCGTACGCAATTGCTGCGTCAGCTCGGTTATTGCTCCCATATTCTTTGTGATATTCGTGCTGATGGCGCAATTCGTGTTAGTGAACGTCGTCGTGGCTGTACTGATGAAACACCTCGAGGAGAGCCACAAGCAAATGGAAGACGAGCTCGACATGGAGGTGGAGCTCGAGCGCGAGCTGGTGCGCGAGCAGGAGTTCGCCCAGGAGCAAAAGTTGTGCCAGCAGCTGGCGGAGGCGCAATCGAAGGCCGCCGCTCCCCCGCGCCCCCTGGCCAAGGTCAAGTCGCTGCCCAAGAACTTCATCTACAGCACACCCTCGCTGGACAAGAAGTTTCCGCCTGTCCCGGGTGGTGGTGTCGTCGCCACACTGGGCGGCAATCCCAGTTCGAGTCTGACCAGCTCGGCGGCCACCAATCTGAATCAAGTGGCCGGTTGGGGAGGAGGAGTAGCAGGTGGGGGTGCGGGCTCGGGAGCGGTATCTGCGGCATCTGGAGCTGGACAACGACGACAGACCGTCCAGTACTTCCAGCAGCCACCACAATCCATGCTCGGCTTGAGTCTCGCCGAAATGGGCGGCACGCTGACGCCTCAGGCGCTCGGCGCCCGGTTGGGCGAGCCCTTCGGCGGCCCAGCGACGGCGGCGGGAGGCGTTGAGAGGGGAGGAACGGGCGAGCCGCTGGCTGTGGGCGTGGCCGGCCTCCCGCTGCCGCCGCTGGACAATCGCCGCCGCGGGCGACGCGCCTCCGCGGCCGCCGGCTTCCGCAAGCGCGGCGTGTTGTCCAAGGAGCGCTCATTGGACGAGCAGGCCATCCGACGACGCAATTTGGAGGCCAAGCGCACCAGCTGCGACTCGCTGCCCTGGGGCGGAGATGCCCTCGACTGCCGCAGGGGCACGATCTTCGAGAGCCTCGAGTCGGATGGGTGCGGAGTAGGGGGGGTGGTGGTGGTGGTGGTGGTTCCTACGATATACGGAGCACGCGCAGTGCCGATGTGGGCCATTTGGATTCAGAGTCGGGGGATGTCTCGCTGGCGGTGGTCAGCTCCCTGGTGCCCGCCCTGGTCAGTCCACTGCCCCCGCCCCTGTCTCTGCCCATAGCATCGCCCACGCCCTTGTCCATGTCCATAACAATGCCCATGCCGGCACATCCATCACATCCGCCACCACGCCGACCCTTCGGCTGGTCGCAGTCCGTGGACCAGGGATGCCTGAGGAGCAGCCTCCTGCTCTCCGTGCCCAGATCCATGCCGCCGCGCAGTCGCAGTGGCAGCACCAAGCAGCTCTTCAAGCAGCAGGCTCTGGACGAGGACGCCGACATGGACGAGAGCTCGCTGCTGCTGCCCACGACTGCAGGAGGAGGAGGAGGATCGGGATCAGGGTCTGGGTCTGGGGGACCGGGATCGGTGGCAGTCACAGCCTCCAGCTCGCTGGACATCCCAGAGCCCAGTGGCAGCTCGAAACCACTGCCGGACATCGCAGCGGGGGTCAGTAAGTCCGACTCCTCGGACATCCTGCGCATCATTAGTGAGCGGCGGCGCATGGATCAGCGGGAGCAGAGGGAACCGGATCAGGATCAGGACATCGAGACGGAGGACAGGGACAGCGACTACAAGGAGCTGCTCCTGGTCAAGTCGCCGCAGTCCTCCATGGACTAGATGCCAGCACACACACTCTGCAGATCTTTGAAAGTAGCTATCTCTAACTAGGGCCAGGTTTACACTGAAAATAATTACTGCAGAGCTGATTAACAAGGATAATAGCTAGGATAACTGTTAAGATAGTCCTTACTTGGCTATAAATAGTACCCCTTCCCTGGGAAAGTGTCTAAGCTTCGAAGGAGGCAGTCCCTATATATAAATTCTATACCGATAACAACTCTATTATGTAAACCTGGTCGCCATTAAAGGATACTTTAGGGAATTTTCTAAAAACTATAACTATTACATTAGGCTGTAGGCATAAAGATCGAAGAGTGTGATGAGAGAACACAAATAATGATTAATCGATAGCAATTAAACTATAAATGATAAATGGCAAATGCTAAACTCTTAGCCACAGAAACGAAAATAAAAACCAGTAAAATAAAATTGAAAGCAAAGTTAAGTACAGCAGAGAAAAGAAATGCTAGTAAGCTAAATTGTCAACTGTTTTTAGTGCAATCCTACGGTTTTCATAACTTTAACAAGCAGAACTTATAAGAAAAACTAAAAACTAAATGATCGCGAAAGATCGATCGGTCAAGAAGAAGATAGCTAAGTTTCAAGTTGATTAGAGTGTTTTCCGTTAAAAAGTAGCAGTCGAAAACGATGATTACCCAGACGATGATGGATTATATACAAGTGTTATATGCGATTTACATATATACAGTTATATTATTATACTTATAGGGATACTGCATTCGAAACATAAATGATGGAAATTTGTGAACAAAGAATCATCAACTCTGTGATTAGCTCTTAAAGTTTAAACGTTTATATGAGAAGCCATGCAGACACCAAACAAAAAAACACACAAAAACACGCTATCTGTATATAGAAGGCCTGTATGTAATCAAATGTAATCGAGTGTATTTTACGTAGCTTAGCCAAAGATGAAACTAACGCAATGATACCGAATAGAGCCGTCAGAGCGAACACATTGATAAGCAATAGAGAACTGTAGCTCTTAAGATTGTACCTAACCTAAAAACGAATAAAGCTGCGTTGTTCCAGGGGAAATAATAATACCCAAAAGAAAAGAAAAAGATACGGAAAAGGAGAAAACAAAAACCAAAAAAAAAAACATGAGAACTTTGTGCAAACGAATTTACTTAGGTACTTAAACACACACACAACCACACCCAAACAGATAGCTATTACGATCTGGTCGACAATCTTTGCGAATCTCCCCTGTCTGTCTCTCTATCTCCCTCTAAAGGCTTCCAAAACTTCCCGACCCCGCCCCTTAAAAGATATCCAGACATTCGAAAAACAGTGCCAACGCAGTAAGGGTATTCAAGATTTTTTTTTTAAATAAACCTAACCAGAAAAAGAAGCAAAGATGGCGGCAACAACTACATGAAGAACTTTAAAAAGTAGCATTTATAAAGAAAAACAAAAATAAAACCAAAACCAAGAGAAACGTCGTAGAAATTTAAAGATTAATGTTTAATGACTATATATAGTGTATATATGGAACTATCAACGAATTACAATAGAGTATCGAGATATTTCTTCAGATGGCAGAACTAGAACAAGACAAAGAATCGAGGGAACGAGAAGAACACTAACTTAACACTGTCAATTTTTCAACATGGTCTAAGCTAATTTTTTCAAGGAAAACAAAAGATCTAAGAATGAAAACAATTTTACACTCTTTGTACACACTGTAAAAAATGAAGTGAAGGAGCTCTCCAGTTTAGATAAACTTTAAAATCAAACTTAGCAAACGATTCGGGCGAAAGCGAGGAAAGAAGAAGCAACAAATTTAATTATACGATATTTTCATCTGTGCCTTTCTCTACGAATATATATATACACATTTATACATTATATAACAAATGTATCAGATACTGTCTCTATATCTTTCTACGCTCCCACTCCCTCTCTCTTTCTCACACACACTCACACGGAACTCACCAAACTCACCCTACTAAGCAAACCACAGGACACCAACACAGACACCAAGCAAGCAGTGCGAAATGTAACGGTGATGGCAAGCAGTGCCTCGCGTAACTAAAAATGCAAATCTGAAAACTATTTACGAGGCAGGACGAAGGAATAATAACGAAAGAAACAAAATAACTACTTAAGCCTACTAATAATGAAAACCGAAAATACAAAAATACAACTGGAAGTAAAAATACAAATAAAATTATACGAAAGCATGAAGTTTATAGGTTAATGCGCTAGTAGTTTTGAACTTTTTTTTTGTAATTTTTTAATGTAGCCGCTTTGAAGTAAACCAAATGAAACTATATTCGTTTTTGGTTTTAGTTGTGTGTGTCTGTTTTTTTTTTTGTGCGAAGCGTAAAGCAACTATTAAGAACGTTTCTTCTTGTTGATTAATAATTAGGTAAACTGCTACAAAACATAAGTTAATTAAAGAAAAAGAAAAAACAATGAAAAACCAAAAGCCAACAACAAAATTAGAAAAAAGTGAGTTGAATTTAAAATTAAAGCCATAACGGCCAACGAAATGCAAAACTAAGCAAATTTGCTTTTAGCTCCATGACGGTGCAAGAAAAACCCCATGAAAAAACCAATAATTCTTTGCAAAGTAAAATAAGCCAATTAAATGTGAAATTGTTTAAGAAAGGACATAAGAAACTTAGCACTATCCGCTGCTGCAAAGCCAGAAATCGAAACTCTGTTAGACAAATAGCCAATAGCCAAAGTTGTAATCATTTCGTTGCGTGCCCTTTGCGTATAATTTGAATGGTTCGATTGGTTCCACTAGATACGTACATATATACTGAGAACACATACTATGTAAAGCAGCGAAACAAAACCAAAAAAAAAACGAGCATTATAAATTAAAGAGAATTTGAAAAGAATGGCTGAAGAAGTTCTGCTTTCATTGGACTTATTTAAAAGTAATGGTAATGGATTCGCACATATACCCCATCATTTCCCATAAAAAGAAACCACCACATATTTTCCGTACTTGTTCTTTATTCACGAATATAATGCCGGTAAGGAGAATTGTGGAAAGTGCGGATTCAGGATTTTTGTGGGCTACTCTGATAACGCACTCGTGTACAGCTACGAAACACACTATAAATCTAAATAGCCAGGTATAAAGTACATAAAGCATTACTGCGCTATAACAAACAGAAAAAAAAAACGGGAAACTACACAAAAAATTTGGAACTGAACAGATGATCCTCAATCTAATCGCCTTGGTGATCTACAGTACTCGTATTGTGTATATAGGTGTGTGTATATACTATATAGTATGCGATATAAATATATAAAAAAAACATCGGCCAAGTCGGCCACGGCGGACTACCACACGCTGCACTTTTCCGCCGGATTCATGGTGCTGCCCAGTGGGCAATTGTAGGCGTGGGAGAAGTCGCGCGAATTCGAAAGTGGCCCCAGGACACGGACGAATCCCGGCGAGTGGACCGCCGAGCGGATCTTGGTCAAAGCGTCCTCCGGCCGCATGGATCCGCACCAGATTTGGGCGTAGTTGAGAAAGAACAGCTGGTCGTGGGTCATGTTCAAGCCGGGCAACTGCTGCTCCCGTCCATGCAACGTCTCCCATTTTTTGTAGGCCTGTGAAGAAAGGAAATAACAGGTGAGTTTACAGACATACAAAACGTAAAGCTTTTCCCTGATAGAAATATGGGCATATGTCACTAGGTCCTAATCCTTTTTATGGTCAGGATTATATATATAAGGTATATAATAAATGAAGTAAAAAGAATTCGATTATTTGGTGGATAGACTAGACGTGCTTATGCAAAGTATAACTCTCTCTTATAAAGAACTTAATATAATTGACATACCCTAAAAGCCTGTTTAAGACCGCCATTATCGGCGATATTCTCGCCCTGTGTCATCCGTCCGTCCATGAACATGTCCACCTCGTTGATCTTGTAGCGCGAGTACTGATCGATGACGCACTGCGTCCGCTCCCGGAAAGCCTCGATGGTGGCGTTGTTCCACCACTGCATCATGTTGCCCTCCTTGTCGAACTGCCGTCCCTTGTCGTCGAATCCGTGGGTGATCTCGTGCCCGATGACCACTCCGATGCCGCCGTAGTTGAGGGACTTGGGGAAGTGCTGGCTGTAGAACAGGGGCTGCAGGATGCCGGCGGGAAATACTGAAGGATAACAGATACATAATTAAGTAGAAGAACTTTCCATGTGTGGGGGGGGCACCACCCACCTATATCGTTTTTATTGGGATTGTAGAAGGCATTCACCACCGCCGGCTCGGTGGTCCACTTCTCCTTGTCCACCGGTTGACGCAGGAGTCGCAGCATCTTCTCCGACTCCCACTGCAGGATGCTCAGCACATTGTTGATGAAGTTGTCCGGAACGATGGTTAGCTTGGGGCGAAGGGAAACGAGATTAGGGATCGGATATTTAGGGGGAACTGTCCCTATACCCACATTCACATACTCCTGCTCCAGCTCCGTGGCATTGGTCAGCAGCTCCGGATAGCCGATGCGCTCGTTCATGGAGTCCGCCTTCTCCTTGGCCACCGCCCGCGTCTCGTCGTCCATCCAGTGGTTCTCGGCCAGCAGCTCATTGAAGGCCGCCCGTATGGTGTGGATCATCTCGAGGGCCACCTCCTTGCTCTCCTGGTTGAAGTTGTCCCGGATGAACAGCGCTCCGACGGCCACGCCCAGCTTCTTGTTGGTCCACTCGACGCACTGCGACCAGCGCGTCCGCTCCGATTGGATGCCCATGAGGATCTTGCGGAACTCCACCCGCTCCCGCTGGTACTCGTCGATCATGTGCGACATGAGGGACATGACCAGGCGCCACAGCATGTAGTTGTGCACCACGCGGCGATCGGTGCGTGCCAGGATCTTGCCCATTTCGGTGAGATACTGCAGGCCGTACGTGACCAGCGGCTCGTCCTCCTGCAGGGGAATCCCCGGTCCCAGGGCCGCCTGCAGGTACTCCTGCCACTGCACCTCGGGCACCAGTTCCTGCAGCTCCGGCAGCGACATCTTCCGGTACACCGTGCTCGTGTCATGGCGATCCGCCTCCGCCAGCGACACGTTCACCAGCTGCGTCTCGAAGAGGACCACCTGCTGCAGTTCGGCGGCGGCGGTGGCAGGATCGGCGCCTAGGAGCAGCGACACCTGCGTCATGTAGCGATGGTACGCCAGCCGGTCGTTGGCGCTGCTCTCCTTCAGGTAGTAGTCCCTCGAGGGCAGCGCGTACTGCAGCTGGTCCATCTGCAGGATGTTCACCGAGCTGTTCTTGTCGTCCGCGCCCACGTACAGCTCGATCATCACCGGCTCGCTGTAGTTCAGCCGCAGCTGGCCCATCAGCCGCTCCACGGAGAGGTCCGTCGGCGGTCGCCAGTTCCGCTCGATGACCGGCCAGCCGCCCAGGGATTGCAGCACCTGCCTCAGCTTCCCGGTGCCGATCTTGCGGATTTGAGCTGGGGATGGAAAAAGGCAGATTTCGTTTACTTAAAAAATATGGTCTGAAAATGATGATGTGATATGATGATAATGATGAACAACAGAAATGTGTCTCGTTTCTCGTTTTTGGAAAGATGGTTTCCATACCTCTTAAACAAATTGTTAAAAATAAACACCAATAAATTATTTAAATGTTCCAAATTAGTAGCAGCTTAAAACCAATAAAAAAGGTTTTCCTTACTAAAACAAAATGTTTAGTTTAAGTTATCATAAAAAATAATAAAATATGCAACAAAAAATTTGTAAATTGAAGAGCGACAATTAAAAGCAAAAGTGTTTTTAAATAACCCTTTGCCGAGCTCAACTCACGTATATCCATGCAGCTCTTGAAGAAGGTTTTGGCCTTGATGGTGGCCTGGTTGTCGCGTTCGTCGACGGGTTCCTCGAGGACGGCGCGCAGTATGACCTGCTGCTGATCGGACAGGACCTGCGGAGTGGATTAGGGATAAGCAATGGATCTTCTGCACACACCCTCCAATCTGGTTTACCTCAAACGTGCTGATGGAGCTGCGGTCCTCGGGAATGGGATGCATCTTGTTCCACGTGCCGCAGGCGTACTGGAAAAAGTCCTCGCAGGGATCGGAGTTGAGATCCATGGCCGAGAGCAGGGAGGCCGCTAAGTTTGGATGGATTGATGGCGGTTACGCCGGGTTATTGGCCAGTAAATCAAACGCCACCACCTGGGAAACCCGTCAGCTGGCATGCAATTTGTGGTTCAACCCGTTGGGCCCATAATTTATGCCCCCTTTGATCGCATCGGCCATAAACTTGGCCCACAAATCATCGCCCCCGAAACTTTAATGATAAGCGACAAGCCCACCAAAAACCCATACCCACTTTCCCCACAATGCAACTTTGTGGTCACACAAAAGTTTTAAGCGAAAGTGGAACTAAAAACCGAGAAGGAACCAATTTCTGAGATAAACCTGCACTGCCGACTGGTTCGCTGCCAATCCATAAATCAACGTCATTAAGCTGAGTCTCATTATCTCGGAAAACTAAGTGCGAAATTCATTAGCGCGTTTCCCTTTCCTTGGATTTTTCAGGGTTCTAGGAAAGCAATTATGCTCAAGCTAAGAAAAACCAAAGGATGTCCTCTTAGCTTTTCAAATATTACAACGAGCATTGCCTTCTTGGAATTTGGTCTATAAATATTATTGTATGTTCACTATGCTCTTATTTTCTTTCTTGGAATACCAAAATTTAAATAAATGCATTCTAGCAATTATATTTTATAAAATACTTTTGAAAAATAAAAATGGTCAAAAACATCTATTTTTCTGTCTCTTCAAAAACCTTTGTTATTTTAAGTATTATATTTATCAAAAGGAGCAAATTTAATCTACTATAAAAACCAACTTTTATTACACTATTCGAGTATGTCAAACGTCGGTTAGTGATTGCTTTCTTAATTATAAAACTAATGTTAATAACTTCATACCAGTCACTTGTTCAACTCCTAATAGGTGTTCATCCTAATTCAGTTAATTATGGTGAATTACCTAGCAGATATAACACATTTCCCCTAAGGACTTTTCCTACTTTTATTAGGAATTCAATTAAGGATGTAGGTTAGCATTTAGTGTACCCCAAAAAGTATGCTAAGTGGAGCAGTTGAATCGATTGCATCGACTGGTAATTGCGGCCATTTATATTTCAGGAAGTGTCCTGCACACGGACAGGTTTATCTACGTATACGTATACTTTTATCTACAGAAATGCCAGCCAGTCAATCACTGTGGCAATTTTCCTGGCAAGTGACTTTGAGGTGTTGCTGACTGCCCGCATAGCTTGACATAAGTGCATTTGGAATGGACATGTGGACATGAGGACAAGGAGCAGATGTTTCGGTCCCCATAACGTTTGTCCCCGCCAAACTGGCACTTAGCTATCCTAATAGCCGATAAATAATTTAGGACTCGACTAAAAACTGCACATATTAGATGGTTGTGCAAGACCCTGACACCCTTCGCCTTATTTAATTCACTGGCACAGTCGAACTTCTCATAGTTGGATATATACTGTGTTTTATTTCTATAAAAATGTATAACATATTTTCTCTTCGTTTACTAAGTTCAAATTATTCAGAAATGCGACATAATTTATTTATTTAAAAGCAATTATGTATTAAACAAAAGTTCATCATAGAGAAGTCCGACTGTAGCCTAATAGCTATTGCCTTATTGATACCATTAAGTTGTCAATTTCATTGTCTGTGCAGCCCCCATCGGCAAATGCATTAGTATCAGCTCGAAACCATGCTGTTTCCCCTACGAAACCACCAATCTTTCCCAGCTTTTTAAGTGGATCTCAGCTTACCTGTTCTCACGCACTCCTGGGACATGCAAATGTTGTCGAGAGACTCGTGGCTGGATCCCGAATCCTGGTTCCACCTGCCATTCGGTCTGTCATCGTTGCCTGCAATTATAGTTTCAGCTGATTTTAAATATTTGCCAGTACACGCGGCGTATGAGCAATGTGTATGTGATGGGAATGGGAGGCAAAGTTGAAGACCTTATCAAGACGACTAGCGATTCGCGGGCCACTCAAGTAAATTGAATTTGAATTTTTCATTAAAAGAGGAGCAGGGAGCAGTGAGCTCCTTCTCTTCCCTTGTTGGCTTTATTAAATTAAAATAACGAAATGCTAAGCTCGGTTGCTGGTTGCTGCCTCCTGCCTGCCTTCGACCCCCCCCTCCCCCCTCCCAACACACATATTGGCCATCGATTGCCGTTTGGTCAGGACACATGTTGCATGTCGTCCTTGTCGAGGCTGTCAATAAAAATGGGATGTTCGGCGAGGGGAAAGGAGTGGAGGAGTGCAGGAATGGATGAGTGGAGGAGCGTTGGAGATGGCAGCTTTAGTTATTAATTAAAGCGATTCACCCAACCGTCCACCCAGCTAATAACATTTGCCACGGCGTTAATAGGTTTAAGTGGACCGCAAGTGGCCAGTGGCATGTGGCAAGTTGGCCAGTTGCTGACTTGGTGCCTTGCTAACTTGGGTTGAATGTCCAGGAGCTGCAATTATATTTCAGTGGGGGAATTTCATTATGCTATGGACTTGAAGTGAAATCGGAAACATAACGAAGGAAAGAGAATCGATTTTGATTCGCCCATAAGATAATATCCCTTTATTTATTTTACTTTTAATGCTTCATTTTCATTATGATGAAAATGCTTCAATATTTCTGATGCAATGGTTATTGCAATTAATATCATTTAATGGTGCAACATATTTTCATAAGCATTGCAATTATGTACTATTGACTATTACTGTGAGTGTTATCTTTTAACTTAGTCATATATGCTTTGGAGTTGGAAAAAAAGAGGTCAATAATTGTATTTTATTATTAAATTCTTAAAGAGCTTTGTTGGAAATAAAATAACCAATGAAATGAACACTCCCAAAACTGAAATATACAAAATAGAACATTCAAATACCAAAAATAACTATATTGATCTTTAGTTGATTTATAAATTTTCCCCTACTATTCTCGCATCAACTGACTTTAAGGTTGAAAGCTGCAGAACAGAGAAAATCGATGGGCCAAAAGGGGGTGGATGGTGCGAAATGGAAAAGTAGAAAAGTGGAAAAGCGGAAAAGCAGAAAAGCGGGAGAAAAATCATAGTCAAGGCCAGAGGCCTACCACAAGTTGCTGTTGCCGATGGTAAATGACGATGATGATAATGATAATGATGATGATGGCGCTGGGTATTTGCGGAGATGCCGCCAAAGAGATATTTTTAAATTGTGATAAAAAAGGAACAGGCTTTGATGGTGCCGCCGCCCCGCCATCCGTTTTGTGATTTCGATGAATCAATTTTTGGCGCAAAATATTGAAAACACGTTTTATCACGGTAAATATAAACAGGATAATGGTCTACGTGTGTGTGTGTGTGTGTGCCTAAATGTATGTGTGTGCATATTCAATTAGCATAAGGAGCCAAAAGGAAGAAGACGCGATCGATTGGAACGGCCGTTAAAAAATTCATAGACATCCCTGGCAATGCCGATTGATTGCTTTTTGTTCGTATTTCTTTCTGGTTCTTTTTTGTTTTTTCGGTTTTCTGTAAAACGAAAATGAAATCGAGGGAGCACATGAACATGTAAATTATGCCGGGACAGACATCCTTCGAAGGAGCAACCCGGTGCGCACCTCTTGAATATTTCAGTTGCTTTGAATCGCATTATTCCATGTGCTCCCGAACGAATGCAGAAGGGAGTCGAGTCTAGAGCACCACCCCAAACTCCCATCGTCCCAACCTCCCAGTCGCCCACCCACCCAACCATCCACAGATAACACCAGATAAGAAAAGAAAGGGCAAACAGTGTGCCACCATTTACAAAAATTGGAATTCAAACATAGGTTGCTGGAAATTTATATTTTTAACACTCACTGAAGTACACTCACTGTGAAGTATATATCACAGTTATTGTTTAGGTTATTAAGAAGATTGATAATTTTAAGACCGAATATTAAAACATCTAAAATAGAATACTAAGACTAATTCAGTGACAAGCTCTACAATTTACCAGGATAATTACCAGTGCAATTTAAAAGTGACAAATTAAACTGTTCTATTATTGTTCCTCTTGAATTCTCATTTCAAATAAATTAGTCTTCGCTATTTTCGTTTCAATATATTATTTTAAACGAGCTATAGAAATATTAAGTTATCTTAAATAACTTTTAAAAGTGTTTAAACTTCTCATTCTACCAGATATTTACAATTTCCTGAAGAACTTTAGATTTTAGTTTTTTTTTTTGGATGAAATGTAGCTTGCACCACTGTGGTGCGAAACAACTGGCGCACCACAAAAAGGCAAAAAATACAAAAAAGCAAGGAAGCGAATGCCGTCATTGTTGTTGTTCCCGCTTGTTGTTTGACATATTCTGTAATTGAATTTCAAACAGGGCGCATTACGGGCAGGTGGGATGGATGGAGGGCAGGACGGAGATTACAACACCATCCACAGCGACAACGACAACGACAACGGCAACCAAGCATCCTTCAGCCTGTTGCTCTCCATTCCCCAGGACAAGGAAATTGAGTTTTTGCTCCATTTGTTCGAATCACCAGCGACCAGAAGCTAAATTCAGTTAACATGCCTACTTGATGGCTAACAGGGGAGCAGAAAGGCAACGGAATCGGAATCGGAATCAGAAACAGGAGCACAGGATGCCTGTTGATTGGCTACTGACCCAGTAAACATTTCGTCCTTCGAACGGGTAAGAAGATTTTAATCCCTTTGCCACAGAAAACGAATTATATTTATCTGACAAACCCTTTAAAATGAATTATCTAAAACACTACCATTTGGATTTTTTTTGGACAGAGATAGTGACTCAGAAGCTCAAAGTCAGGTAAATTAATTCCAAACATTTGGCCAAACATGATTGATGACTTAAGTTCTTCCAATATCATATTTCTTTGATTGGCATGTATCATGTACTAATAACTCATGTTAAAGACAAACGCAATACCCACATACATATGCAAAGATTATACTTAATTCCGGGTTTTAAAATTTCATTATGACAATGGGAAATTTTTTATAAAAATACCAATCAAATACCAGTAGATAACCTCAGATGGAATGGTAATGTCACTCGACAGTGACAGAGGAAATTCAAACTGATAGTAAAATTCGTGAACTTTGCCTTTATACCTATAAACTATGTTTACACTTCATTGTAAAATGTAGTTATTTTACTACAAAGAAATAATTAATAAATGAACATAAATTAGCAGTTTGTGATTTAAGATGTTTTAATTGCAGGGGTTAACTTTGGCTTACCGAAGTTACTCTTTAATAAAGTATCTTTCAGTCCATAAAAATAGCTACATGGACTGTTTAGGCTTTAGATTCTTAAACTTAAATTGTTATAAATGCAGGGCTATATAAACTTTTCTCTAAAAATGGTTAGTTTCTGTAAAGTTAGCTAAATGGATTTTTCAGGTATTAAGTCCCTAAACATAAGCTGTCTGAAGGATATATTAACTGAGCCGTCCGGAAAGGTCCTCAACAATAGATAGAACCTTGAAGTGTTGTGTGCGCAAAGCTTAACCCTTACCTGGATCCAGGTGGTACAGTTGGCATCGCTGATGGACGCTGGCGAAGTAGATGGCCAGTGCCCCGATGGCCGCTCCCAGAACGGTGAAGGCGATGGCCAGGACGAGGAGGCGGCGCCGCTGCTGTGACTCCTTGAGCAGCCAGTCGCTGTTGGTGGTGCGTCCGCCTCCTCCGGGATTCCCCTGGGTGGGATTCCGCTGGATTCCCACGCCGCCACTGCCGTCGGGCGCCAGGAAAACGACAGTGGGCAGTTTATTCTGCTGCTGCTGTTGTTGCTGTTGCTGCTGTTGCTGCTGCTGCTGTTGCACCTGATGTTGCTGCACCTGTTGCTGCCCCAGAAGAGGCGACACCACCGTGGCACTCAGCTCCTCCAGCGGCACATTCGCCTGCAGGTAACCATTGTTCAGGGGCTTCTCCAAATTAACCGTTGCCTCATGTGGCTGCGACATTTTGCCGCCCCCCGTTTTATCGGGCGCCTGATTTATGGCCCGCTCCAGGGGCGGAGGAGCGGTTGGGCGGTGTGGCGGTACAGCGGACCGTTCGCAGTTAAAGCGACAGCGGCGGCGACGCTGGCAACATCAGCGGCAATGGCACTGGCAAAAATCCAAATCAAAACAAATCGGTTAGGAAATATCAGACAGATAGCGCACGCTGATATATGGATCTTAAACAAAGACACCTGATGGACATGGACAGGGCCAAAAGCAAAAGCCAAATTTATGGCCCCTTTTGATTCGTTGAACTCTAGTTTAGTGGCTTTAAAAAATATACATAAATATAAAACTTTTATAAAATGTACAATTTATTCTCTTTTTTTATATATTGTCTATTTAAGACTGCTTCACAATCGATCATCTATCTGATTTCATTTATTTGAGTTGTTAATCTTCACTAGGTTTTCAAAAAAAAAAAACCCAGTATTTAGGACATGTTGAATTTGCTGATAATATAAACCAGTGAAGTTTGTCACCAGCTCGCTTCACTGTAGACGGGCCTTTCATAATGCTATCAGCTATCGGAGTGGCTTTAAGACCAGACCGGTCAGCACTGGACTTAACCAGATCTCCCACGAGCGATGTGGTCAATCGACAGCCCATTCGTGTGTCGAGGGTTCACTGTGGCAGTTTAAGGGGGCGGGACCCCCAGAAGTTACGACCACTTGTTTCTCGTCAAAAAAAGACCGGGCTTTGGCGATTCTGACAGTTAATGATCTGCTGATCTGATATCATCTCCTTTGCATTGTTGTTGTTCTTGGCTTTTGTTGATATGGTCAAGATGTTGTTGCTGCCTTTGGTTGCTGTTGTTGTTGTTGTTGTTGTGACGTGCGATCAGGGCCAACGTGTTTTTCGCGCAATCGTAGCCGGCAACTCAGCAGGGGATGCAAAGCCAAACAGTTTGTTGTGCTGTGGATTACAGTGGGCATAGGCTGCCATTCTATCAAATGAAAATCATAAAATGCGTCTTTAACAAAAGCAAGTAGGCAATCGGGTCACCGAAAACCATAAATAAAACTTGAATAAAAGATGCCATGCCATTGTAGCTGCCTACTTATAGAGGACTATTATCTGACTTCAATGAAAACAAAAGTTTCAGTGCAGCCTAATAGAGAATTAAACCATTAACTTTCAGAAGACTACCACTTAAAATTCAGGTTTAAAATTATGAGTTTTAAAGGACAGGTTTGGGTCACCATTCTGCAAAGACATTGTTAGACAATTTTGCAGTTAAGCAACATCATTAAATCAAGCAATTAACTAATAGTTGTTTCAGAAGTGTTTTATCAATAGATGAGGTAACTAAACAAGCCATTTAACTTTCGATTTATGACTGACTGTAAACAAACACACTAGGTAAACACATACACCAATTGGTTACTTTTTCTCGTTAATTAATTATGTGCTTTTTTACGCAAATCACAGGAATAATTGTTGATTAAGAAACCAATTTTTACGGGTAGTAAAAAATACCGAATATGACTTGATTTTCTGCACATCCGATCTTACTTTCTAACCGATGTCCACTGTGACTTTAAGCGCGGATTAATGCGCGGCTAATTTTGCAAAACTCGAAACTAGTTAACCCAGCTGCGGCGGGCAGCGACGCCGACTGCGGCAGCGGACTATATCAGCTATATATTGTCTCCAAGCCGGGCCGATCTGATGGACAGATCGAAGCCCATCGGAAATCCAGATCCAAATCTCGTGACGCCTTTGAACATTTAATATTCACAATGCTCCCAGCTCGCGATCGCCGGCAAAACGGTCATGAAAATTGGATACTTTGCTTGGCCACGTGAAATGCGATCGCCATATAGTAATATATAATATATATAAAGAGGAAGCAGAAGAGACTGGCGATGAGGAGTATAGAAACTCGAACAATGCGAGACAAACTAAAATAAATTAATGCGACCGTCGTTAAATTCGCATCGTATTACCGCAACTGGTTCACAAACTAAACAAAAACTTTGAAATTTATAATCGCACAGAAAAAAATTTGGCAATTCTGGAAACATTTTGGTATATAATATAATAGATATTATTATCATTATACATCTTACGTCTTATAGTATAGTTCACTGCACAAAACAAAAACTATTTGACTTTTTTCTATTTAGACGGAATTTTTGGATGATTTCATCCTATAATATTAAGTCAGAAATACTGACCCTATAATAATTTGAACATCAATTTATTATGAGATTTAAACAAAAACATTAAAAGTGTTCACAGCTCAAAACAAATATTGTATTTTCACTTTCAAATACTAGATAACTGATACTAAGTTCTAAAATTTGTATTTAAAATACAAGCTCAAATATATCACATTATTTCAGTTCCAAAATAGCGATCTTATGATCTTATTTTTTTTTTTCTGTGCACTTTGTGGTTTTGCTTCTCATATTTTTGATAATATTTTAGTGTATTACTTTTTGTTGTGCTGCTGGTTTTAGTGTTATTATTATTGTTTTGGCGTCGCGGGTTACCGTTCTTGTTTATTTGCTGGTACTATTGTTTTTATTATTTATGCCTTTTACGACTTTCACCGCCTTTGATTTGGCTTTTGTTTTGAACTAACCGCCCGATGGCATTTGCGATTCGAGTGTGTGTGCGAGTGAGTGGGCGCTAGTGTCGCTCTCTTTCTGACTTTTGTTTTATTATTATTTTATTTCTATATTTTTTGTTTTGCCGCCAAACCGCACGAGGCGACTTCTCGATGCCAACTGAGCGTTCTCAACGCGTGTCCTTAGCTTTTAAGCAGTCGCTGTCGCAGTCGCCGTCGCTGCCAGCAGCAGCAACAACACCAGCAACACCAACAACAGCAGCAACAACACCAACACCAACAGCAACAACACCAACAGCAACAACAACAAAGTGAACAAAGTATTGCCAATGGCAGTGACACCCAGAGGTGTATATTAAATTAATGCTAAGTTGGTTACAGAGCCCCAAAACGAATAAAATAGGGGGGACATTGCACGGTCCCAGTTCGCTGGACAAATTATGGATGGTCAAGCATTAAAGTATCGTGGCACCAAAGCAAACAGATTCCTTGAAAGATTTAAAACCAGAGGCTAACTTTATTTTGCTGCCATAGAATCCAAGTTATTGCTTACCTACATTTAATAGTTTCATATTATATAAAAGGAAACAAACACAAGAATAGTCCTTAATAAGTTTGCATTTCAAATAGTAGGTATATAATATTAAAGTGAATACTTCTTACACTTTCTTTTACATTATTAGGAATTTTAATAATGCTTTTCTTTTTGTATTTTGAATAATTTATGTGAAACCATGATGGTGTTCCTTAAAATAAGAACCTTAAATAGCTATTCAGAACCTATTTACTCTTGTGTTTAATGATGGGTATGTGAAAGTTGCAATTTGAATTCCATGGGATAGCGACTAGTCCATCAGGGATTGATGGATGTTGGCCACCCATTTGTGGTGCAGACTGCGCTGTTTACCTGGCAGGTGGTGCCGTCCTCCTGCTACCCTAACTCATTACCATACTACAGGTACTACAGGTGCCGCCGATGGAAGTCCATTTGGCACGTTCCACACACAACGCGGTCTAATCGGAGTTCTGTTTTTGTTTTTTTCTGCGGTTTTCGCTGGGCTGTCTGCGCCAGCCAGAATGACGCTGTAACCCATCCATTGAACCACCGAATCACTGAACTACCCACCACCCACCACCCACTGAACCCCAGAAGCACCACCCCCCCATCACCCACTAGCCATTGGCGTTGGCATTATCAGTGCGTGATCATCGTGTCATTGTCAATGGGTTCCGAAACAAAAAATTAATTACCACCCTGTCCGATAAGTTTAGGAAGATTAGGGAGCGCTTCCTCCCCCGAAAACAACAGCCCACAACCCACCCACTTTTCCGCCCATCTTGTGTGTTATTGCTGTGTGACACTTGTTTTGGCCACTCGATGCGGCAGGTAATCGTCGAAATTGCGTTCTCCATTCGATTTCGCTGATTGATGGAAGACCTGTCCCCCCGAAGTCGACGAATTCCCTGGCGATCATATATGGGCAGCTCTGTTGATACCATCGCCCCCCTCCCGTGAATTTCAGGGGGAGGGGGTGGATTTCCCCATCCATTCAACGGTCCCAAGCCACCCTTAAAACACCCATAACTTGATCGATTTTCGTTAGCTGATTGTTATCCTAGCTCACAAAAATAGATTGAAAGTTTCCAAACACGCGCTTTAAGCTCCATAAAAAAAAGTGGGGACCCAACAGGTGGCGTAAGTACACTGGGAGAAAATGGTTTCGTTTTGTTAAATTATTTTCTACGTTTCATTTTCTTTTATCCTATAATATAACCAATTTTGATTGGGTTAAAAACATGCTGAGGCAAATTAAGAATAGTGTTTAATAAGCCCATTGAAAATATTTATACCGCTTACATAAAGATAATCTTTCTGTGTTGTAGCCATCTGTCGTAAATGTTTAATACTGCATTCTATCATTTTATTATTTTACGCAGGCCAAGTCAATAATTTGACATGATAGTATCAAAATGATAAGAATTGAAAACCTATTGCAAATGCATTGTATGTATACATTGTTAAGGTGGATTAAAAAATATATATATTGTTCGGCAATAATGAATGTGGCAAAGTTTTTAGTAATAATTTGAAAGAAACCAAGAGATTGCTTTGTATGATTATGTGTCCATCTTAAAATAAAGCCTTTACATCTTTAAAGTCCCCACATAAAACCTATGAACTTTTTCCAGTGCCATGTACATGAATATCGCGTGTGTTGCGACCACAAATCAGACTCCAATGTTCCTGCCCCTCAAATCCAAAAAGGACAACGACCGAGCTGCCGGTTACCTGGATTTCTAGTTTTGGCGCAAAACTTTTCGCGGCACGTGCGTGGTTTTTCCTCTTTTTTTCTGTTGACATTGGCGGATTGCGATTCCTTGGGCGCCATATGGCAGTCAAAAAAAGCAATTAAACGGGCCACAATAATCACAATTATTTCAAAACTCCTTTTCAAAAAAATGGTTAAACAAACGGATCAGCTTAAAAAAAATTATTCTTTATTTGTGCATGTTTTTAAGTTTTTCTATGTTTAAATTCGCGTTGTATATTTGGTGTGGTCTTTGGCAGCCGCTTATTCCTTTGGCGTGCGACTAAACTAAACAATCGTTTAATCTCTAAGCTTACCGGTCCGGTTAAATCAGAGCTTTCTGTGACAGAAAGCTCGATGGGGTTAAGAGAACACTTGTTGAGCGGTGAAGAGAAATGACCACTGCAAGTAAATACGTTATTTAAAGCAACCGCCAAAGAGCGGTTCAAACGGTTATTTTCGGCAGCCCTGGCTTTTGGGGCTGCCAGTCGGGAGCCTGCCCTGGAAGCGCTGCCACCTTTCCCCACTCGCACACTTGTCAATTTGTTTTCCCTTTCGTGTTTATTTGTTTACCAGTTTTCTTTTGCTCTCGTCTTTCGATCTGTGTGTCGCGTGCCAATTTCCACATTTTCCACTCTTCATGTTTTGACTTGGTTTTCCACAAAAACCTGATTTTGAATCTCGTGACAAGTTTTTTTACCCGGAAAAATGCTAAACCAATTTTACTGTTTGTTTTTGTTGCTCCTCCTGCCCTTTTTGAAGGGCATGGTGTGGGCGGAGGAGGGGGAGTGCCGCCGCCTCAATCGCGCAGATATTGAGAACAGACTGTCCACGAAGACGCCTTACAGGGCGATCGCCAATTACAACGAAACGCCACCTCAATACGCCGGTTTGTATTTGTGTTTTCCCTGTATCCCAGGTACAGTGAGCATCCGCTGGGAAACTCCGAACAGCTGATTGAATGCAGTGCACGCTCTATACAGTGAAACAACCAAATTTTAACAAGTATCTCAAAAAGAAAGGTTATAATCATTTTATAAACAATTCTGTTGAATATTTTATTTGTTGCAAATTTGCAAACTAATTTATTTGATGTTGTGATCATATAACATGGAACTGAGCATTTGAAACTTAGATCAATAACAAAAAACGAATGTGAAAATTATTCTTTACACAGTTTTAAGTAATATACTATTTTAAAAAATCTTCGACTTGCTATCTTAGCTAGTGTTCACTGTTGCCTCTTGCATATGATTGCTAAAACAGCTGTCATAACCGGTTCTTTTACCCGTTTCGCCCCACAAGGCTGCCACCCGACGCGAATCTGGTCCATAATCCGCCACGGAACTCGAAATCCCAGCGAATCCGTAATTCTCAAGGCACAAAATCGCCTCTCCGAGATAAAGAAACTCATTCTGGATCAGCCAAAGCCGCCGATCTGCTCTGCTGAACTGAAAAAGCTGCGCCATTGGAGCTGGAATCACCTGAATGCCACCGAAGATGAGAAATTACTGGTGGCTGAGGGCGAGGATGAGCTGATCGAACTGGCGGAGCGGATGCAGCATCGATTTCCGGACCTACTTCCGGAACTGTACAGCCCGGAGTGGTACTACTTCAAGTATACGGCCACGCAGAGGACACTAAAAAGTGCCGAGAGCTTCGCCACGGGTTTATTTGGCCGCCATCGCATCCATTCTGTTCGTTATCCACCGCCCTTGCACGAGGATCCTGTTTTACGGGTGAGTTATCCATAAAAATACATAAATACAATAATACTTCAATCTCATTTGAATAGAAAATCTAAATTATTATTGAGTTACTTTAATTTGAATTGTTATACATTTATAAACTCTGAATGGTTTGCAACTAGCAAGAAATTTTAAATGCGAGATTATACCAGAGCTCTGAGAGCAAGTAATTTTGAATTGCGCGCCTTTGGCTCGCATTGATCTGGCAAGGCCAAGTCCAAAACTACAGAACTAAAAAAAAGTAATACCATATTTTTAATAGTCCCTATGTTCAAAAACAAAACTGAACTTAAGCAACACTGGCTTTTTAGCGACGACACTTTTGTACAGTTTTACAGTACAATTTGTATCTCATCTCTAATATTCTGCAATTCTTTTCGTATAATTCGATTAAACTAAATAAATAAACGCGAATAGAAATACTAAAAGCAGTGAATGCGTGTTTCCGCCTGGTTATTTCTGTTGTTCAACAAACGCGGACCTGTGAAAGTGGTGCAGACTTTATTTTGGCCAGGCGGCGTGTTTTCCCCGTGTTCTTTTCACCCGTATTCGAGAAATGGGCCGCGATCCGTAGGCGGAAAACGTGGAGAAGAGGAAGGGCAAAGGAAAAGCGGTGGAGACGAGGAGAGGGCAAGGAGGAGCGGAGTGCGAGGAAGAAGTGCGAAAAGTGTTTGGGGTTATGTGCTAGAGTCCCCGCGGGGGGATTTTCAGCTGGTTGGATCCGCAACGGAGACGTAATCGTTCCGGGAAATCGTTCGCGTGAAAAAAAGACGACGCAAAAATCATGGCAAGTGCCGTTCGCGCTAAGTCCGCCTCTGCCGCAGTCGGCGTCGCAGTCGAGGAGAGCAGCGGCGGCGGCAGCGGCAGTGACAGCAACGGCAGCGTCGCAGAGCAGCAGGTGTCCTCCAGTCAAGAGTCGGTGGAGTCCCTCAGCTCCCTCATCCGCAAGCGGCACGAAAGCTACCTATCCGGTCGCTCGGATGATCCCATGCTGGTGATAATGGAGCACCTGGAACAAATGGAGCGCTGGCAAACCGATTCCCTAGAGGAGCAGATGGCTGCCAGTCAGGAACTCACCCAGGAGCCGTCACTTCAGACCCTTCGCGACATGGTGCGCGTCATGGAGCAGGACGACCACTCCCTGCGCCTGATCATGAAGCACGTTGAGCAAATATACGAAATCCTGGGCTTCGATGGCTATGAGCAGGGTTCCCTGAAGTGCCTGCGAGAGCTAATCAAGACAATAAGGAAGGAGTGGCCCCGGGACGACACCCTGCACCTGCTGATGAAGGATATCAAGAGCATACACACCCTGCCGCGCCAAGAGAACATATGCTTCGGCGAGCTGCTCAGGGACGACAGGTGCCCCCTGTCCCTGCAAACCAAGCGGCACAAGGAGCGCATCCAAGCGATGCTGTACGAGCGGCAGCCCTGGCGCATCCGCGAGCGCATGAAGACGGCCAGCGTGGCCCTGGTCCTGTGCCTCAACATTGGCGTGGATCCCCCCGATGTGGTGAAGATCCAGCCCTGTTCCCGGCTAGAGTGCTGGATAGATCCCAGCTCCGTCTCTCCCCCCAAGGCTATGGAGCTGATAGGCAGCAACCTGCAGATGCAGTACGAGCGATGGCAGCCGAGAGCCAGGTACAAGAAGTGCCACGATCCCACCGTGGAGGACGTCAAGAAGCTGTGCACATCGCTGCGGAGGAACGCGAAGGGGGAGCGCATACTCTTCCACTACAACGGACATGGGGTGCCCAAGCCCACGGCCAATGGCGAGATCTGGGTGTTCAACAAGACCTTCACACAGTACATCCCCCTGAGCATTTTCGAACTGATCACCTGGATGTCGGCGCCCTCGATCTACGTGTACGATTGCTCCAATGCCGGAATCATCATCAACTCGTTTCAGCCGTACGCGGAACAGCACGAACATGAGTTGGAGAAGGCGCTGGCCGCCGCCCAGCAACGGGGCGGTGTCCAGCAGCTGTCCGGTGGCGCCGGTGTCGCCGCCAATGCCGCCGGCAACCAGGTACAGCTGCCCAACCAGCTGGTCAGCTACAAGAATTGCATACACCTGGCAGCCTGTGCAGCCAACGAAATTCTGCCTATGAATGCCCAGCTGCCGGCGGATCTATTTACCAGTTGTCTGACCACACCCATAAACATAGCCCTCAAGTGGTACGCCATGCAGGAGAAGCTGGGCATGGTGCCACGAATCCAAAGCGAGCTGATCGACAAGATACCAGGTGAGGTTTCGCCTTTATTCCCCGCCAGACCCCCTTTTGACCAGTAAATCCCCTTTGCAGGCAAGGTCAACGATCGACGCACCATGATGGGTGAACTCAACTGGATATTCACCGCCATCACGGACACGATAGCCTGGAACACGCTGCCCCGCGAGCTGTTCCAGCGCCTGTTTCGCCAGGATCTGCTGGTGGCCAGCCTCTTCCGCAACTTCCTGCTGGCCGAGCGCATCCTGCGTAGTCACGATTGCACACCCGTTTCGTTGCCCGCCCTGCCGCCTTGCTATCGCCATCCGATGTGGAAGGCGTGGGATCTGGTGGTGGATCTAGCCCTGCAACAATTGCCGGAGATCCTCGATCACAATGCCCCTTACCGCCAGTTGCCGTTCTTTGAGCACCAGCTCACGGCCTTCCAAGTTTGGCTGGACAGCGAATCAGAATCGAGAACGCCGCCAGAGCAGCTGCCCATCGTGCTGCAAGTGCTCCTGTCGCAGGTGCATCGCCTGAGAGCCCTGGAGCTGCTGGCTCGATTCTTGGACCTGGGTCCCTGGGCCGTTAATCTCGCCCTGGGCGTGGGCATCTTCCCGTATGTGCTCAAACTGCTGCAGAGCTCAACGCGCGAGCTGCGACCCGTTTTGGTGTTCATTTGGGCCAAGATCCTGGCCGTGGATCCCAGCTGCCAGGTGGATCTGGTGAAGGAGTACAAATACTTCCTGTCCGTGCTGCAGGACACCTCCGTCTCCAAGGAGCACCGCACGCTCTCCGCCTTCGTGCTCTCCTCCATCGTGCACAACTTCCTGCTGGGACAGACGAGCGCCCTGCAGGGGCCACTGCTCTCCATTTGCCTGGAGCAGCTCAACGACGGCAGCTGGCTGCTGCGCCAGTGGCTGGTCATCTGCCTGGGCATGTTGTGGCAGAACTTCGAGAAGGCGCGCTGGTCGGGTGCCCGAGATCTGGCGCACGAGAAGCTGTACGTCCTGTTGCGGGACTCGATTCCGGAAGTGAGAGCTGCCGCCGTGTTTGCCCTGGGCACATTCATCAGTTCCGTGACGGATCGCAGCGAGGAGCAGGCGAATAACATCGACCGCATCATTGCCATCACCATGCTGGAGACCGTTGGCGAGGATATGTCACCGCTGGTGCGCATGGAGCTGGCCGCCGCCCTGCAGTGGATGGTGCTGCTCTTCGAGTCGCAGTTCGTGGCCGTCTATCTCGCGGAGCACATGCGCGGTCATGCCTCCACCGCCTCGTTTGTGATGTGCGGCGATCCCCGGGACTTGACCTCTTCCACGCACAGCCTGGAGCGCCATGTGACCATGCGTAGGGGTGCCAGCTCCAGCTCCATATCTAACATGGGCGGAGCCTCGACCAGTTCGGGCGGCAGAGGAGCAGCCGGAACCGCGGGAGGCACCAACAGCATACCCTTCCAGTCGATCTTTACCAAACTGTGGCTGGGCATCTGCAATCTGGCCCAGGACCCGTTTCCCCGCGTTGCGGCCATTGCCCAGGAGATTGTAGACCATGTGAGGAACACGGCGCTGTGCCCCATCATGGCCGCCAAGGAGGCCACCATGGCCACGGCCTCGGAGAAGTGCAGCAGCCTGAGTGTGAGCCTGCCGCCCAGTCCGAACACAAGAGTGAATTACCTGGGTGGCGGCGGCGGAGGACCGGGAGGAGCAGGAGCGGCCGGAGAATCCCCCGCCAGTCGGAGCAGCTGCCTCGGGTGCCAGTCACTGGGCCCAGAAGCTGCGACTATCGGGCAGCGGAGGCGGCGTCGCTGGCGGAGATCCGCAGACGTTCCTGCAGCGCAAGCTGCGCACCAGCTCCATCAACGATGAGACTGACAGCGCACCATCCTACTCCAGAGGAGCAGCGGGCGCCGGAGCTGGCCTGGGTCTGCCCAGCGGACCGAGGGAGAGCACCCATTCGGCGCGGAGCAGCGGCAGCGAGAGCAATCAGTACTTGGAGCCGGGACACAGCCTCACGCCCATTGTCCTGACCGAGTTCATACCCTGGGCCATTTCCTATTTCACGCGGCCGGGCAAGGAGCGCTACAGCAGCGCCGAGGGAGCGGCGGAGGAGGGCCGCCAGCGTTTCCCGGTGGATCGCAACTCCACGGAGTTGCGGCGACGGAGGTCTCGCTTCATGAGGAACGATTTCGTGCGCCGGCTTGCACGCCGCCAGCACCAGGAGCAGAGCGATCGGTTCGGCTACGATGTGTGCGTGTGGAACCGGAAGACGCAGTTCACGCCCTCCATCGTCAAGCTGTTGCCGTATGAGCCGCAGATTGCGGTGGCCTACAGGGAGAAGGTTCTGGTCTACGACTTCCAGTACAATTCGGTGCGCACCTACGGCGCTGAGGCTCTGGGAGGAGCCAACACCACCGGCTCCAGCTCCGGATACGGATCGGGTTCCGGGTCATCCTCCTCGCTCAATGGCAGCACTCCGCGGAAGTCGGGCCTGCCACCAGGAGGAGGGGGAGGAGGTGGCTCACCAGCCGCCCCCTTTGCCCGCGTAAGCAGCATCGAGTTCATCAACGCCCAGGACATGGCACTCAATCTGGTGGCCCACGAAGACGGGGTGGTGCGTGTCTGGCAATCCTCGCCGCCGGTCAGCTCTGCCACCACCGAGGATTCGCCGAGCAAGGCCCGCTTGGTGACCGCCTGGACAGCGCTGGGCCAGGCGAATCAGCACGGCTACCGCCAGCGCAGTATTGCCACCGGCGGGAGCATTGGCAAGGGCGCGGATGCGTCGGCACTCGCGATGAGTGGATATGGCTCCGGGAGCATCGTGACCGCCTGGCAGCAGTGCAGCCAGCACCTGGTGATAGGCGGCGGAGGCTGTCGATTTATCCGCATCTGGGACTTGGAAAGGGAGCTGAAACTATCGGATATTCCATTGGGTCGCGGTGAATCCTGCGCCCGGGTGCTGGCACCCTACCAGCCCAACATGCGCTCCGACGTGATCCTCGCCGGCTGTGACGACGGCAGCGTGCTGCTGTTCGACAAGCGATGCTCGCCGCAGGACGCCAGGATCTCGTTGTACCGGCGCCACAGTGCCCCCATTCTGCACGCATGCCTGCGGTCCAACGAGACGGTCCTGGTCTCCGGCTGCACCGAGGGCCGCATCAGCGTGATGGACTTGCGCGCGAGCCATTTTGCTAGTGGCGTCGGCGAGCAAGTGATGCACGAGTGGGACGCCGGTGGCGATGTGACGGCCATAGCCAGTCACCAAATAGCGGACACCGTGGCCTGCGGCAACGCCTCCAAGATCGGCATCTACTCGCTGGACGGACGGGTGCAGAAGGTGTTGCGCACGAACGAGGGCTTCATTGGGCCCAAGATCGGCCACCCCACCTGGTTGTCGTTTCACGCGTACAAGGTGCAGCTGGCGGTGGGCTTCGTGGACAACACGGTGGCCATCTACAGCCCCACGCCAGGTAGAAATCAAAATCAAGAATAAGAACGCGGGAGTTTAGTTGTTACTTCTATCAGAAAATACCTTTATTATTTATTTATCTCGAATTTCTAGTCATAATTCCTAATCTTAACAAATATCTTAACTTATTAACGAATTTACCTTTTATCGTTGCAGTTCTATAAGGGCTGTGGAAAGTGGAAAACAGACGTCGATAAGAATCCCGAAACCTTGGTCAACGCACGCAGGTTCCTCGCGGAGCCGCAGATGCAGTCAGCAGTGGAGCAGGTGCGGAGCAGCACCCGGCTGCCGGATCTCCAGCCGGAGGACGTGCAGCTCATGTACACAGTGTGCGCTTTCGAGACGGCCTGGCATCGCCCGCGTCGTGGTTCTGGTTCCCGCTCCCCAACCGATTCCGTGTGGTGCAATTTCTTCGATGTGGCCGCCTTGGAGGCGCTGGAGTTCTTCGAGGATCTGGAGTACTATTGGAACGATGGCTACGGCTACGAACTGACCCATCGCATTGCCTGTCCGGCAATCGCAGATATGTTTGCGGCCATTGGGTGAGTGCAGCCTGAATTCTGGAATACAAAAGTGTTTATCAGGATTTTAGTTTATTGTAAACCTCTAAAGAGCTCTTCTTAAAAACTCATTAATTGAGTTATAAGAAAATATGCACATATACGATCCAAGATTTAAAAAATGATATTTATTGATTGATCAAAATATGTAGATTTTCACACGAGATATGCGTTCTTTCTATTCGTCCATTTAAGTAAACAAATTGATCTTGATCTTTAAAGCTACTACTGCAAACAAGTTTCGAATGCAAATCCCAGTCAAATCTGGTTTTTACATTTTGCTAAATCGTGCAAAGCCATTTTCATTTTCAAGATAAAACAATCGTATATGTCAATGCCAAATATTAAGTTAAAGCATCTTTGTATGTCTATGGGAGTTCTTCAAATAATTTGGTATCCAGTTTGTGGACCTTAAATAATAATAATTTTGTAGATAAGAATAATTATTCATTTTTCATCTTAACTTATAAGACCAATTTCTCCATAAATTCTTACTCATTGTAATCCATTTGCTTTGCAGTTCCCCGGAAAAGGAGGAGCGGCGGGCCAACGCCACGTTGTACTTTACGCACTCGGGAACGCTATTGAAGTTGCTGGCCCACCTGGGATTGGCCCGGGACAAGAAGCCGCTGACGCACAAGCACTTTGCCAGCGAGCGTCGTTGGCGCACGAGCCAGATCGACGCGTTCGCGACCAACTTGGCCTTCCTCCGCTACGAGTAAGTGTCGTGGAATAGAATCCATCAAGTGGTATAGATATAACAGCTAATCCTCCTGCAGATGCGACAAGGAGGAGCCGCAGGTCCTGGTGCTGCACCAGGAGCGAGTGGTGCGCCTGCCGAAGTGCCCGCAGGACAAGGACCTCTGTCCGCTGGCCACGCTGCGTCGAAGTTTCGCCAAGAGCGTGGACCATTGTGACGTCGAGGAGCTGTGCCGGGTGAAGGCCAACTGAGAAGCGGAATAGGAATCGGAATTGTTATGGATGGATGCCGGAGCTGCTGCTGCTAGACTGCTGTTTTGTTGCTCTGCTCCTCTGCCACTGCGAGACCTCGTGAAAGGGATTCATCGGAATGTTTAGGATACACTGGAAAAAACGTTATAGATAAGAATGGAATAGATGCGAAGGGGCTGGAATTTAGCGATGATCCCAGCCAGGACTAGTTTTGTAAGAGCGAGAAAAGAGAGAGACCGGAGAGAGATATGTGTTGACCAAGTGGCGAGTGGAAATCTGTGTGTTTTGTATGCCTTATTAATCAATGTGGACCATCCGATCCAGAACAAGCGAACTTCGAACAGGAGTGCAGGAGAGAGAGCGGGATGGAGAACGGAAGAAGGAAGACAGAAGATAGAAAGAGAGAGGAAGAGGCGAGCCCGTGTCATGCTTTATATATACTTTAGTCTATATATTCCGGATGTCTCCCCAACTGCTCTAAAAGATTTACCAGAATTATCTTGATTTACTTTTTTTTTTGTTATTCAGTTAATCATACTATACCCTTAACCTATTCCTTATCCTAAATTCAAAAGCCAAACGGCAACGCATAGTGTACATATATAAATATGATGATGTAATATTAATATGATGTCTAATATTAATTAACTATATATAAAACGAAACACACATAGTTATATGCCTCTATTCAAATCGATCCTTTGCCCCCCCAAAAAGAAAGAAAAGAAAACGTTCGTTGTGCTAACTTGTGTTATATACCTATAAATAAAACCGGAAATATATATTTGATAAGGAGTGGATATGGAACAAATGTTGGGTTCCTATATCAATTGTTTAGCGGAAAGAGAGAGGCCCACACACTTTGTACATAGCTCTTACGACTTTAATCACTTTTGTCTAATTATGTTTGTCCTATCGAAAGCCCAACAACAACAACAACAACAACCGCTGTAACAACAAATAAAACTAACGACAATTCTAGTTTAAAGCTTAACTCGCTTGGACTTTTCAATTTGTTTAAGCTAAAAATAAAGAGAAACGAAAAATCAATGAACACCTGTGGGCGAATGACTTGGCTTTTTAGCAGGCTTTTAAATAGTTTCTTCGATTTTTCCCCATTGTTTTTATTTTTATGGGTGCAAACTTCCCGTATTTGCTCAGCGTGTGCCCTGCTAGTGTTTACAGCCAGCTAATTTGTGTTGCCGTTCGAGAGGGTCATATATAATCCCCGGCCGGCGGAACAAAGGCCATCTCCGCCAATATCGAGATTCGAGAAATCTCGAATATTATGGTATCCGACAGATATAACCCGAGAACTGCACCCACCTTCCGATCGAAACCAAGCGAAATCAGGTGTGTTTTGTTCTTGGCAATTGCCTTTCACACGGAACAAAGTACTTCATCTAAGTTTATTTGTGTTTTTAGGCCCAAGTTAGCGGAAAGATCTCTGTTCTGGCTTAAAGAACAACTTAAGAAATTTCCATTTGTTTAACAGCGCAGTTCATTATGTAGTCTTGAGATCTTAGCCCTTAAAATATATAGTAAATAATATGAAAGTGGCAGTTGCCCTCTACTATACAAAATATTGGAACCTTAATTTATAGTTTTTAAAAAGGTTACGTATTATGTTTTCGAATTGAGAGACTTTATTTAGTAAATTATTTTTAAAAATATTTTATTTTCAACCGTAGTTATGGCAAATATAAACCCCTTGGATTTAATTTCCTTAAGGGGAAACCGGAATTCTTGAGTGACGTAAAAAACCCCAACTTATCGAGTTTATTTATAATATATTACAGCCACCTAATTATAGTTAATTGAGAATATGCAAGCATTGTATTGGCTTATATAATTTGAATTTTAATTATGGAAAAACAATAATTTGCACCTAGTTTTGGGTGCATGTTCTCCCGATTTTCGTTTTAATGACTGCACTTTTTTCAGTTTGCCTGTTGCAAACATGTGGTTAAATACAATATACCTCTGGGCTCTGGCAGAATCGGTAATGTAGACTGGGGTCGACAGAGAGATATCCTGGATAACTCTTAAAAAGAGAAGTGTTTAAATTCTACACTTATCTGCATGGACATTTTAGTTATATATATTTGGCTATTACTAATTTTATTTAAAATACAGAGTCTTCAGTTAAGACGAACTACAGAAGGTATAAAATTCCATTATCTAATTTATGAGGTTTCACTGCGTGCTTTTCTATTACAAAAGTGTCTGATTAAACATTTATTATAAGTGTCTGTTTATATAATTTATATTTTAATTGGTTAATATATCATAAACGATAGCCTTATTTTCTCTATCATATTTAAAGTAGATATTTCCCATCTTCCCTGTTCCTTACATCTTGGTGGTATTGGCATACCCTTGAGTTATGCCCATATTGGGTATCCAATATTTGTGGGGGGTGCCGGATTGCCTAGGCCGCACTGGCAACAGGTTCAACCCTTAGCCAGCGGAGCTTTTCGACCCGAAAGCTGCGAGGAGCTGCGCAGGCGTCGACTGCGACTGCGGCAGCGGCCGAGGCAGCGGCGGCGGCAGAGGCTGCGGCAGACTTTTCGCCAGCGGACGGATTTGGATTTGGCCAAAAAAGCAATTCAGTCTCAGTGCGCTGTTGTCGCTGCGGTAGGCGCATCGCTTGCATTTTTTTGGTTTTTAAACATTTTCGAAAAAAAGACACCTTTTGGCAGCTCGTTTGTTTTTTGTAATTTAATAATGTGTGGTGTGTGCGCGTGCGAGTGGTTATTCCTGTTATTGGAAAACATCGAAAATTGATTCGGGGGCGGTGGTGGTGCCGGGGAACTGGGATGACTGGAAGTGGCCGGGTGGCCTGATGTCCCGATGTCCGAATGTCCTGGCCATGAATCGAGGCACGAATCAACAAATTAGGGGTTGTCCTGGTCGCGCGCGAGTTGGTGTGTGTGTGTGCGTGTGTGTGCTGCACTGGGATATTTTGGGGGTACCTTTTAAAGGGTTTACACATTTTAAAATACAAAATAATAAAAAGGCACCGGCAATGGCTTATTTAAAATCAGTAGCAAATAATAAGAAATCCTATTTTTTTCTGTGTGGAGTGTGTGTGCTTTTGTGAGGAAGTCCTGGCCAATTGAATCACCTGATGGCGAAAACATGACCTAATTCCGCTCAGCATCTTGGCTTAGCCAGGACCAGAACCGCGCTTAGAAAACCACCCCCATAACCTTAACCCCCGAACGCCGGAAGTCTCAACCTTAACCCCTGCTCGAGCACTTTGGTGGCTTCCTGCTTCCGCGTTCTAATTAGATTGCAATCATTTGACAATTTGATTGCCTGCCGTCGGCTCATCAAGACTCCTCCTCCTTTCCCTCCACTTGCAGCGCCTCCCGCTCCACAGACCACGCACCACGCCCCCCAGCCGCCTATCCGCCCACCCAGCAGCATGGAGCAGCTGTGCTACCTGGCGCTGAGCGTCCTGCTGGCCATCGTCGTGCTCTACGGACTCCTGGAGCTCCACTACTTCCTGCGCATGTGCCTCTGTGTTCTGCTCGCGCGCTTCGTCAAGAGGCGCTGCCACATCCTGGACGCCACCACGGTGAACGGTGAGTACTCCAAATCCCAGGTCCTAGATGAATCCTTGGGGAAAAGGGAAAACGGAAGACGTTCAAATACAACCTGTACCCCTAATGGGGATAGCAAAGTCCTTACGCATTTCCATTTCAGTCTAGGTTTGACTTGGCAGTTAATGGTAATGCACTGAAAGAAACTACAAAATTTTAAATGTTCTTTCAGCTATGAACAAACGTCCAGCTATAAGTTCACATTCAGGGTGTTTTCATTTAAACTCGAGTTTCCTAACAATTCTTTAATAAGAAAATACTATTTATAATACTAATTATGTACTTTTTACGTGTTTAGAATTTTATCATATTTAAAAGTTCAGCTTACATTTTGTAAACTCTTTGATTTAAAACTATTATTCCATATTATTGCGAAACATATAACTACTCAACACACAGAGAATTTTAATGTCTTTAAACGCATTTAGCTGCAAATAAATAATAAAAGATATTTATTACAATAATCGCTTTTGTTGCCATTAAACATATAATAACTTGTTCAAGACCAATTCAACAAAACAAATAGTTTAAGGCTAATAGTTTAAGAGTGCATAATTGTAATTTGAATGTGTCTGAAGCTGGTTCTGAATTGAGTAGACCATATAAAGTTTAAGTAGCAGCAAATTGGCTCTAAAGGTTATCACTCATACGCCGTGTTGGTTCTACTCATTCTTTTTGAAGTTTATTTATTTTATAAAAGCAAGTATTTGTTTAAGAGTTCTTATAGCTGATGGGCTATTTTAGATCCAAAGCTAGAATTCAAAAGCCCAGGGATCTCGGGTTCCTAATTGAAGAAATAACTGAATGATCTTTCTCCCTAATTAGCATATCTTCATTTAACCCCTTAACTTTAACCCTCTGTTTAGGACTCTGCCTCACCAACGATGTGGACACATTGTTGTATCACATGAACAACGCTCGCTATTTCCGCGAGCTGGACTTCGCCCGCGTGGACTTTTACGAGCGGACCAATCTGTACCGCACCATCACGGGAATGGGCGGTTCCGTTTTCCAGGGGGCGGCCACCATCCGCTACCGCCGCTTTATCCGCCCCTTCCACCGGTTCAACATAGTCTCGCGGGTGAGTGCAACACTATTTATAATTTTAAAATTCATTAAGATACACGTACATTTCCAATAATGGAATCGTTAAACTTTTGTACAATAATAAGGCTTTTTTCTTCATTCATTTTTCCCCATTTGGAAAAATGTGATCTTTTTCGCCCAAAAATTTCAGTCTTTTTACCATAACAACGCAAGTATTAGTCCAATAATGGAATGGCATACCTCGTTGAAATCGTTACAAAATTTGCAATCGAGTGGCGTTCACAGCTTTTTTTGTAAAATTTTCGAGAAAACTCATGAGCTATACCCTTATGAAAAATGTGAAAAGCGAGAAATGTGATCTTCAACCATTTTTCGCCCAGAAATATCAGTTTTTTTTACAAAAACGTCGCAAGTAATAGCCCTATAATGGAATGGCATTCCTCGTTAAAATCGTTACACTAATTCCAATCGACTGGCACTCACAGCTTTTTTTGCGAAATTTAAACAAGTGTCGCTTCCATTTTGGCGTGAAAGTTAGCTTGCTAGCTTTAAGTGGTAATATTTCCCAGTGTTATAATGATATCCTTCCCTTTTTCAGATAATTTACTGGGATGAGCAGTCGCTGTTCATGGAGCACCGTTTCGTGCGTCCGTCGGACAAGTTCGTGCACTGCATCGCGATTTGCCGCCAACGGGTGATCGACGTGTCCATGGAGGCGGTGATGGCGGAACTCCTGCCCAGGACCTCCTCCAACGGATTCCGGGCGACGTCGTCGCCTTCGCTGGCAGCGCCATCGGCGGCGGCGGCGGTGGGTGGGATCAGCAATCCGGCGATGGACACTTCGCTGGCGGAGAACGGACATGGTTCGACCGGAGGGGCGACGGGTGCCACGCCCACAACTGCGACGGCGCACTGCCTCAAGTTGAAGCCCTCCTTGCCGCCGGAGTTGTCCAAGTGGATCGAGTACAACGACATGTCCAGCAAGAATCTGCGGAGCGGCTGCTGACTGGAATCGTTGGAATCGCCGGAAGCGGAAGTGGAAGCGGATGCGCGACCGGAAACGGAACCTCAACCGGAAACTCCCATTAACCCATTTTTTTTCTCTCGCGTGCTTGTGTGTGTGTGTGCGTGCTAATGTATGCTAATGTTTAATGTATAAGTGTTCCCGTGGAATGTGTAAATTGTAAGCTATGTAAGTGTCTGAAAAACAAAAAAAAACCCGCCCTCTTTTGGCCTTAACTAATGTATTGTATAATTACCCAGAGATCAGCCACGCCCCTCAAGAAAAAAAAAAACAAACCCCCTGGTAGTCCACAGTGTGTAAGTTACGATGTACAATGATTGTTTAGTAAAATGAACAAGATAATGTAAAAAGATTTAACCGAGTGAGAGATTTTCTTGGGCCTTTGGTTTCAGCGCCTGAAAGCAGGCTACCAAAGTCGGACAGGCTATTAAAAAAGGACCAAAAGTATAAAGTTTAAAAGTATAAAATAAAATTAAATAGTACAAAATCTAAAAGCAGGTTTTTTGTTTGGAAATTTCTCTATTTCAGCATATCAAATATGTTTTGTTTTCGTCCAAAAGTTAGAACCGTGTTACAAGTGCACAATTTTCCCACTTTGCTTACTCTAATGATTAAGCAGTACTAAAACCCACTGGTAAATATTTTCTTAAGATTATTAATTACCTGCTTTGAGCTTGTGATTAAGCCCCCACTTTGAACTTTCAGTAGCGGCCCTTTGAGACTTGGTCTATTCGGATAATTTGCCGTTCGAAAACAGGCAGGTGATCGCAGTTCGACGGAAAGTGTTTACATCGATCGCAGTCACCTTTTGGTATATCTATAATTTTACGCGTTTACCTGTGAATTTGCTAATTGCGCCATAACAAAGATTCCCACACATCAGCAAATAGCGATTGGAATCGAAATCAATCGATTGCTAAGGCGACGTGGGATTATCTTTACAGGTGGACAAAGAAATACGGGGAAAGACAAATGAAATAAAGAGAAAGGAAAATAATAGGGCTCAGTGTTGACCATAATTATTTGACAAAAGTAGCTAAATCAATTATTAAATGTAGCTTCTGGTTTTCGTTGCGGTTAACTCTCAATAACTGTCGAAAAATAACATCTATATGGGTAATACAAAATTTTATGGTGGTCTTACAGAAGTCACAATACGTACTGTTAAATATTTTTCACTAGTTAATTACAGTATTTACTTTACTCAGTATTTACTTACTCAGAAATTTGTTGCTAATAAAACTGTTGCTAATGCTACTTATTATTTTACAACATTTTAGTTATAAAGTATGTAGTATAAATATAACTAATGCTAAAGGTATATTTTTAAATAGTTGTAATTACTCTTTTCCCATATGAGCGTTATTTAATAGGTATTTTGTCTTTCGAAAACATTAAGATTTGACTTGGAAATAGCCAAGCAATCAGCACTTTCTTTTCCTTATTATCGTTTTGTCTTCTCATTATCGCTTCCACTTTCTTCGCTGCTTGCGCTTAGTGTTGTCGACTTGGATTTTTCTCTAGCCGTTTTTAAATATTAAATATATATGAGATATAACTATAGCTATAAAATAACATTAAGGTATTTTTTGTAACGATTTTTAAACAATAAAATTGTATATACTTCTCAAGATATATATTTTTAAATCTCACAAGAAAATAAACTTATACAATAGATTAATATTATACGATTATTATTAATCTTTCTTATACGATTGTCTGTATATTTTTTTTAATCCTCAAATTTTTATAATTTTTAATATAGGGCTTAGCTAAATTACAGTTGGCAACACTGCATGAACTGGCTATCTTCCGAGTGTGTTGCTTTCTTCTGCTTCGGCGCTGCGTCGTCTTCGCTTTTGCCAATCGTCAGTTTTCAGACTACAGTCTACAGTCTGCAGTCTACAATCTTCGGGGTTCAGTCGTCTGTGGTCTTGCTTAGCCCACGGTTCTGTTGTTGTGTACCGCTCCGCCCGCTTTTACCGCCTCTACCTGCACCGCCTCTCCCGCTCGTCCCGCTAGTTGCTGGTGTGCTTGGTTGAGCTGAACGACCGACTGCAAATGTAAGTATTCCAGTATGTAAATACATATCTACTTTCCAGCTTCTTGGCGAAGGGGTCAACCCATACACTTGACTCCCGCGGCAACGGACTTTGGCGATCCGATCCGATAAATCAGCGCCAAAGTCTGATGCACACAGAAAAATCATCGGCATATCTAAATGATCTTTATTATTTGTTTTTGTTCAAAAATCATATAAACATCATGGAATAATATGAAATTTTAAAATAAAAGTATTAAAATTGAGTTCTTGTTGTTAAACTGTTTCTTCTGTTTGTTAACTTTAAAACTAAAAATTTCAACTGTCATTTTATTAAAACATTTTAAAATATTATGATAATAAACTTTAATATTGTTGACTTAGTCTAAAACTAATTAATCGTATTTTTGTTAAATAAATATTAATTATAAACATAGTAATCAAAATGTATATGATTTTCATAACTTAAAATGTTGTCTGTAATATTTATGGTATCCCCCCAATATTTCGTGCTGTGTAGTCAAAACTTTCGCTGTCACTAACGGGTTTTCCCCTGCGATCTTTTCAGTGCGAACACAGTTACCCACAGATTCCCATACCGCGATGTCTTGGCTGGTGGTGCTGCTGATCCTGTACGTGATCTGGGATGTCAACTACTTCATCCGGTGCGTGTTCACGGTGTTCGCGGGTCGGTTATTCCAGCGGAAGCGCAAGGTGACGGACACCACGACGATCTATGGACTGTGCACCTCGCAGGATGTGGACATCTTCATCCGGCACATGAACAACGCGCGGTATCTCCGCGAACTGGACTTCGCCCGCTTCCATTTCTACGCTTTGACGGGACTGTACGAGCGGATCCGGGAGCGGCGCGGTGGAGCGGTCCAGGGAGCCAGCAGTGTGCGGTACCGCCGCACCATCCCCATCTTCCACCCGTACAAGATCCAGACCAAGCTGGTCTGGTGGGACGACAAGGCCATCTACCTGGAGCAGCAGTTCGTCACCCTCTCCGACGGATTCGTGCGGGCTGTGGCCATGTCCAAGCAGAACATCACCAACTGCAATGTGCTGGAGGTGCTGAAGACCTATCCGGAAACTGCCCAGCGGCCGGAGAAGCCCGAGGAACTCAAGCTCTGGCTGGATGCCATCGAACTGTCCAGCCAGAAGCTGCGCAAGGACAAGTGAGCTGGCGGGGATCACGGAGATGCCACCTGACTGCGGCACAACTCATTTACTCTTGCCTCAATTTTATAGACTTGTAATCTTTTTTTTTTGAGTGCACTGTGAAGAAACTTTAGACTGGTGTAAATTCCCACAACTCAAAGCAAAAATCAAGATATCAGAAAATCTTCCAAATGTAAATTTAACAAATCTCATCCATAATAAGTTTGAAATAATTTGTAAACCACGATTTGGATGTAAAAATTATCAGATTAACATCATAAGATTATTTTAAATATTGGAGATAACTCAAAACAATTGTATTTGCTTATATTTTTCACAGTGCCTTAGTTATAATATATATTTTGTGTAAAAATATTTCTTAAATGGAGTGGCCGAAGCTTTTTAAATATAGTTTTTTTACAAACAAAATGATCGAGTTAAATTATTTTTTACAACCAGAACTCAAAAGTATTTTTGTTTGTATTTGTTTGATTATACCTTTCAGTGTGTTAATTTTATAATTTTTGTAGAAACGCATTTTTTGTGGCAGTTCCGATGGAGTTTCTTTTCTCGACTTTCATTTATGCTAAGTTTGATATCACGCAACGCACAGTCGATGGATTGTTTATTTTCTTTTATGCTGCCTCCGTTATGGCACAGCTAATAATGATTATTTTTTGATTTTTTGATTATGCAACTCCAAAAACGAAACTGTTTTGGGTCTGCCACCATCAGCAATTTGGTGGCCCAAACGTATGCAAAAAAGTTTTGCGAATTTCACACAAAAATAGTCATAAATAATGTGAGGGTCTCAAAGTATTTGGGAAACGTCTTGTAAACCAACATTGGGATTCCCAGAAGATATAAATACAATTCGTATTCATACAAATCATTGTATGCGTATTGTTTCAATTTTACAGAACTGTTTGTTTCCATATTTCTTTATTTTGTAAAGATGAAAACTCCATCACTGACTATGTTTTATTTATTTATTTTTAATCACCATATAACACCATTTATCACTATAAGACTTACGTTAAAGTGTACATAAGCGTAATATATTTCTACCTTCCGTTTACTTACGTTGCCAGGGTTCGTTAACCCCATTTTTGCCCTACGTAATGGCATAAAAGTGCAAGTAGTGATAACTGTCATTATTGTAAATAAGTTATTTACCTTTTTATCTCTAAGTTGTATCAAAGTGGCAGCCAGAGATCGCCAAACAGCTGATTGTTGGCCGTAATCCGTAGCGTAATCCGTAGCGTAATCCGTGACGTCATGTCGGACTGCAATGCAACAGCTGCACACACGGCGTATGAGTGCTGACCACTTCCACTTCCCGTCGTTTTCATTTAAAATCTCTCCATTCGCACACAGCTTTTGAATCGTTTATCGTACTTCTTTTTGTTTTCTGTTTTTTTCTATGGTGCTTAGGCCGAAATGTGGATCAAAACGTGACACTGAAATCTAAGCATAAATCTCATTCATAAAGTATGCAGACAACGCGCGCGTAGCTCGTCGAGCTCTCTTTTGGGGCCTCACGTACTCCCCGATTCTCCCAGTGTTTTGCTCTCTCGGAGCGACGGTCCCCGGTGCAATTGTCACCAGCGAATACACTCAAAAAAATCTATGTAATATGTCTTGTGTCGAAAAAGGGCCTTTGAGTTTTAAGTTGGAAAAACTATGTACTTTACTTTATATACTTGCATTCTTAATATTCCTTTTAATTCAGTATTCAGATATACCTCTAAGGCTCAAATTCATCTTAAATTATAGTTTCTTAATCTTAAATTAAATGAATTAAAGTAAAATGTTAATATTACATACATATTTGAAGAATCTCCTTCTTTATCATTTTCTTATAAATATATGGTTGCAATGTTTATTTACAACTGAATGAAATCAATGAAACCTATAGGTATAACCATAAAAAGCACTAATGTTTTTAAAACTTAATTTGCATGCCCAATTTAGTCCAGTGTACTACAAGTTGCAACCGAAGCCGCTTCGGCTGGACATTCGTGCCACTTCGGCAGCTTCTTGACTATTTTTAACTGACAACGCGCAGAATTGTCAGTTTATTTTGAACAACCGCGGCGAGCACACAGAAAACCCAGAGATCCAATCCGATCCGATCCGAATCAGAAGTGCAGAACCAAGTGAACGAAAAGCAAATCGGAAATTCTTGCACAAATTAATTGGGCCAGAAAGTGTCTCAGTTTGTTTGTTTTTTTTTTCGAGTTCACTTCTGTGTTAAATAGTGCGAACGAAAATCCGTTAAATACAGCGATAATCCCGATAACGACCAATCTCGACCAAATAGCCAATGTAAATGTCCTTCTTTCTTATAGCCAAAGTACCTTTGTGTATATAAAGTATTTAGAAAACCGATGCAGTGACAATAACAACGAACTTTTGCAGTTTATTGACAGCAGCAACAACCACAAAAACCAGATTGAAAGCAAACAGCAAACAACAAATAGCAACTTGAAGTAATTTGCAACTGAAAAGAAATGCGGCAATGGGGCACAAACAAAGTATAAATACATAGATTGGCCGATCGGCCCGAAAAGCAACAATAACAACACTGCCATAGCTACAACAAAAAAGAGAAAACTTTTCGTGGACGACACTTTGAAAGACCCACAACAACAACAACAACCACTAAGACAGCAACAACATTAAGGGGAGGTCTCAATGGTCAGATGGTGAAAATCTTTTTCAGAGCGTCTGATCTCGTTGCTAAAGTTGTTGTTGTTGTTTGGCGGATCTGCGCAACACCAACTTTACTTACTGGTTTCCACTGTACAGTACTCTCCCAGTGCCTTCCCCTCCTGATCTTCTGTGATCTTTGTTTTGGACATTACGAAATATTACACACTTATGTTCCCATTTTCAGTAACTTTTAGGCTGACGAAGTTATTTGAAGATGAACAAAGAATTTAATTTCCTTTACGATTAAATTTAATACCTTTGCTTTCCCAAACTATTTGCTTCTTTGGACTATTTGATCTTCCACTCTTTTGTGATCTTTGTTTAGATATTATGAAACAGTACACATATGTGCTCGCATTTGTTTAGGGATTTATTGAAAGTCTAAGACCCCAAACTTTTGATTGCAATCTTATTCTTCTTCTTTCGATTCTGAAATGTTTCTAGATATTTTTAATAATTTCCTAAACGTTTAAATTTCACTCATTTGGAAGTTTACGAATTTTGGTTAAGTTTGGCGATTTAATTTTTTCATTTTGTAGTTCCTTTCTTATTAATTTCTTATTAATATAATTAACATTTATTGCAGCAAACCATTCTGTACCGCACTCTCAATAAAGTCTTATCTAAACTTAATTTTCCAATTAAGAATTCAAACTAAAATATTATATTAACTTTGAGGTTTTGAATAATGTTTTATAAGGAATTTTTAAAAAATAATGAAATGGCATTAAAACCACATACTTTTTATTAGGTTTAAATGCATTTCAATCAGAGAATGCCAATTAATAACACTTCAATTGGCGACTGAAAACAAAAAAATAAGCTAACCGATATATTAATGTGCCAAAAGGCTAATCGCATTTTTCTAAACTTTCGGGTAAATGGAAACAATTTGAGATTTTAGCTGCCAGCATTTCCCCGGGCATAAATCACTCTGCCACATCCGCAGCTTCCCAGATCCAGCTACTCGAATTATGATAAATGTGGACGTTGGATGGTGTGTAGTGGATAGAGTATAGAGTATAGAGTGTAGGGTATGCATGGTACGTTGATAGGGACGGTGGGGAATGGTGGGTGGGTAAATCGCAAATTTTCAGCGTCAAATGCCATTAAGCCAGTCCGCGTTATTGAGTTAAATTGGAAAATAAGCGAGCGACAGTTGCTCTCGTTGTTGCTGTTTTTGTGTTTCTGTATTTTTTTTTTGTGTGCCTTGTGCAATTGTTCGCACTTGGAGACGACAAAACTGGGAAGGGTAATCGCAGTTGTAATGGGGACTGAACTGGAAAAAAAAGCCGCAGCCATGCGAACTGGACAGCCCTGGACATCACTGCCCAGACCAGAGCCATTACCCCGCCCATTCCCGCTTATTATTTGCACTATTTCATTATTATGTTCGGGGGGCGGACGCACGATCACCATCGCGGATGATAGTTATTTCAATTATATAGTGGATAGCGCAGCTCTCGACCCTCCAGCAAGGCATTCCGAATCCGAATCCGAGTCCGAATCCAAAGGGGTTCCATGATCGTAGGAGGATCGTGATTAGGAGACGCGTGCTCCTCTGGGATTTCAAGTTCAGATCCATTAGCGAGGTTAGCTGGGGATTCTTTTTTTGTTTTTCTCGGCTTAATTCTCGGCAGTAAATGAGCACTTAAGAAATAAAAAAAGATTAAATAACCCGCTTTGATTTTCACCAACAAAAACTTGCAATGATTTATTTTATAGATCGATAAGTGAACCCAAGTCAAGAATGCAATTTAATTCTCAAAGAATTTGTTCTACTTAATATAAAATTTATGTTGTATCCTGCCAGCAGTATAATTAATTTGTTAAAACTATTTATGGCAAGCTGTGTATTTCAAAATAATCCCTATTCCTCTTCATCTTCATTTTGATTTCATTGCTCGCTCACACGCAATCTTTTTTGTGGCCGAACACGAATTTTCCCAGATCCATTGAGCCCGATTGCAACAAAACATGTGATCATTTGCATGAAACCTATTCTACGGGTGCTGTTTCTTTCCCATGAAAGTGGAGAAGAATGGTAATTTCGGCGATTCGCCTCTTGATTCTCTACACTTTCGCAATGTTCCAGATAAGATATTTGAATACTTTTATATTCACGATTAGATTTTGTTTCTTTTAATTTGATGTAATTTTAATTACAGAAAATTTCTATATAACTAGTGCTTCTGAAAAGAAAATCTAGTGTCGTTAATACCAATATTGATTCGTTTAAAATAATGCTGATGAAAAAATTGTCAGCCCTGAATGTTTTTGCCACACTTAGTTCAAATAAACAGATGAGGACATCCATTTACTTGTTCATACGCTTCGGTGACCATGGACATTGCGGCCTCTGCTACTGTTAATTTTGTTATTTTTTTCGTTTATTTATTGTTTTCATTCAATCATACAAAATATTTGCATAAACGAGTGCCTATCCATGTGTGGACATTAGTGCATGTGCAGCAGCTGCAATTGCTTAACCAAACGCCCCCGCTGGCACACACACTCGGTACTCCAGTTACATGGCATAGACAAAAGGAAATGCCAATGAAATACAAAAAATAATAATAGTAACAAAAAGAGAGCAATAAAGAATATAAATATATGTTATTTATATGGACACTCAGCCAATTGGGGACCCAAATCGCTCGTTTAATAAATAGAAAACACTGCTGCCGCGCATAATTTATGTTGAAAGGAAGGGGGGGATACAAAATACTGTGGGGATCTTTGGGGTGATGTAGCCCTGACTGAAATCTTATTTTCTTTTTCAGATCCCGCGATGGGCAATGCCGGCTATACATGCATACGCCGCACCTTCTGCTGGCTCAACATCATTCTATGGGTAAGCTTTTTAATTTTGTCAAACAATTATACGTTGTTTGCAACTTTTCACACACCCAATGTCAGCAAATTCTTTAACCAATTTAACATAAACACAAAAATAAAATTGCTTAAGGATAAATTTGCATAACAAACTAATAACTCATTTCACTTGGAAGGGGAGAGATTTTTGTAGAAGATTTCTTAAAGCTACCAACAAAAAAATTGTAATCATTATTTTGTATAATTTTTTAAAGGAAAAAATTGTTTGTCATTTAAGTTTTCAACGAGCTTGACCCAATTTATAGTCTTTCAAAAAACTATTTAGTTTTTAAAGAACTGCTGTTTATCTTATTAGTTTTTAAGGATTTAATTTTTTTTAAAAGAATTTTACAAAATATCAGAATATCAGTGGCAATACATATTCAACACTTTAGTAGCCTTTTTTTTTTGAGTGCAATAGCTGACGACGGATATGCAGCATCAGTAACAAAGCATAAACATATAGAGGCTGAATCGGAATCGGAATGAGAATCAGAACAGGAATCAGAAGGTAGAGCAGCTAATCAGAGACATAACTTTGCCGCCGTCGTCTGCAGCGGAAGTGTCTTTTGTGAGGGCATGTTGCATTGTCGGAGCGCCTGTCATTGACTTTTTGCTTTGGGCTTCGGTTGCAGTTCTGTTCAGTTTCAGTTTCGAACTCGACTTTGACTTTGGCGGCGACTTCGCTTTCAGCTTTTTGAATCTACATATGTAGCTGCAGTGGGGTTCCCCTGAAAGTTCCCCAAATGTCACATGTCAGGCTTCGTGGACATGCAACAGTTGTGTTTTGGCATCCAAGGCTCTCATTCAGCTGTCAATCAGGGGGAATTATCTGATTTTTCCCACTGAAAGATATATCCTTCAGCAAATGATGCATCAATGGCAATTAATCAAGGTCTGTGTCCATCTGACAGTGGCTAAAACAAATAGGCTGCTTTAATTTCCCCATAGAGCTGTAGATCAACATTCATTTACCAACGAATGACATAGAAATCGACTTAAATTTGCTCAGCAAAATACCTACAATTGTAATAGTTTTTCTCCTCTTGCCAACGAGTTTATAAATTTATTGATTGTGATTACAAAGTTAAAATAGTTGCATATTTAATGGGGAAAAATAGATTGCAAGTCTCATAAAATTAATTAACTATGCAAACACTATTTTCTTTATAACATTAGCAGTAAAAGTACCTACATTGGGTTCTTAATCACAATTAGTGTTGCTACCTCTCTCTTTTCGATCATTCTGCATGGTAATCAGTGCCTTTCTAATTCCCAATTTCCGATTCGACCCATTGCAGCTGTGTAGCTGTGCGTTTTTGGGAGCCGGACTGTGGCTGCGTCTGAGCTACGAGGGCTACGCCACTCTGCTGCCCCAGCACGCCGGCTTGAGTGCGGACACCATCTTCATGGGCATCGGGGGCACCGGGTTCGTGGTCAGCTTCTTCGGCTGCTGTGGCGCCTGGGTGCAATCCCGCTGCCTCCTGGTACTGGTGAGTAAATGGGGGCAGGGTGAAGGGGCAGAACATTGGAAAAAATGGAATCTCAATTTGAACATTTTAAACACATATAAAATGCAATCACGTCGTATGAGTAATTTTTTTTCTCTGTAACTCATACGTCCCATACTTTTCCCCGCAGTTATACATGCTGATTATTCTTTAGTTATATATGTATATAAAATGCAAACCCAATAATAATAGTTTAAAGTTAAAGTTTAAGTTAAAATCATAAAAAGTGTTTTAATATCAATGATGTCTTTAAAACATGCCACTCATGTCGTATGAGTAATTTTTTTTTTCTGTGTAACTCATACGCTCCATACTTTTACCAGCAGTACTTTTTGTTAATTATTCTTTTCTTACTAAATATAAAATGCAAAATAACTACATATAAAATAATAATAACTTTGAATATGAATATCTTTTATTCCTTTAAATCATAAAAAGTATTAATGATAATTTTAAGACATGGCCTTCATGTCGTATGAGTAATTTTTTTTTCTGTGTAACTCATACGCTCCATAGTTTTACCCGCAGTACTTCATGCTGGTTATTCTTTTGTTCTATATATAAAATTCAAAACTAATAATAACTAAGAAAATGCATAGCTTTTATTCCTTTAAATTATATAAAGTGTTATGAAATTGATGATGATTTTAAGACATGGCTAACATGTCGTATGAGTAATTTTTTTCTGTGTAACTCATACGACCCGTGTGTTTCCCCGCAGTACTTCATGCTGATTGTGATGCTGTTCATGAGCGAGTTCCTGGTGGGCTCGATCGCCTTTCTCTTCCGCGGCGGATTGGGTCGGACTTTGGCCAACGAGCTGCGCTTCGGGATCGAGCGGCACTACAACACCAGCGATCGGGGATCTTTGGTGGCGCCCTCGGTGGCTTCCATTTGGGACAGTGTGCAGCATTCGGTGAGTGGCGCCTTTCCCTTTTCCATTTCGAGATCTAAATAGTGACCCCGCTGCATCGATCAATCTACAGTTCGAGTGCTGCGGCGTGTCCTCGTACGAGGACTGGTACGACATCCAGTCGTGGCCGGGAAAGCGCTGGGTTCCCGAGTCCTGCTGCAGGACGCTGTACGACCAACGCCAGGTGCTCACCGAGGGATCCGGCGACGGAATGATGCGCGCCGACTGCGGCAGGTAAGTGAAAGACCCCATTCTAGGTTTTTTCTTTAAGAGTTTTTTGTTAAAAATTACAGAGTCTTTTAAAAATTAATAAAATAAATTCCAATGCTTATTTTTAAACTGTCGTTAAAATTCTAGTATTTTGTTTAGAAAAATTTGTCATTGTAGGTTAAAAAGGTGTCGAAAAGAATGTATTTTTTAAATATTAAAGACTTCTGTTTTTATCGAGTTGCTTTAAGTTAGTTCCCATGGAAAATTGTTATCTTATATCCTATATATGTTTGTTTTAATTATGTATTTCAGATCAGAGAACCCGTCGCTGTGGTGGGACAAGGGATGTGCCCACTCACTACAGAGCTGGTTCACCGGACAGCTGAATGTGGTGGGCGCCGTGGGACTCGGGATCGCCTTCGTCCAGCTCTTCGGACTGATCACCTCGATGCTTCTGTTTTGCACGGTGAAACACAAGCGGGCCTCGGACACCTACAAGTCCTACTCCCCGTCTATCGATCCCCAAACCCGCACCAGCAGTTGGGAGGATTGAACGCGCCTGTAGTGGTGCTTGGCGAACTTCTAAATGTGGGTGAGGGGGTCAAAATAGCCCCCCCACCTGTCGCTATCTCTATTCTTTTTGTTAACTCTCTTAGTTTCTAATTCATTCTGCGAAATGTGCCAAAAATTAATTTAATTGAAAGTGTATTTTTTTGTTTTTTTGTTGTAATCTGTAGGCGAAGACATATCGAACAAAATTTAAGGGCGCTAAAATGTCGTGTTTACATTAAAGACAGTGTGAACAGGGCATAATGTACCCAATGAAACAATCACAGATATACAGAGATGTTTAGTTAGCGGTGTATCCATATTGTGATGTGCTCTCTAGTAGTATAGTATATGGCCCAAGACCCCGAAACACACATTAAACTGGGTACAGTGCGTACAATACTTATCAGGCAAGAAGTTAACAAATCACTGTGCCAGTAATACCCAAAAAAAAAGTGTTTACCGGGCTTTTGAGCCCAATTATGCTCGTAACCCTTTAACTAAATCAATATATCAACTATATATTTATACATAATTATACAATTCTACTTATGTTATTTTATGGAACTTTGTAGTATTCGATATAGCAGAAACCGCAACTGCCCGTAAAGCAACAAAACCCAGAAGACGAAGAGGAGGAAGGGGGAGCAGATAGTTAAAGCAAATATTATTATTACTATGAGTATGATTATTTTATTTATACATACATATTTATATTTATATCGAAATACATTCCTACACAACATGTTCGTGTTAAGTTACAAATAAATTAAAGTATTTATTTAAATTACAATCAAAAAGAAGTTGTAGTGAGTGGGTGGTGCAAAACCGTTAGAGGCCCACCAATTTGCCACCGATAATATCCAATTGGGCTGTAATTCCCTTCGTAACGCTGCGCGCCAACTCTTTCGGTTTCTGAGAGGAAGGGGAAGAGAAAGAGAAAGAGAGAGGAAGAGAGTGTTAAAGAGAGGGAAAGCTGGAACTGACCTTGGTCAAAATAAACACACGACTAATTGCATAAGCAGTGCCAGCAAGCAGTAGTGCTGCCACTCTGGCTTTCTATCTACCCACAAATCTATCTTTTTTAAGCTCTATCACCTGTGCATCTAACTAAACCTTTAAATTACATTACATTTATTTTTGTAAATCAAATACTGAAATGATAATACAGGGAAATATTTTTCCTTATCTTTAACTCCATAACAATTCTTTTTAAACAAGAACAAAATTTGATTGGTTTTGATTTTCTAGTCTTTTGCTAAATAATATTTGATTTTAGCTAAATAATATCCAAATACGAGAAGGCATAAATTGAAGATAAACCTATTTTAATATTTTTGTTTACTACAATTATTTATTAGCTACTCAAGAGGTGCAACACTGGCGAAAAGATCACCAGTTGGACCGTCAGTGACTCAAACTGCACTGGGAATATTATGCAACGCGTGTGCGAATGGATCCATCATGGAAATAAGGCAAACAAACACAAACAATCGCCGGAATTTCGGCACTCACCTGTATGAAGGTGTTGAGCAGGTTGGAAAAGGCCTCGTAACCGTTAACAATGGATCGCGAGATGCCGTCGAACATGTCGCCATTGTTGCCGTACTTTTCGTGCTCACTGATCGAGTCCAAAATGGGAACGGGCTGGGATCGAATTAAGTGGGCTTTAGCTGTGCGAAAGGTTAGTATAACACCACTCACCTGGGCCAGATCGGCCAGCTTCTTCTGGCTATTGTCGTACACGCTCAGCACTTTTGAGGGAATGGCCTCCTGCTCCAGATTCACCGACTCCGCCGTTTTTGCCGGAGTTGGCAGTAAGGATATCTACCGGAAAGTAAGTGCATTTTCTTAGGTGAGTTTCTTGACTCTCAAAATGTTAGCGTGTCTGATTTTAGTATATCAAATAACTTATTGACTTATTGCTCTTATTTAAAGTACGGTTTTAAGTTTCCTTAGTTAGGTTCGAAATTATAATGCTGAAATATCGTAATAATATAATACAATAGAATTTGTGTTTTAAATTGAAATTAAAAATTTATATAATATTATCGTTTAATATATTTCAATATTCATGGCTGTCATTAAGGGTTTGAAAAACGAACACGTCTTGATAGTCGTAAATTCCCACTATTGTTTGGTCTGATAATGAGTTTGGTGTTATTTTCCTGGCCCCTGACCTTGGCTGCCCAATGGGGCGGGATGGCCCTGACCCCTGACCCCGACTCACCTTGAACCCCGCTTCGCTGGCCTCCGCCTGTGTGGATTCGGCGGAGCTGTCGGCGGCATCAAAGGCGTCCTGGGCTCCAAAATCGGCGGCCGAGACGCGTGCGTCGATGGGCGTGGCGCCGTCGGGCGTGGCAGGAGCGATGGGCGTGCCGGCGATGCACTGCATCATGATCAAAAGGAGCAGCACAAGATGAATCCTCACATGTTGCAGCGTCATTTCGATTTCGCTTTATGTTCTTTTTACGAGGTGAAGGGGAAATTGCAAAACAACGTATTATGAAACAAGGCGACAGCGTCCAGTCCAGTTTCCAATTCCCCAGGCCAAAAAGAAATCCAAATCCAGCTGCAAATCCCGGTTGGAGCTTCGATCCGAAGTCTGTCGAGTCCAAAATTCAACTGAATGGCCGCGTCTGCGCAACGATTTTATTGGCTTAACCCGACCACGAGAGTCGCCGCTTTGGACATTGAGCCACGATCGTTTTGGCTCAGTTTGGGTTTCGGTTGGAGCTCAGGTTTTCAGTTTTCAGGGGGCATTCGGGGGCTAACGACTGCGGGAGCCTCTGCGGAGTCACCTGCCGGCTTTTTTTGGTGATTAAAGAAAGTGATTGCTCACTCTAAAGGGGCTTGCAAAACTAAAATGAGAAACACATCGAAGGCACTATTTATTTTGTAATGGAAACATGGTAGTAATCCAATAATCAAAACACTTTAATCAGGCACAAATAAAATCAACACCAAAAGTAGACACTGAAAATTAAAAATTAAAAAACAACAACAATTAAATTTAACAAATTTTAATTTATCAAATTTACATACTTAAGTCCCTATAACTGTCCTAATTTTTCCGACAGTGTAGTGCACCGATTGTAACAGTAATGACAACAACAAACACCACTAAAACGATAACAATAACAACAAAGGCAAAACCGGCAACTTGTTGCTGTCAACAAATGTTGCCGCCGCCATTCTGTCGCAACAATGAGGAAGGAAACTCGGTTTACTCAGTTAGTTGGTCAATCGGTAGCCGCCGCTACACCCCCAAAAAACCCCCCCGCAATCAATCTGATTGTTGTGCAATTATGACTTCACACTGGAAGAAATTTGGTCATTTGATATGTGTGCTTGTAAATCAATTAAAGTAGAACGAAGCCTCTGAACTTTTGTTTAAGGCTGGGACCCACATGTTAATTGTAAGATTGAAATAATTATACATAAAATTTACAATCGAATGGCATTTACAGTTTTTTGTATCCAACTTTGATTTTTGATTTTTTCGCTCAAAAATATCAGTTTTTTCACCATAACAACGCAAGTAATAGCCCAATAATGGAATGGCATACCTCGTTGAAATCGTTATAAAATTTCCAATCGAGTGGCATTCACAGCTTTTTTTGTAAAATTTTCGAGAAAACTCATGAGCTATACCCTTATGAAAAATGTGAAAAACGAGAAATGTGATCTTCAACCATTTTTCGCCCAAAAATATCAGTTTTTTCACCATAGCAACGCAAGTAATAGCCCAATAATGGAATTACATACCTCGTTGAAATCGTTACAAAATTTCCAATCGAGTGGCATTCACAGCTTTTTTTGTAAAATTTTCGAGAAAACTCATGATACCCTTATGAAAAATGTGAAAAGCGAGAAATATGATCTTCAACCATTTTTCGCCCAAAATAATCAGTTTTTTCACCATAGCAACGCAAGTAATAGCCCAATAATGGAATGGCATACCTCGTTGAAATCGTTATAAAATTTCCAATCGAGTGGCATTCACAGCTTTTTTTGTAAAATTTTCGAGAAAACTCATGAGCTATACCCTTATGAAAAATGTGAAAAGCGAGAAATGTGATCTTCAACCATTTTTCGCCCAAAATAATCAGTTTTTTCACCATAACAACGCAAGTAATAGCCCAATAATGGAATGGCATACCTCGTTGAAATCGTTATAAAATTTCCAATCGAGTGGCATTCACAGTTTTTTTTGTAAAAATTTCGAGAAAACTCATGAGCTACAGTAACAGTTTTAGCTACATATGAAAACCCCTGAACTCCCAATAAAATATAAAACTCTTACATGATTTTTGATAATTTTTTATTAAAAAACATTTGTAATATATAGGTAAAGTTAATGTTAAATACAATAAAGTCTTAGGATAAAATTATGTTAAATGTATATATACTTAATTAAGTTATGAATACAGATACAAACTAATTGGTAGTTTTTATTATGTATGTAATGGTAGCTTAAGTTTTACAATTTATTTACTTATCGCTAACTTATGAGTACTTATGAATAAGCGACAACTGGAGCCGTTCGTTAGAGGAAAGCAAGAAGTCGACGGCTGGAAAATTCGGGAGAACCTTGAACGAGACACCAAAAAACCTCCACAAATCAACCACGGAAACTTCTTTTTGTAATCTAGTTATATGGCCTTTTTAAATATTATATATTATTGAAATAAAAATGTTTTCTTAATATAAAATATTCACACCTTTTACTGGGGTTGGGGGGTTGGGCATTTGTGGATCTTAATTTATGTTTTCTTGGAACTTCGGCTTGCAGCTAGTAATTACGGAATTTAAAAGTCAATAGTAAAGTAGTTTACTGCAAATCAAACAATCTTTGTAAAATAGACATGAATAAGTAAAACAATAATTTTCATATTTTCATTGAAAAAAACCTAATATTTTTTGCTTTAAAGTTCTCAAAATAAATTAAAGTTTTGACTAACATTTTAATCGAATAAAATCGCATTAATCGGATTACGCCATTAAAAAATGAAAAGCAAAGTAAAGTCTTAGAAAGCAAATCAAATGCGTATATATAAAAAATCTGGCTTTTCTTGCAGTGCGTTCACCGCCGCCACCCACTTTTACTTTCCATGCAACTCGATCAATTAAGCGTGCTTCAAGAGGCTGATTTTATTTATGATTTATGCTATATTTGGACGAGGTGGTTTTTCCACTTCTGCCGCCGGTGTCCCAGCTTCTGGGGTCCCGGAAAAGCCAGTGGGGGTGCCTACGATTGGTGGGGCAACCAGATGGGATCCGATTTTTAGGCCTCGTCGTAGAGGATCTCGTCGTAGAGGATATCGTCGCCAATGGTGAGGACCAGGATATTCTCTTCCGTAGCATTCATCTCAACCTCGGAAACCTTGGCAGCCGGAGGTGGTGGTGGAGGGGGAGGAGGAGGGGGCGGGATTGCTGGATGTGCTGGAGTTGCCTTGGACAGGCGCTTCTTGATTTGCTCCAACTGTTTCTGGGCAAAGTTGACGGTGGCCTTGGAGGAGACCAGGCGATTGAGTTCCACGAGCTGACGGTGCAGGTTCTCCAGACGCCGCTTCAAGTCGGGCAGCGGAATGGGCGGCCTCTGGCGGTAGGCGGGGCCGAAGTAGTGGGTCCTCTGGAAGTGACGACGCGTCTCCGCCAGCGAGGAGTACGGACCGATGCGTCGGTGGCGCTGGAACTTCTGCACCTTCTGCACCTTCTTCACGTTCTGCTCGTAGTAATCATCTGGGAGAAAAGGGTTTCATTAACCCTCGAAAATCGCTGCTCCTGAAGAAAAAACGCCTTACCCAGCGACATGTTGGCCAAGGCCCCGTCGAAAACCCTTTTCTGGCCTTCCATTTTGTTTCTTCTTTTTTTTTCTTACCGGTTCTGTTTTCTTTGTCACAAGTTTGGAGCTCTAGAAACGTCCTAGATATTTGGCCTGTCAAAGGGAAATGATTTTCCTTAGACTAGTCATCGATAATGAAAACTTATGTGCCCAGTTTTTGCTTTAAAGGAGCAGTGTTGGAGAAGAAGCTAGCTCACGAATCTCAGAAATTCCAACGAAAGGGTTGTAGGGTAACTAATAAATTCAAGAGTTGCCAGCTTTCGGCATCTACATTTTAAGTTAATCATAATCTTTTTGTTTTTAATAAAAAAGTACATCATATTATTTTATTTCCGTCCTCAAGGTCTGTTGGATATTCAGGATTAAATTATTCTTTATCAAGTTATATTAACTGATTTTATTCATTCGGTTTAAAAATAGAATTCCTTTTAGTAAAATTCCATAAAGGCCAAACAAAAAGAGATAACTTGATAAAGCGAATTTCTATAAATGGCCAAGGTCTATTCGCCTTGCCATTTTCTCGCTGACACGTCTTTGCTTAATTAAAAGTGTCGTGGGAGATTTATGCTCGGTTTTATCAATCGGACCCACTATCAATTGAGGCGTACACCCGAGAACACGCTCGATATCTTTACGGCTCAAATGTAATTGGGATTTGCCTGATGGCCGTTGTGAGCTGACGCAAGCGGCTAGATATTTTCGGCGCCTTATCAGTTCTGCTTTTGTTTAGATGTAGACATTTATTTTTATATCTAGAGCCGGGGTATAAGGTATATGCTTTATTGGAAACACACACACACACACACTCTCTCGCCTGTGGGTTATTTACAGTGTTTGTTAAATAATAGCAACTAGTGATACAATATTTCCAACAAATCGTAATAAAAGTACAATAATAGTTAGGTTTAAACAAAAAAAAAATTTATATAAAATAATCCATATGGAAAGCCGCTGCACGTCCGATTTTTGTACTCTCCTTGTTGATTCTCCTACTTGGTCATCGAGCATATTGCACAAAAGTATATAAATATATATCCGGGTAATGCCCGATCAGTTGCCGAACTTGATGGACTTTTCCGGCTGGTGGGTGGACCCGTGATTGAAGCTGGCGCTACTCCGATTGGTCCCGTTCTTGAGGATCCCATTGGAACCGGCCTCCCCGTTGATCTTCCGCAGGGTTTCCCTCTTGCCCGTCGTCCTCTGATCCCCGTACTCCCCGATGGTCACCGTGCCCAGGCGCAGGGTGCGTCTTTGCTGCTGACTCGTGGCCAATCCCGATCCGGATCCGGATGCTGATCCTGGGGGAGACCTCAGTTGGACGGCATCGTAGTCGGGTTGGGGCGTGGCCGGTGGCCGGAATCCGCCCACACTGATGCTGGCACTGCGCATGGGCGACATGGGCTGCTTGACCTTGGCCAAGCTGCCGTTGCCCAATCCACTCCCACTCCCACTCCTACTCGCAAGCCCACTTCCGTTTCCGTTTCCGTTTGCCACTCCATTTCCGGCAATCAGCTTGAGCTGCTGGGGCGGCATCTGCTTTGGCTGGGGATTAGCGAACTGCGGTGGCTGCAAAATACCAAATAAACTGATTAAAAACAGATTCTTAATTTATAAGATGAATGTCCAAGCATGTCCAAAACAACCAAACAAATTTAATTGCTAAAGAAAGTTTAGTCCAATCCTGATTTAATCCTGATTAAATAAAAATTTTAAGTCTACACATTTTTGAATCTATTCTTTCCGTTTCCTTTTCCAGTTTCACAGTAGCCCATTTAGTTAACACTGAATCATACGTTAAAAGCCACCTTCAAATATTAAGAAGACTTATTGCCCAATAAAAAAGATAAAACGTTGGCACTTATAAGAGAAATCACAGTTAGTAACGTTTCATTTTTCACACAAATAGATTAGGAAGTCAGGTAGTGCCTTAAACAAAAACACAATGTTTGTTTGTATTAACTGATTAGTTGCTAAATATTTATTTTGGATTAATAGAACTTAACTAAATTTCCAACGTTTTGTTTTTAGTGTCTCCCAAAACAAAAGATTATAAATAGAGTAGCCATAAGTCGAATTAAAATTGAAACCTAGAAAAGGTAGACCCCCGTATAAAAACTATGGGATAATCCAAAATAACAATGATAAGGATTTTTTCGAAATTGCATTTAGTGGGAAGTTTTATTAATAGCTGACAGGCTGGGATTATTGTTGGACACTCGGACACGGGTCATTCGCTTACCGGTGGAGGAAGTTCCGGCGATCCATTGCCATTCGCCGGATTAATTCCATTCTGGGGCTGCAGGCGATTATTGTTGCTGGTGTTGCTGCTGCTGTTGCTCGTGTTGCTGCTGTTGCTGTTGCTGTTGCTCCTGTTGCTGTTGGTGCTAAAGCCATTGCTGTTGATACTATTCCGATAACAGCTCTCGTCGGGCATTATCGAGGTGCGTTTTAGCGTTTCACCACGCTCCTGCAAAAAGAGACATGGGAAAAACCCCAGATTACCAATAGATCGGGCAATTAATATTAGTGGAAGTTCCCCCGGAAATACCTGATAGGTGGACATGGTGACCAGGGGTCGACCCATGCTCACGGGTCGCATGGTGGGCATGGAACTTGACCCCTCCCCGCCACCCACTTCTCCGTTCTTCACGCGCAGCAAACTCATTCTCCGGCCCCAAATGCGATCTATTCCCCAGCGGGTTCTTGCCAAGACTGGACAACTTCGGTGGCGCAGTTTGGTTACTCGCTCATCGGCCGACGCCTCCGATTAGATAAAGCCATTGAGGAGCAGTCACAGAACAGTCAACTCGAACACAAATGTGTATACCCACCCCACCTGTTTGCTTTTGGCCATTTGTTTGCCCGCTTTTGTTTTGATTCCCTCTAATTTGCTCACTCTTTCGGATGACTCATCCCACGGTTCGGTTGGGCGTGGAACTTTGACCAAAATTGGCCAGAAGTTGCGACTGCATGTGCGAGTGCCATTGATAGCAATTGGACTGTCATCCAGCAAACGCCAATTTTTGATTGATTTTCGGAGAATTGCCAATTGCCCATAATCCATTAAAATTATGCCGACTTCGATTGCGTGTTCTAACCGCACTTGAAGTATCATTACATTGCACAAGTAACCATTATACATTCGTTTTCAAAATATATTGTTAATAATTTAAATCTCTAAAGCAATGCAAATAAATTGTAAATATTAATATTAATCAAAATTGCTGATGTTTAAAATTTATCTTATGTTTTCATTAAGATACACGCAATTAAAATTGAACTTCAAGACCATAAAGTAAATCATAAATAAAACATAAAACAAAACTTGTCTGTAGCTTCATGATAATAATTGTTTACTTGAGACTTTTAAATTTTATATCAACAATTACAAAAAATTAACTGATTCAGCAAAGCACTAATACAAATTACTAGCGACTACCAATACTCCTTTGACTGCCTTTTATCTAAGATATTTCATCGAAACGCCATTCGAAATTTGTATCAACTTAATGGCAACTGATCCTGATTATATGGCCGATGCAATCTGGGCAATCTGAGCAATCGGCTGCGGCGGCGCTTATCGATCTGGCCGATAAGATGCCATCGCTGAATGGGGGCCACCACAATTCATTATAATCAAGTTCCCCCCTCGAAACACTCATTCCGCAAGTGGCCAGCTACTTGAGTTGTTGGTCTGTTGGGTAACAGCAACTATCAACAATGGACTGGGACAAGGGGGCTTGGGATGGGGGAGGGGGAGGGTGAGGGGTGTTGAGATGGGTGGTGGGGGGGGTTTCACTGGCCCACAGCAAGTGCAGTCTGCTGAGCTAGCTCTCTTGACCTTTGCAAGTAGCCGACAATCGATAAATTGCCGATGTTGCTGCTGCATTTTTGATGTTGCTGGTTGCTAGTTGCTGTTGCTGTTGCTGCTGATGGTTGCTCACCTTGTGCTCGCTCTCATGGAACCCGTTCCTGAACATTCGCTGGTGAGCCCGCTTGAATTCATCCATCAGTGCCGTGTGCTGATCTCCACCAGCTCCGTTTGATGCACCTGCTCCTCCGCCTCCTCCTCCTCCTCCCGAATTGCTGATGCGTTCGCTGCCCCGCAATGTTGCAGCCACGCCAGCAACACTCGCCCTCTGGCGATGCGACACTTGCCCGCTGGTGATGCGGTGGCCTCCATTTCCAATTCCATTTCCATTGTGCCCCGCCAACTGTCGGTCCACGTTTCCATTTCCATCCCGATCTCTATCTCGATCGCGATTGTTGCGCTGCTGCTGTTGTTGCTGCTGCTTCTGCAATGATTCCAATTAGTTGCTGGTGGTGCAATCTACTATTGTGCACTTCAAAAAATGGTGTCACTCAAAAATTACAATTGGGCCTTATGATTGAAAATATTTGATTTGATCTACTGCTTCTCTTAAAAAGCTTAGCAAGTATATAAGTTTCGCTGTTTATACTTTAGTTTTGGTCTTTACTGCGAAGAATATAAAATATATATTGAAGCTGCATAATTTCTTTGTCTTTTTCATGATTGACTTTAAGGCCAATCAGTATTTAATTTTTGTAGTATTACACTTTAGTGTTAATTTGCACTAAAGGCAGTCAATATAAATACAAATGTAAAATTCTTTGCTTAATAATAGGGAGGTGATTTGTAATAAAATTCAAAGCTTCTTTGTTTTATAAGGTTAAGATGTTTTTTTTTTCCAAAACCATTGACTTTTTTACTTGATTGAACTCAATTATTTTTGATTGTCAACAAGAACATGTACCAATGTAGTTAAAGACTTTAAAATGATAAACAAAATACACATTTATGTTAGTAATATAAAAACTCACCTCTTTGCGCTTCTTGAGCTCCTCGGTTATGGCACTGGAGAGGCTGCTGCCCACGGAGCCGCCGGCACAAGCTCCTTCATTGATGGCCGGTGGCGGTGGAGCAGGTGCAGCGATAGCTCCTGATCCCGGTCCCCCGGCTGATCCCACTCCTGAGCCCGAAGGATTGACAGGTCTCAGGTGGCTGCGCTTCATGGTGGTTGAATTGCGGGAGGGACTCGATAGCGATTGCGATTGCGAGTGCGATTGCTGGCTGCGACCGGAAGTTCCGCTGGCTGAGGAACCGGAAACGGAACTGCCACCGGAACTGGCTATGTAGGTGTTGTTAATGGAGGTTCCATTCTCCGTCAACTTGATAATGGTCTTGTTCATCTGCTTGTGCACTTCGACACCCTGCGACCAGCTGGGATTGCCCGATGCAGATCCCGCACTCAAGGACCCCCCTGCTCCGGACTCCTCCCTCACCGCTGTCAATCGCTTCGACTTGGCATCCGCCCAGCAAGGACTCTGATCCCCGGTCACCGAACTGGCGGAGCTGTTGTAGCCACTGGATTCACCCGGAAAGAGGTCACATCCGGCCGCCGTGCGCACCACCATGTCCAGTTTGCTGCTGCTCTTCATCACGGCCACCGCCTCGCTGAAGAGGACATCCGAGAAGTCGATGCTGTTGACGCTGAGGATCTGGTCGCCGGGACGCAGTCCCGCCTCCCGCGCCACACTGCGCTCCTTGGTGAACTGCACAAAGATGCCCGGCTTCCACTCGGGCCCCTTGCAAATCCCCAGGCCCAGCTTCGTCCTGGGCGCCACATGGAGGACCACGCTGATGTCCCGACTGGCGCCACGCCTCTCGCCCTTGAAGGAACTCTCCGAGGGAGTGCCGCTCACGCTGGGCAACTTCACCACGCTCCAGGACAAGCGCTCCTCCGGTTGACTAAAGGATTAACTTGAAATCATTAGAAAGATGACCACGGAAAAGCCGTAAAGTAACTCACTCCCTCACAGGCAGCATCCCCACGCCCCGCACTTTGAGCGTGACCCGATCCTGGCCAGCCACCAGTTGGATGAACTCCTTGTGCACGGCATCGTCCAGGCGAAAGCCATTGATCCGCAAGATCTGGTCGCCGATCTGGGGGGGAAAGTGATATATGAGTGTGGAGTCCATCACGTAGAGCTACGTGACTGGGCGACCGACTGGTGACCCAGTGGCCCAGATTCCCACTTACCCGCAGACCCTTCAGCTGCGCCTCGCCGCCGTGCTCCACGTGCGACACAAAGAAGCCGGTGCCGTGCTCCCGGCCTCCGCGCACCGCAAATCCGTAGGTGCTGCCCCTCTCCGGTCCGCCGACCAGGAGGCGCCTCTGGTGCGGCCTCACCAAGCGGAGCACCCGCAGGCGGGAGCTGGCCGGGATGGCGCACCACGAGGAGGCCGCCGTGGTCGTCAGGGTCATCACATCGCTGGACGCCGAGCTGGTCGTCGATCCCTGCATGCTGCTGCTGCAGTCCGTCGACGCCGAGTTGGATATCGATGCGGAGGTGGAAATCGAGGCCGAGGTGGCCGTCATCGTCATCATTTTATTGCGGATTATTCAGAGGGAGCTGCAAAAAGAATAATGGGTACAGGATTATATTAAGATAAAATATAAAATATAAGAAAAACTTTAAAAACTTAAGAAGGGTCTCTCTTATGCTAAATAATGTGATAGTTATTGTTATATTTTGAATGCAGATCGAGTGGTTTTGGGATCATAAAACTGTCACCTATTTTAGCTCCTAAACTTCTATAGCAATTTGACAACCTTTTGAATGCAGAAAAATTGGAATGAAATCGTTCTGCAAAAAGGTATAGTTTTTACCTATCGATATTTCCGATCAGTAGGAAAACGCACTTGAAACGTTGCCAAAAAGCGAATTAAGCGGACTCCGTGCGAAAGTTGAAGAAAGTGGGGAGTGTCTTGCCAACCTCCTCGAACCCCTTCTTAAAATTGAAGTTAAAGTCCGATTGGCGACGTGAACAGCCTGACAAGTAATAAACGAAGACGGAGAAGCAGAATGCAAGGCAACACGAGACATATGTATTATATGTGTATATACATAAATAAAGTGAGCAAAACTTGAACTTGCAATCGAAAATTTCCCGAATTGGGTCACACGCATCGACAGAGGCGGTGCTGCTGGTGGTTTCAGTACACTGAACAAAATTTATGATATTTCTTCTTATCATGCTTTCTTCATATCTTATGCTTTAAGTGTAAGAAAATTATTTTAGTAAATATACCTATTGATATTAATTGAAAATGATATATTGATATTTAAAGATGCATTAAGCAAATGCTACAAAAGTAACAAAACTAACTTAAATAAAAAGATAACCAAATATTTTTGGGGGTCTGGAATTTCCCTAAAAAATTGTGTTTGCATAAAACTTAGCTTGACTTTAAAAAAGTATACAAACAACCTGCAAGAAAGGTTAATAAAATTGAATGAAAGATTTTGTTCAGTGTATAAGTGGTGCTGGTGGCGCTCTTCTCAGTGGTGGTGCCTGCTTTCACGCACCACTGCCAGTTGGTATGTTTGTAAGTTTGTAAATTTGTATGTTTGTAAGTCGGTGAGCCAGAGATCTGCGTCGATTTACATTCACCGCCGCCGCCGTCGCATAATTTCACTTTTTCACGTAATTCTACGCTTCACTTGCAGCGGCCCCAAAAAAAACACAGCGAAAGAAACTGGGGGAAAATTATAGAAATTTATTATTGAAATTATGCAGCCCCGCTGGGCCCCCTGCCCCCTGCACATAATGCACTTTGAATCGGAGCGATTCGCTATTTGTTAGCTGCCCCAGCCCAGCCGCCATATAAATCATTTAGTTCGCCAAAGTTCAACTCACTTACCGGCGACCCGGGGATTATTTCGGGGGCGAAAGGTGGTCCGAACCCAGATTGCCTCAGTTACCCACTTACTGCGAACTACTGACGCAAGCGGCAATTACTCGGATCAAAACATTTATAATTGCCCGCCGACTAATGGTGAAATATGAATCGGAATTTTGAATTGCAATCTCTGTGTATGGCAAAGATATAAATCATTCGATAATCGGGAGTTGGCGGTTTGTGGGAAAACAAATTATCGATGGACCAATTATGACTGGGGAAAAGTGTGTCGAATGGAACGATAATTGTAAAATATAGAATTGGGTTATGTGAGCAGGCTACGCAAGTGGTTATTCATTTAATCGGGATGCTTAATAGATCGCACAAGTTTGCCACTTAATAAAAGTTTAACTTGTTGTCTGCAAATTAAATAAATGGCCAAGTGGTTTAGCAATCGATCGATTATCGGAATTATCCAAATTGTGTCATCGAAGTTAAGCGATTCCGTCATTTTTAAACTGCTATCTAATAAGTGAAATGGATGTGCAATTCATCGATTAAGAACGAATTTTATAATTAAATGACTTGATGCTGTATTTTTAAATTATAATACTTGTTAATACTTGTTGAACTAAACATTAAATAAAACTACAGAAAGTTTATATGAGTGCATATTATTCAATCAGTTAAAACTTATTGTGTCATCGAAGTTGAATGATTTTTAATCAACAATTGAAACAAGAAAGGAAACAAAAAACAAACAGTTATATACAGACGTCCGCTTTCTAAAATTGCAAACGATCCAATAAAACAAACTAAGATGTAAACGCAGTTTTTAAGAGAATTAAACCACAATCATTAGAGGTATTTAAAATCGGATGTCTATAAGAAAAGTTATGAGCTCAGTTAGAAGTGCAGATTTTGAACACATTTTTCGAAAATTTGGAAATGACAAAAACTCGACCCAAAAAAAAAAATTAAAGTAATAACGCAGATGTTTATATAATTAAACCACGATCATTTTGAGGTATGCCACTTTGAAATCGGATGTCTGTAAGCAAAGTTATGAGCTGAGAAGTGCAGTTTTTTGCCACTTTTCTGCAAACCCATTTTTCGAAAATTTGGAAAGGGGTAACATCATTAAAAATGACGGAAAATCGGCCAAAAAAAAAAATTTAAGTGGGGATGCAGATTTTTATAGAATTAAACCACGATCATTTTGAGGTATGCCACTTTAAAATCGGATGTCTGTAAGCAAAGTTATGAGCTGAGAAGTGCAGTTTTTTGGCACTTTTCTGCAAACCCATTTTTCGAAAATTTGGAAAGGGGTAACACCATTAAAAATGACGGAAAATCGGCAAAACAAAAAAATTAAAGTGGGGATGCAGATTTTTATATAATTAAACCACGATCATTTTGAGGTATGCCACTTTGAAATCGGATGTCTGTAAGCAAAGTTATGAGCTGAGAAGTGCAGTTTTTTGCCACTTTTCTGCAAACCCATTTTTCGAAAATTTGGAAAGGGGTAACATCATTAAAAATGACGGAAAATCGGCCAAAAAAAAAAAATTTAAGTGGGGATGCAGATTTTTATAGAATTAAACCACGATCATTTTGAGGTATGCCACTTTGAAATCGGATGTCTGTAAGCAAAGTTATGAGCTGAGAAGTGCAGTTTTTTGGCACTTTTCTGCAAACCCATTTTTCGAAAATTTGGAAAGGGGTAACACCATTAAAAATGACGGAAAATCGGCAAAAAAAAAAAATTAAAGTGGGGATGCAGATTTTTATATAATTAAACCACGATCATTTTGAGGTATGCCACTTTGAAATCGGATGTCTGTAAGCAAAGTTATGAGCTGAGAAGTGCAGTTTTTTGCCACTTTTCTGCAAACCCATTTTTCGAAAATTTGGAAAGGGGTAACATCATTAAAAATGACGGAAAATCGGCCAAAAAAAAAAAATTTAAGTGGGGATGCAGATTTTTATAGAATTAAACCACGATCATTTTGAGGTATGCCACTTTGAAATCGGATGTCTGTAAGCAAAGTTATGAGCTTAGAAGTGCAGTTTTTTGGCCAGTGTCTTCAGATAATATTTCCTAATAAAATAGATGAAAATGGAATTAAATTTTAAGGTTGGTTTTACTAGTGCCTTTATATAATTACACACCCCCTGCCAACAGTCGGCAGGCATTGAATTCGATTAACAACCTGTGATAAAAATATGTTGCACTCATCCCACATCCGTTTGCAATTTGGCATCCCAGCAATGTCGCCGATTAACGACAATTATCGGTGGTTAAGTTCAGACCCAGACCCAAATAACTTGGCTTTTATCTCGATAATGGAGGAGTTTCCCGACCTGAAAGACAAAGATCTCGTTTATCGATGCCGATGAAAAGCGGCAACAGGCAGACAACAACTAGCAACCAGAAACCAGCTACCTGCAACCTGCAACTTGCAACTGGCAGACGGCAACCTGCAGCACCACTCCCTTTTCCTTTCAACGGGTAGTAACAATAGAAAGAGAGTAATAATAATAATGATAATCTGTTTCTGTGGCCGCCTCAAATTATTTGGCAGTTACAATTAAGTTTCGACAAACAACTGCAGCAGTAACAAGAAAGCGCCAGCCAAAACAAAAGCAAAAAGGCCAACGTCTTTGACGGCCTTTCACCTGTTAAATAAAAAAAAGCAACTGCCGTTCCGCTGCCCCTGACCCCCCTCCCGCCCCCTTTTGACCCCCCCCGCTGACCCCTACAATTAGTTCTAATGAGTTGCTGTTGCTTTTGCTGCTGCGGCATCTACAACTTCCTGTCACGCCTCAGTCTTCCACCTTTCCCCCCGCTTTTCTCTGCCACCGTGTTGACACTTTCCGTTCAGTTTCCGTTTGGCAATTGCTCAGCTTTTGCTTAGACTTTAATTAAAAAAGTAAAACAAAAAACAACAGAAATGTAAAACAACAAAAACAAGTACAAAACAAGTGAGAAAAAATAACAAGCCTTGACCATTGGCTGATTTTTATTTCCATACAAATTTCATGCCCAACAATTCCACAGAAATGTGGAAAGAAATTTTCTCGGTTTTGCTAAAAACAACAAGTTAAAATTTGTGTTTTATGGCTCTGTTTCGGTTGCGTCTTCTTAGGCAGCCAAAATGTAGTAATTATTTGTGGACATGACTTTCTCTGCATATGATAATTTTCAGTTGCTCGCCGCTTGTCCAGCATCCAGTTGGTCTTTCTCGTTTTTAATACTTTTTTTATATATATGTTTTTTACCCTACCTTTCTTTACTAGCTCACGTAGCATTACGGTGGTGTTCTCCGCATTACATGTGCGTGACAAGCGCGTTAAGTGTTTTCCCATTCGGATCGAGATCGAGATTCGTTGGACTCGCATTAACAACGGGTTCTCTTTAAATTGATAATCACGCCTTCGGCTTTTGTTTCAGTGTCAGTTCTTTTATTGAAGTCGGGAATTTCACTCGGAAATGTGGAGTACGATGGCGGTGCCATAAGCCCTGAGTCATGATCGCGGGGAAAGTCGTTAAAGGGTTCGACGAGCGATCGATCGATCGGGTTCTACATGTCACATGGGTCTCAACGCCTGTTGAATGATTGATAGGCCCATTCGGCACACTTCTCTTCATTAAAGGCTTTAATTGATAGACCATTTTCCACCGACACATTTACATTCAAGATGCCAAAGATACCAAATAATTTACCA